AAAATAAATAATTCTGCCCAGCTTTAATCATAGCCTGGATACGATGGTGACCGGGGCGTTGCGTTGCAAGGGGCTTTGAGTGGAGTTCTAGGTGTGAGTAATCTCATTTCGTGTTCGCTCACTTGGAGCTCGTTGGCGCGCTTGTTACCAGGTTTGATGCTGACGCGTAAATAATGATCGGGGAGTTGCTTATAGAGGAGCCAGGAAATAATCCAGGGACATAGATTTGATCTTGCTCTGCTAATAGGAAGATCTAATACTGAGAACTATTTCGTCGTTGCTTCGTCCACCCTTTCGCACTCCGAGACCCGGTACCCGGGAGACTATATCACGCCAGTTTATACATATAAGGGCATAGTGAGAGAGAATATGACATTGAAGGCAACAACTACCTAAGCCACGCAATGGAAGTTCTGGATACGACTGTTGACTTGGGGACTCTACGGGGCAAAGGGGCCCTTATCACTGGTGGTGCTTCAGGCATCGGGTTGGCCACGGCGCGAGCATGGGCAGCAGCCGGTATGTATGTTACTATTGCTGACATCCAACCTCTAGAGACGGGGCAGAACATCCTCCTGGACCTAGTAGGCGGACATGTTCACTACGTCTGTTGTGATGTGACCTCCTGGGAGAGTCAGATAACGGCCTTCAAAGAAGCAATTCAGTTCACCCCTTCGAAGGCCCTTGACATTGTGGCTGCCTTTGCAGGTGTCTCTTTTGCAGGCGGCAACCAGGTTGACCACGTCTTGGCCGCCGGTGAGCCTCGTCTAGACGTGAATCCATCCCCCCCTGATATCCGCAACATCCAGGTGAACTTGATCGGCGTCTACTACACCTCGTGGCTGGCTCTGTTTTACCTGCGCCTGTCCCCGACAAACGAAGGCACCAATTTGTCGCCCGACAAGTCACTGCTGCTCATGGGTTCCATCGGATCGTACATGGACAGCCCCAAGGCCTCAACCTATCCCGCCAGCAAGTTTGGTGTCCGGGGTCTGTTTCGCAGCACTCGCGCTCGCACGCAGGAGCTGGGAGTGCGCTGTAACCTTCTTGCCCCTTGGTTCATCGACACACCGCTAATCGCGCCTATGAAGAGGGCTATGGCTGCTCGAGGAATCGATATGGCGCAGCGTTTGACGTTTGCGAGCATCGACGCTTGCGTGGAGGCAGCCAATGCTTGCGCTGCTAACCCGATGCTCCACGGTACGTCCGATTGAATTCCTGAATCTGGTATATCTATTGCTTCAAAGCTAATGACCCTTGGTAGGTCGGGCACTCGCTATCCAGCCCGAGGGAGTCTTTGACCTTAAGGATGACCTCGAGGATGGTTGGGGAGGCGATCAACTACGACCAATTATGCAGCGCCGACGGGAAGCAGGTTTTGATGCTTGAGTGTGGTCTACCATTGGTATTCTATCTTGAAGAAGCCGTTATGTCCAGACAACCATGTCTCGTGGATACAACAGTTATTTCCTAAAACTCAAGATCATACGCAATCGTACTTTTATGATCGCACACTTCTTGATAGAGAATATTCACCCTGTCCACGTCAGTTCTCCTTGCCCGGTACTTTGTAACTTCAGACTCACTTATGGTGACTCGGGTGCGTAAAGAATGTAGCTAAGCTCTCTAAATAGTCTAGCAGTACGACAGCTGCCATGTCGAACCCCTTCGCCAAGGGAGCCGTGAACTCCGTCGGTGAATCGGCCCGCAAGTCTAACAGTCCTGAGCACCGGCCTATGAGTAAATTTGCAACTCATCGCAAACTGGGGCGATGCCAACTCACCTGGCACTTGGCCAACCATCGCATGGGCCTCTTGCTTCCATTGCTCTACTTTAATGGGATCGGCATCGGATTTGAGCTTGAACAGGGCTGGGGCGGCGATAACGGATAGTTAGTGGAGATCCCTTTTACTCCGAGACTTATTCGTACGTACCGATATGGTAGACAGGCATGTTGTATAATACTCTCTGCTGCGAATTTGGGGATTTTACTACAAGAGATGTGCTTTGGAGGACAATCTATACTGACACTGTGACGGAACGGACGTGTTATAGAACTCGGAAAGCGACAATTCGCTGTCCGACTTTGATGTTAGTTATATACGTGTACCGATGCAGGGCGGCTTCACAAGCACCATGATAATATCGCTGTAGATACACGGCCATACCGCGATGGAGACCCCTTTTGCCGCTCCGTGGCAGCAGGTAACGCTTCGGTTGACAGCAGAGGGCATATCGATGGGACTAACGGTGACTGTAGTTCGTCGAGGATTTAGGGCAAACCCCATGTCTCCCAGGGAAGGATTTAAAGAGCGTTTTGACCGGCTGGGGACAGCTGGCTGGTACATTAGCTACACGATACGGGTTTCCTCCTCCCGATGAGAGCGTGACGACCGAGGATGTCCAGCTGGATGGACTGTGGCTGCGTTGCTACACCCCCCCTAACGCGACGGGCCAGGGACCAGTGGGCCTCTACTTTCATGGGGGAGGTTGGGTAATGGGAGGAGTCAAGGAAGAAGATGGTTTCTGTCGCATTATCAGCCGCCAATGCCAGATGCGCCTGGTCAGCGTGGAATACCGCAAGGCTCCTGAGACTCGCTATCCTGGCGCGCTGAATGACGGCGTGAGGGCTGCTCTCTGGGCTCTATCGCGCTATGGGAACCATCCACTCGTCTTGATGGGCACGTCCGCCGGCGGGAATCTGGCCTTTGGCACGGCACTGCGACTGATCGACCAAGACATGGCGGGTAAGGTCGGCGGGGTGGTGGCGTTGGCGCCCATCACCGTGCACCCGGATGCAGTACCCGACCATTTGAAGGAGCAGTACACGGCGTATGAGGAGAATGCGGAGTTGACGGTGAACTCGCGGGCTGCCATGCAGGTGTTTTTCGATTGTTACAACGCGCCGGTGGACGACGTCTACACCTCCTGCCTTCTGCATCCGAGGTTGCTTGCTCTGCCAAAGGTTTATATTGCCGAGTTGGGGTTGGACACGCTACGAGATGATGCCAGGTTGATGAAGGGGGCATTGGACACTGCTAAGGTACCGGTTATGTACGATGCTTATCCAGGATATCCGCATTGCTCGTTCATGTTTCCTTTTCAATCTCTTGGGGAGCACCAGAAGGCTTTTTTGGAGGCAGTAGCTAAGGCAGTACGATGGATGTCGTAGTAGCGTACATACTCATATTGATATGCGAGAGAAACAAATAACAATTGATCTGATATTATGGCAACAAGAATCGTCGTAACACCCAGCGTGCATACCCTGCGAATGGGTCAGATATCGACCTGCTTTGACGGCCGGTCTTTCGGAAAGCGATCAGGTTGTAAGGCATTCTGGAGACTTGGACTTCATCCATTATAAACCGTGAATAAAAACTCTAGCTGGTGGCACTTTTATCATTTCCTACACACCCCTTCTGGCCTCTATAGTCACCACATACTACAAGAACAGCAATCATGGTCCTCCCTGCTGCCCCAGAGCCTCCCACCCCGCTAGGGTACCATCGGATTCTCTCACCTAGCGCCGGTGTTCGTGTGTCGCCCTTATGCCTGGGAACGATGAGCTTCGGCAATGGCTGGAAAGGGGTTATGGGTGAGTGTGACCAGGCGGCCAGTTTCAACATGCTGGACACCTTCTACGAGAGCGGTGGGAACTTTATCGACGTGGCCAACTTCTATCAGGGAGGCGATAGCGAAAGATGGGTGGGTGAATGGATGACACAGCGGCAGAATCGCGATGAGATCGTGTTATCAACCAAGTATACTATGAGCTACACGATGTTCGGCCCGCAGAAGATCAAGTCAAACTTTCAGGGTAACCATGCCAAAAGTCTGCGTCTGTCAGTTAAGGCCAGTTTGGAAAAGCTCCAGACTGACTATATCGACCTATTGTACGTGCACATGTGGGACTTTACCACAAGTGTTGAGGAAGTGATGCGAAGTCTCAATCACCTGGTGGCAAATGGCAAGGTTCTGTATCTGGGGGTCAGCGATACCCCAGCCTGGCTCGTGGTCAAATGTAACGCATGTACGTGCATCTGCATTATAAGATGTAGTTGATGGGTGGAGTTAATGACTGCTACAGTTGCTCGAGCCAACGGACTTACGCCGTTCAGCGTCTATCAAGGCCATTGGTCGTGCGCTTTCCGCGACTTCGAGCGGGATATTCTGCCCATGTGTGAGTCTGAGGGCATGGGCGTCGCACCATGGGGTGTACTGGGCCGTGGTCAGTTCCGTAGCGCTGAGGACTTTGCTCGCGAGGGTCGCAAGATGGATCCTCAGGATGAGAAGCACCGGCGACTCGGAGAGAAACTAGAGCAGATGGCGCAACGGAAGAACACCAAGGCTACTAGTATCGCTCAAGCCTACGTCATGCACAAGGCCCCCTATGTGTTCCCAGTCATCGGGGGTCGCAAGGTGGAGCATCTCAAGGATAACATTGAGGCTCTCCGCTTGGTACTGAGCGAGGAGGAAATCCATGAAATCGATGATGCGGAACCCTTTGACGTCGGATTCCCCATGAACTTCTTGTTCGAAACGCCGACGCAGAGATACCGTGTGAACATGACGAGCAAGGATATATGGCAGCTGTCATGCAACACTAGGCTGGAAACCGTGCCCAAGCAACAGGTGAGTAGTATCATTGTGTCCCTCGCAGTGTGATAGCTTTTGACTAGATGTGCTCTATTAGCCGATCGGACCTCAACAAGGAGCAAAGTACTTTGGATCCGCCTCAAAGTGAGGCTGGTGGTGGCGGAATACTTCTCTTGGAGAGCGTTGCAAGCTGGATCTGGGCTACTTTGCTGTATGGCTGATCGCCCTTTCCGGCCAGGATGCCTCTTCGACAGGAGGAATCGTGTTCTTTTTGTTTACTTGTCCTTGTCTCGTTAGTCCTTCAGCAAAGGATCAACTAGTTTTTCCAACATATTATAAGCGTGAGAATCTTTGCTTGGTCAAATGCACCTATTACGCGACGTAAATACACCGGCTGTGAAATAGAGGCACGAACCATTAGAAGGCAAACTTGAGACCGATCAAACAAACAAGAGAAATATTTGTTGAATTCATTTCTAGATGAGACCAGAGAGAATATCCCTTCTGATTAAACACCCATGTTAAGCGTATTTTCTTCAACATTTAGGAGACATATACAGACTTCACTCAAGGCTAGAATCAACGAAAGGTTCTCTAGACAACCCGTGAGATATTTTGGTTTGATTGAGGCAGACGTAGACCAATATCTCAGGGACATACCTCAACGCCAGCGGCGGTTGTCCTCTCGTTATTCTGTATTTTGGTGTGATTGGCCATATCCTATTCTCAGTTTCCTAGGTTTTCAGCCTCGCATACACAAAGCGTATTGCTACAGAGGCTTTGCACTCGCCGCCCGACGAGGTACTAATCTTCACACCTCTCGGTCTCCGAGAACAGAGCTGTTGGGTGGCTAGCCATTCATAACTTGCTATATATATACTACGTGAGCAGTCTGGTGTGTCGGTGTTTTCACAGAACTACACATTGTCTTGCCTCCGCAGAGTCTCTACCTTACACAAGATCCTCAGCATGTCGGACAACCACCGTTTAGATGGCAAAGTGGCCTTGGTCACCGGTGCCGGCCGCGGCATTGGTGCAGCCATCGCCGTCGCCCTTGGTGAGCGCGGAGCTAAAGTCGTGGTTAACTACGCCCACTCCCGTGAGGCCGCGGAGAAGGTGGTTGAACAGATCAAGGCCAATGGTACCGACGCTATCGCAATTCAGGCCGATGTTGGGGATCCTGAGGCGACAGAAAAGTTAATGGCGGAGACGGTGCGCCATTTTGGCTACCTGGATATTGTGTCCTCGAACGCTGGAGTTGTATCGTTCGGCCACCTTAAAGATGTGACCCCGGAGGTATGAACCACAGATAACGCACTTAAGTACCGCATATACTAATGAAAACGTTAGGAGTTTGACCGGGTCTTCCGGGTTAACACCCGTGGCCAGTTCTTCGTGGCGCGGGAGGCCTATCGTCATATGCGTGAAGGAGGTCGAATTATCCTGACCAGCTCGAACACCGCTTGCGTCAAGGGGGTACCCAAGCATGCTGTATACTCGGGATCCAAGGGAGCTATTGACACCTTTGTTCGCTGCATGGCCATTGACTGCGGAGACAAGAAGATCACCGTGAATGCCGTGGCTCCCGGAGCCATTAAGACGGATATGTTTTTGGCTGTGTCGCGGGAGTATATCCCAAATGGTGAGACTTTCACGGATGAGCAGGTAGATGAGGTAAGCCTTCTCCCATAAACTGCGTCTTGCTGGGTTCCTAATTAACGAGATCTAATGTAGTGTGCTGCTTGGCTCTCTCCGTTGAACCGCGTGGGCAGGCCCGTGGACGTCGCCCGGGTAGTTAGCTTCCTGGCATCTGATGCAGCCGAATGGGTAAGTGGCAAGATCATTGGGGTGGATGGCGGCGCTTTTCGATAAATCTTTACCAGGAGATGCTCGTTGCTGGGGTGTATTCCTTCATTTTCTAGAGAGCTAGACGACGTATCAGATCAGATTTGCTTGGTGAACCACAACTTAATATAAGTTCTAATGTTACAAAGTAATAGCGCCAAACTCTTTGCATCCATGCCTGAGAACCTTTTACATTGTACCAATCCTAACTTGATATATCCAAAGCGGCCTTTGTGAGAGTAGACAATTCACAGTTCATCCCGTCGTCTTCCTCACTTCACCAAGCACCACGGCTCTCATTTTGGACGGATCTGTGAATTTATGCTCGTCCTCTGACACCTCGGGCGTCGACATAACGGGGAGAAATTCTTGAAATGCGGCTTCGCTCTCGTAGTTGATAATAGCAAAACCGTCATAGGTAAAATCGGATGGCTCCCCCACCAGTACATCAGCGGGGAAGCCCGGGGCTTGACCATCACGTTTCACATAATGTCGAATATGACTGCGTGGAAATTTGGATCCGCCCAGGCGTCGAAGTAATGGCACATGGTGGTTCTCCCAGTAATCCTGGAAGGCATCGGGGGAAAGATCTGGCTTGCGAGTCACGAAAACAACAAGGGTGAAGCCGTCGTTCCACATAACGGAGAGAAATTCAGCGAGGCAATAGGAGGGAAATCAAACATGTGTGTTAGATTGGTTCGACAAGGCTGGATAGAGCAAAGGTGTGGAATATACTTATGTTGGCAGGCATGCAGTCGGGGGACAAAAAAGCCCTCGGTCCCCGAACTGGAAAAACTAGCGACATAACCTCAATCGATCTTATTCCTCTAATTACCTGATCCTCATCGACCGCATTCACTATACACTGGAAGCGAAATCGTATCATGTACCTTTCGCTCCTCATAGCTCTGGGCGTGCTTGCTTTCACCCGTTTCCTGACAGCGTTCTACCAGGCTCGCCAGGAAGTATGGAAGCTGCAAAAAGGGAACCTGGTATTCTCCCTCGACCTGTATCATACGGAAAGATTAGGAGAGGCCCTGGAGCTGACAATGCATAGCCTATGCCAGAGTTCAAGCTTCTGGCTGGACACTTCGGGACCCTTAAAAAAACCATCCAAGGGATGCCGTCGGACGCGACGCTTCATAGCATCATGCTGAAGATCTCCCAGCAATTCCCGTCCGGCATCTTCTACATTAATATGTGGCCCTTTAGCGGGACTTGGATGATCGTTTCGGCTCCCTCGGCAGCCAGCCAAATCCAGAAGTTGAATCTGACGAAGCCGGCCATCCTGCGTCGGCCCCTGGAGACAGTGACCGGGGGACCCAGCATGATGAGCATGCATGGCGAGACGTGGAAGAAGTGGCGGGCGCTGTTCAATCCAGGATTTAATCCTGCCTACATTATTGGCCTGGCGCCAAATATCGCCGATGAGGTGGCCACCTTCTGCACTCAATTGCGCAAAAAAGCGCAACAAGCTGAGGTTTTTCCTCTCGAGTCGCTCACCACCCGATTAACGGTGGATACCATTTGCTCGGTCGTGCTGTATGTGGACTCCTATGTAACATATTGCATTATCGAGGAGATTCAATTAGTAACGAGACGAGCAGGGACACTCAACTGCACCACCAAATCAAGGATCACCCACTCGCCACGGCCCTGCAGCGACAGATCGATTGGACTTCGTTTGGTACTACGTTTAACCCTGTCAAGCGTTATTTGACCATTCGGCCTTTGGTGCTATGGTATAATAACAAGGTTATGGACCGAATTATTGACAGTGAAGTGGACCGTGCCTACCGCACTCCACCAGATCGTCCCTCCAAATCTGTGATTTCGCTGGCTCTACGAGAATATCTCAAAGAACAGTCTAGCAGCAGCAGCACTCGTTCACTGGCGGAATTCAAGCGGCTGGTGGCTCCTCAACTGCGTGTTTTTCTTTTCGCCGGCCGCAACACCACAAGTAGCACTCTCATATACACCTACTACCTACTCGCTCAGCACCCCGAGGTCCTGGCGAGGATCCGTGCTGAACATGAAGATGTGCTGGGTGGGGATCCAGCGGATGCTCAGGGCCGCATCAAGGAAGATGTCCAATTGCTGAACAAGCTTACCTACACAACTGCCGTGATTAAAGAAACGTTGCGGTTGTTCCCTCCATCAGCGTCGATGCGGGAGGGCCGACCTGACGCCGAAATCATTGGGGAAGATGGGCAACGATATCCCACGGTGGGATGCAACGTCTGGACGCTCACGGTGGCTCTCCACCATAACAGTGACCACTGGCAGCAGGTGGAGAGCTTCATTCCGGAGCGATGGCTGGTGGGGCCCGAAGATCCCTTATATCCGGTTAAAGGTGCCTGGAGAGCATTTGAATTTGGGCCACGGAGCTGCATTGGCCAGACATTGGCGATGCTGGAGCTTCGGATTGCGCTGGCCATGACTATCCGTCAGTTCGATATTACGCCAGCATACGATGAGTGGGACAGCATTCACCCGGCCACGACGGCCAGAGAAGTAAATGGGCATCGTGCCTACCAGGCGGAGAGAGGTGCTGGGGGCGCCCACCCTGCCGATGGGTTTCCATGCCGTGTCAAGGAACGATGCTGAAACTGGCTATAGCTTCCATTCAATCATCCTGTAGCATGCGTGTCGCACTTTACCTGTCCCTGCCCGGCTGTAGGAGCAACCCATGCTTTTGTGGGGTCTACAGATTTTAGGAATATGATGCCCTGGTCAGAGACCAAGTAAAAATTCACGGTCGTCCTGTACAATTCTTGACCCTAGCCAAGGCGGGTCATGCAAAGCAAGCCACAAGAGAGAGATCTGGTCTGTGGCTTGTGGATTACGTTATCGAAGACAGGGATCTCTTGTTCGGAGAGCGAAAAGACTGATTCACCGCTGTGGAGGAAGGTTGCTGTGTTATCATATCATTGTTGTCTATCTCCAGTTCTCAACCAAAGCTATCCCCCATTTCGTTTGAATAACAGCCACATTTTCCCTTCCCCGTCCCTGAATTAGATTGGACTGCGATTGGGCCGACTTTCTGACCTCCTCAAATGCCCCTCTCGGAAAATACAGCCCTGCGTCTGGCAGGCAACGCCTTTGGCACCATCATCCTCGGTTTTGGCATCAACGCCTCATACGCCCCGATCATGCCCTTACCTTCTTCGAATGGACACCGCCCACAGCAACGGCGGACCGACAGCTCGTGGACAGTCTGATGTACGTGTACGGAGTCCGGGATATTTACATCGGGCTGTCGGTGTACGTGGCCTCGATATTCGGCACACCCAAGTCACTCGGATGGACGTTGTTGGCGTTCAGTGCGGTGGCCTTTGCAGACGGCGCGATTTGCTGGTCGTGGGGACACGGGGAATGGGGGCATTGGAGCTATGCGCCCATCGTGGCGTTGATTGGCACTGCTCTTTCGGGACTGTTGGATTGAATATGAGGTTGCCGCTCTACATTCGTGTGGTAATAGAGAAATGAAAGTGCAGCGCCGAGCCACTTGAGTGTATCCAGAGGGCTTGAGATGGCCGCTTCACTGTCCGAAATCGATGGTTTTCGCGATCCGAGCCAGACTCTGTAGTGCAGCACGGGGAGGGGCATGTGCATTGATTGAGTGTGTGCGTGAATTATGGGAGACTCTATGAAGGCATCTCTAAAGATACTAGGTTCATCTACTACTTGTCGCGAGGTTCCAGCGTAACCCACAACGGTTTCTTGTCCCAGAGAATCCAAATGCCCTGCTCGGCCAACCAGTCTGTACCCTTCATACGCGTAGTATCTAACCGTAGATCGAAATGCCACAGAAGCTTGACCAGGATTAACCGCATCTCCACGTAGGCTAGCTGTCGCCCAATGCAATTCCGCGGTCCGATGCTGAACGGCTGCGATACCTCGCGGCGATCATGGGCAAATTCGCCCTGGCCTTGCCAACGCTCAGGCAGGAACTCGTCGGGACGATGGAAGTTGCTGGGTGACCTACAGGCGACAAATTGTTGTAGACCGACCGATGTCTGTTGTAGACGTAAAAAGCTTCATATTAGCGACCGAAATATAGGTAGGATTTGTAAAGGAACGCAAGAAGACTTACCCCCCCGGGTACCCATCCTCCTGCGATATGAGCCCCTGTCGACGGCACGATGCGGTTACTTTGCATGGGCACCGGTGGATACAGACGCAGCGATTCCTCCAGGACTGCCTGCAGTCCCTCGACACGCGAGACACTCTGGGAGTCAATCTCCGATGCGTGAGAGAACTCTGATCGTATGCGAGACGTAAGCTGGTGCAGATGCTCCGGGTTCTTTAACAACAGCCAAGTGCAGCCACTTAACAGGGTGGCCGACGTCTCGCTACCTGCCAGCACGATGGCACTCGCATTACTGATCATTTCTGCCCGCGACATGGGCGGTTCCCCGTCAAGCTTCTGGGCCAGCACAGCATCCCAAATATCTCCTCGCGGGGTGCTGGAGTTTTGAAGGCGACGGTCGACTTGGTCGGTCGTGAACTGTGCGTTCCGGCGTCTCTGTTCTAACAGTTTGCGGGATCCCAGAAGCCGCAGAAGACCATCAAGTCGGTAGCGACGCAGACCATTCAGAATGGGAATCAACTTGACATTGCCTTGAATGGATGCAATCCACGGATGTGTCTGGACGTTGTCGAGGCAGCCGAACGAGTCTCCAAAAGCGAGATCGCCGATAATGTCGAAGGTAGCCCAGTTGAACCACAGCGTCAGGTCCAGAGGTCCCTGGCCACAGTTCTCATGGAATTGCGTGATTAGCAGGTTAACGCTGCGTTCGATAAGACCGCGTTGCTGCCTCAGACCTTTGTCAGAGAATGAAAAGGCCAACAGCCGTCGATAACGGCGGTGGTGGGCATGGTCGGCGGCCAGGATGCCTGGGGTCCCATTATGGAATGGCGGAAGATGCATCGGATCCTTGGAAAACTCCGGATTGCTCGTGTAGATCGGAGCGGCCGCCTCGGGGGCTATGAAAGATAGCTCATTCGGCGCGATTCGGACGACGGGCCCGAATTGTTGGTGTAGCCGCTGGAGATCGCGGACAAGGCTGCCTCGGGTGTTACTGAGGATGTAGGGGCCACGCCAGATGGCCCACCATCGAGGGCCTGGGTATGATCGTAGAGGATGAATCCAGAGTCGGTAGACAGCGAGAGAGGGAGGCGTTAGCACCTGCCTTTGTCAGTCCTATCTCCCTGAAGGGAACGACGATCACAAACAATCAGCAATATCAATAGTCGAAAATGGCCGTCTGAAAGCCATCCGTCGACGCCCATGTTGGTAAGATGGTCAGTTAGCTTATTGAGCAATTGGCAGAAGAAAGCGCCGTTGCATCAGGGGGTTCATGCTCATAAATTGATGCTCTCGATTGTTATCCGGGCTGCGAGTAGGACGAAGAGCGAGAAGCATCGGGCATTTATCACTCGCAGTGGCCGATTCCGACGCTGAGGCTGCAAGGGCCCGGTGTGCACTGAGCTTCTGAAAGTACCAATGCTATCAGCACTCTCTAGAATGCCGAGTATCGAGGAGACTTTCTAGTTTCAACACGCCATGTTACTAAGTGACCAGAGAGAAGCCTTCCTACTACATTCTACATGGTGCATATATGCGAATAAGCCATTGTGTATTCTACTTCAGTCATTTACATTCAGTTGGCTTCATCATGTATCTCATCGTACGACGTCTGCCCCAGAGTGGCCTGGAAAACTACCCCCCGTTCACTGTGGGCTGCTGGAAGTACTCGGCCAAGAACAAGAAGTATCCCTCGACTTAAGCGTCATGTAAAGCTCTCGTTTCGCCCAGATAGACCAGATCTTCTGATCGAGGAAGTTGCCAGTCTTGTCCACATCTAGAGTGAAGTCGAAATGCCACAGGATCTTGGCAAGCGTCAGGCGAACCTCCGCGTAGGCCAGATTCCGCCCAATACAGTTACGTATGCCAACAGACCAGGCTGGTAGGCGCCATAGTTGTCGTACTTGAACGGTTCCTCCGTTTTCTGAAGATGTCGCTCGGGGATGAACTTGTCGGCGTGAGTAAAGTTGTAGTCGGCAAAGTAGGCGCCGAGATGACTAACACCAACCCTAGTCTAGGGGATATCATTAGCATTTCATGATCTCAACGGTTCATTTGAGGTGGAATACCTCTTCGGGAACAAATTTGCCACAGACTGTTGCTCCGCCAGCAGGGACCACGCGTGGGGGTTGACCGGGCACGGCTGGATACATGCGCAGCGTCTCGTCGATGACGGCAGTAAGGTACGGTAGATGCGAGACAGAGATCAAGTCAATCTCCTCCGGGGAGGCAAAACTCTTCCTGATCTCGGCGGTGGCTTTCTCGATCTTGCCCGACAAACACAGCAGATACATCGAGCCGCTGAGCGCCGAGGCAGTGGTCTCTGACCCTGCGACGACCATGACGGCAGCGTTATTGAGCATCTCGCCAGCGCTCATGCCATCTCCCCGCTGATTATCGTCGGCACTCTTGACTAGAACCTTATCCCAGAAATCCCCTTGGTCACCTTCCATTCTCATCCGCTTGTTGAGCTTCTCAACGGCGTAGCTGTAATTTTCCTGGCGTTTACCCCGGAGCTCCTTAGGCAGCACGTATGGAGTGAGGAATTCGATGCCCATACTGCGCAAAACGTGTGAGATGGCCACACTCTTGAGATTCTTATGAATAGCGTCTACCCATGGGTGCAGCTGTCGGCTCTTCAGACTGTCGAAGGATTCACCGAAGGACAGAGCTCCGATGGAGTCAAAGATGGCCATATTGAAGTAGTACACCATCTCCGCAGAACGACCCGTGTCGGCCACCTCTCGCAGGACCTCAACCAGCAAGTCGGCGTACTGCAGAATGGTAGACTCCTGGGTGCGAAGACCCTTGTCGCTGAATGCATGGCCGAACAGACTACGGAACCGCGCATGGTTCCGCGTATCGGAGACGAGAATACTCATGACTCCGTTGGGTGCTAATGGGAGGCGTACGGGGTCCTTGAGGAACTCCGGTCGTCCTGGCACATGAGCGTGGATATCGCGCCAGGCTTCAGCATTTGCGTAGCTAATCTCATCGGGTTTAATCCGGACCGTATCGCCGTACTTCTGATGATAGCGCATTAGGTCATGGTGCATCGTACCGCGGAGTAGTGCGATCTTCCAGGGCAGGGAGCTGGCTCGCCATAGCAGTGGACCAGGATATCCACGGAGCGGATGGAGAAAAAGGTTGTACCCCAGATGGAAGAGCACGTAGCTCACCAGCGTGACAAGAGCTAAGACTGATAGCGAGAGAAAATACATGGCTGCTGTGGTTTGGGCCCTGCTCAATCCTAGTTTGAGACATGAAGGGTTAAAGTACACTATTGAAGTTATTCCTCGGACAGCGAACGGCAGGTACTCGGACATGGTATATTGGATACACAACTTCCATCTATGTGATTATGTTATCTGGTAATCATATCGACGGCCAGTAAACATACTACGGTAATGCTATTTGTCATGAAGAGTTATATTCTATGGCAAGGAGAACCACAAGTTGTTGTCCAGTGGTGACGTGCATAAATCCTACCACGACCCTTTCACATAGTACATTATAACTTGACTAGCTGTAACACTCCCAGCGAACCCAACATTGCCCCTGCCAACGGAAAGAGTGCTCGCACTGCATTGAATCGGTCCCATCTTCGCACCAGCTGCTCCGTCTCCTCCCAGGAAACTACCATCCCCTTGTTGGTTGCAGACTCTAGGCGAGCCAGCGCATTGTTAGTTGGGGCCATCACAATTTCCGTAAATGGAACCAAGCCGATGGTAGTGAGACCAGCAGCAGCACACAGACGCCAAGGTTCACCACTGAGGTATTGGTGAACAGACACTGAAGCGTAGAGAAAGGTTGTAGTGAGGCCTAACACTCGGCCTTTCGTAGTTCCAATTTGATAGAGGCGTCTTTGGTAGCCAATAAGCGGACCTGATTGAGTAATGGTTTGCAAGAAGGCAGGCATCGCTAGCCCATAGACGCTCATCATGGCTCCTGGATGGGTCAAACTTTGGACATAATCGAAATATGGACAGGAGAGGTACCGGACATGAACGAGCCCATGACCACGGCGGTAGCTTGAAGTACAGTAATCATCATGGTATAAACATTCTAATTTCTCTGTCAACATTCACCTTTACGTGCAGGAAGGATGCAAGTACAGTGGATTTTATAATGGGTTTGCACGCTCTCGGCGAGCGAAGCAACATGGTTTTCAATAAAACAATGGACATAACATGAAGCCTTCATGGCAGCGAAAATGATATTCGCCTAGTTTGACATACAATGATCACGTCAGACACGCCCATACCACCAGAATACCGCACATCATTCCGACAACCACCGTTTCCTTCGTTATTTTCTCTATCAAACGAGACGATCCACCTTCCAATAGATGACGCAGTAGGACTCCCCAGGTTTGATGGACATGACCAGTGGCGGTTACACCCACTGCGCGCCCGTGGAACTCGTTGTGTCGATAGGCAATCTCACACATCGCAGCTCCTAAGTCAGCGTAGCTGAGGGCAATAGCTTGGGACTCCGTAGAGATTAGACTATAGCCGGTTTTCTGTGTTCCATTCGCATCATGAAGCGTAGGAGGGTCCACGAGAATGTATTCCAATGTCCCCTGCTTCTGTGCTTCACTATAGTATTGGCACGCTTGCTTGATATCCGCGTAGTTTGCAAATAGGCAGAAGCTGACAATTCGATGAACGAAGGCCGGTACCTGGGCCGCCAGTGCAGGGTTCAACGAGGCTGAACGAAGTTGAACGATTGTGCATGGCTGGTAGTTTGCTCCCTGGGCCTGCTGTTGTCGCTGGAGCGCGGATATGATGGCATGACCAGTATCCTGGCACAATGTGGTGCCAATTGGGCTCCCATTCTGCGCCACACACATGAATGCAATACTAGCATTCCCCAGGCACTCACTCAAAGCATCAGAGTCTGTAGACGTTCCTTGTATAACATGGACTTGTGGGTTTCTTCTCATCTCCAGATCTGGGAACGCTTGTAGCAATTTGGCTTTTGACCTAACGAGGATTTGAATGCGAAGAGAATCCGGTGGTTTTTGAAGAAGATGACGTAGAATGCTGGAGCCAGTTGCCCCAGTGGCGCCAAGAAGGGCGTATGTGACCATATTGCTACAAGACAGCGAAGGGAAGGAGATGCAGACCGAGGAGGGAGGAAAGGCAGCTTTATAGTGAGCTTACCACGCCTGCCTGTCCAACGTTTACAATACCAGCGGTACACTATGCGAAAGGAAAGCCCTATGAAATGTATTTACCAATTTGGCTAGTGTAGGGAAGTCCTTAGGGCCTTTTAGGTACAGCAACCAAGATGGACTGATCTTTACTGTCGTAAACCTTTGACTGAATAATTTCCAGACCCGCCTGCTCTAGCAAATTGTCCCATTCGGCGCGTGTGCGCTCCACTCCTCCAAGCGAGTTCATCATAAGCAGATCTGTAAATGCCGCTTGCCAAGGCACTCCGGTACTGGGGATCACCATCTCGTCAATCAAAATCTGCGAGTCCGGTCCCATCGCCGGGATGATCTGCTTCAAGATCTGAACGCATTGTTCATCTGGCCAATCATGGAAGACATGACGCAAATAGTAAAACTTGGCATTCTGAATAGGCTGTGGTTCGAAGAAGCTATGCTCCATGAACTCGACCCCTGCCGCTGGCTGCGCGTTGGCCAGAGTTTGAGGAATATCCTGAACGATAACGCGACCAGGAAGATTGGGAAATTTGGCGCGCAGGGCTTTCGATTGCTGGCCAAAGCCTCCACCGATATCAACCATTAATACCTTGTCGGGACCTGGGAAATCTCCCAGCTTCTCAAGAACAGGGAAGTGGTCGACCCAGGAAACGGGACGCTCCAGAGCCATCAAATGACCCAGCGATTCCATGTGCTTGGGGTGCTGTGGCATCCACTCAAACATGGTTAGGTCACTGTTGAAGGCCTTTTGAAAGACACAGTCTTTGTTAGAGGTGATATCTCGGTAATCTCTCTCGGCCAGGAAGTCAGGCAATATCTGGGTACAAGGACCCGAGATGTCGAATCTAAACGGAGAACTCGGCATTAGTAGAGACTACGTTAACTGCCGATTAGGATCAGATCATACAGTTGCGCCACCGCACCTGCGGCATCCACCTTCGCGAACACATCTGTAAACGCACTCGAGGTATACTCTTGGGGCCCTGTCTCCTTGATCAAGCCAAACGCGGCCTGGGTCCGTAGGATGCGACCTATTCTGTGTTAGAATGCAACTCACTTACAAGGTAGATAGGGATTTAACCAAGGAGTCTAGGAGAAGCTCCTGTCTTCTTAACAAATTCCGCCAGCGTTATCGGCGTCTTGCTCTCCTTGAGGTCGCGGAAGATGCCCAGATCAATGCCGACCTTCGCGAGAGCGACTTGTAGGGGCTACAGGATGATCAATCTTCCCATTCCCATTCATAGCTAGGGTTTCAAATATGGGGAGACCTACTCCACTGCTCAATCGCATGACCACATCCCAGTCCGAGTAAAAGCCGACCTGAAGCTCGCGGATATGGCCCTGAATCTGCCGTTTGCCCACATCGTCTGTTCTGGCATACTCCTCTTTAATTTTCGCGAAGATGGATTCCATGTCAAGGCCCGTCATCTTTGTGACCCTGGTACTTACAACTGGCTGTATAGATTGTACAGTCAAATTAAGAATGTACGATGGGTCAATGCATGAAGTAACGGCCCCTGAGATAGGGAGGGATATTTGCTGGCATTTAACCTGTCTTTCGCGCTTTTTGTCCTACTCCCCGCCTGTATACCGAACTAATTGGAGGCCATGCAGAGCTAGATGCCTCGGGAGAAGTATGTGTCGCTCAGCGAAGGTCGCGGAATCCACCATGATGATCGCCGCGACGGGGCGAGAATACCAACTGGTGACTGTAACGGTAGCCTGGAGTTGCAGAATAAGCTTCAATTTTTCTTTGCTACGCTAATAATAATGCACTTCGGGTCTCCAGTTGGTCTAGTATGAAATTCTACTAGTAAGGGGGTTGTGTATTCAATCCCTGAGCATTGTAGAAGTTGCGTATGTGTATTATTCGACTGGCATAACCTAACCGTCGTACCCTAGCCAGAACCCTAACTGACCCCAGTTAGGTGAAGGTAGAAAACCGATTAACCTAGGTAGGTTAACCGCAGGTAACCGTAGGTGCCTTATAGGGCAGTAAGGCGACGAACTAAGTCTATATAGGAGGCGGTCTAGTAGGGTTTCTGAGAATACCGTCGGTAGGAAATAGCCCTTGTTCACCGCCTGCTTAAATTGGTTTTAGTTGGCCGCCTCAGGCAGAACTATGTTACCTGTAGCTTAACCCCGGAAGAAACAAAATATATGTACACCTCACCACGGTTAAACTACTAGTAGGGAGGAAGGGCAACCAACGCCATTAGCCTAACCTAGCTAGCCATACACCAGTCTGTGTATAATTAAAAACATAATGAATTGAATTACTCACAGAATATATGCCCTCAGTGGGTGGGGAAACGTTAGGTATTCGAGGAGCTTGTGGTGATATTGAGATATATTTATTTCCGCTTCTGAATATGCATAATGAACGCCCGCCCACATCTAGGATAGGTCAAATTCGCGACGTGTTACACTTCACGTTTGAAATGCAATAGCTTGATTGTAGACATAGAACCTTTATAGCTATATTTTTTAGGTGATGCTTGAACCATTAAGAGCGTACATTTGCATGGTTCTCACTGTACCATTTGAATGGAGAGTAATAGACAACGTACAAGTCGAGCTTGATGATATTACGTATGGATTGAAGTGCAGCTACATGCCAAATTTGTTTATCAAAATCGGGCCTAGGTGCGCAAATATGTGTTTCAGCGATATATATATCTAGATGTGACAAACGCAGTCCTGCAATGGTACTGTAGCGCTCAGCTTGCTTTCAGCGATGATTTAACACATCTATAGTTTCTAGTTTCTAATGAGGTTCTGAAGATATCTGTTCAGATGGCCCTTCAAAATACCCATGTAGTCTGTCTTCCATGTCTGAGGTCTAATTCGGCGTTTGACTGGGTATATGGGTGTAAAGTCATAAGTGTGTCCGTGAAGGCTTAATAGATGCAGGCCGATTCACAGCATAAAAATGGGAAATTATGTTTATTGTACTGGTAGGCATAAATACTTATCGATCGTACGAAAGGCTCTATACGGTTTTATCCTGAATAGTATACCTAAGTAGAAAAGTACTGATTCTCTTGAAATTTATCACGAATTAGGGCAAGGGATGTTCGCGAATCTTAGCTTAAGAATTCTCCTAACAGGCTACAAACATATCTCCAATGAATTCCCCTAGTCTGCCGAGCTTCCGTGCAGACGCAATTGCTGGACGCCCCAGTGCGACCCTTCCTCGCCTTTGCGCCACCACGTCTTCTCCGTCTCCAGTTTACCATCTACCGTCGTAATGAGCGAATCCCACTCCTTGACCGACCTTTCCTTACCGTTCAATGTGAGAACAACGGTCATGTCGATCTGATTCATGAATCGTTGCGAATCCTGCGCCAAAAGATCGGGCACAATCATTTCGTCCAACAGGATGCGCGACTTGGTCGGGTCCATGGCGCTGACAATGTTAGAGAGAATCTCCACGCATGCACTGTAGGAACAATTAGCCGTCAAAGCAATCCAAAGCGTTTCGGATGCCTTGCCACTCACGCATCGGGATAGTCATGGAGAATAGATCGGAGAAGGTAGACATCGGCACCACGCACTGGGTTCGGGTGGCGAATGTCATGCTCCATCATGGTGACTTTCTCAGTGTCCTCAACTCCGTGAATGACAGCAGGCAGGTCCTGGACAATGAACTTGAGGTGGGGATGCTTTTGCGAAACCCGCCGGCTGAGATGACCTCGACCGCCACCGACATCTACAATGGTGCTTCCCTCAGACAGACTGCTGAAATCAAACATCTCCTCTACCAGCGGCTTTGTGGCTTCGGTGCCACCCATACCTAGATCAAAGCGGCGGCCACGAACCTCATCCACCGTGCTGTAATAGTCAAACAACCCTTTGGCAGCTGTTTCTCACCCTTCAGCTAGGCTCCTGGATAGAATAGGGTTCATCACTTACGATCAAATGCCAACGAGAAAGGCGAAGGCACATTCCAGCTCGGAGGATTGCCTTTCGTCTGCTGCAAAAAGTCGGAAAAGCAGGCACCTGAACGCATCACTTCGTCACAACTAAACGCGGTCTCCCTGGTGAGGACATCCGGTAGTTTATTGTTAGAGGAGACTACTCACGAGAATCCCACTAAGGCATGAATTCCCTTCACCCTCAACATCTTGGAGGCATCAGTGTGGGCGTATTGGTCAGGGGCAACCTCCTCAAAGATGAAGCGCTGGGCACATCCGCGAAGAATCCGTCCTGAATATTGATCAATGCACTGCCTTTGAGCAGATAACAAAGTGGAAGCTCATACGTAGTAGGTCCTTGGAGACACCGGTTGCGGCGACGATTGTGTCGAGTGATGTGGAACTAGCTCCGTCCACAATGACATCCTGTAGATTGAGCTGGGTGGCAGCTGCTAGACAGGCACTATCAAGATGGGACAACGCGTTGCTTAGGAGCCAGGGAACAGGGCCATGAATCAAGGAGCCGATACGGTCGCAGGTGCGCACGATCTCCCAAGCCTGTGCGTGTTCGGCCGATGAGGAACTTTTCACACCCTCAATGCAGTGTTTATCGCCTTTCGGAAGCTCCGTTTCATCTGGAATTGCCAGATAACGCTTTACCTGTTCTGAAAGTGCGTTGGCAAGGCCCACGAGGGCGGCTTTGTCCGGCAGTGCCATGCTGATGGGGCTACGTCTAATGGGTTCAATTGAATGACTTGGGAAGGGAGCATATGAAGATAGAGGTTCGTGTCGGCTATGCCTATTTATCCTAATCCGCACACTCGTAGCTTCTTTGCTTTTACAATTTTACAAAATCCGCGAAAGGCAAAACAGAGGGCTGGGAACTCGCGGCACTTCGGCCAGCGATGCACTAAGGCAACAATCTGAAAGCCTGTCGGAAAGTGAAAAATACCACTGGAGGATATGTGTCATGACAGCCTTCCCCATTGCTCCCTACTACTGACAAATAGAGATTACGGATTCCTGTAGTCGATGAAGTCCGAGCCTGAAACCCTTAGCCTACTAGTGACTCTGGAGCGCCTGGGATACAGGGTTACACTCTTGTAGATGCCAATCCTGCTATTCGTTTCTCCAGCTGAGTTTGATGTAAATTAATCCTTTTGCTACAAGGCCTGTAGAAGTAGTCCTCTATGTAGAGCTAATAAATGGTCCTCTCTTGTTACTCTGCATTTTGCTGGAGGGTATCTAGGGGAAGGTTCAGATTAATTAGTACCTCACAGAAGTAGATTACATTATGCTCCAGGCGAATCCTACTTCGATGTTCCTTGTACACTACGACAGCTGTATGGTCTGGCATGGCTGTTCCTTGATTAGCGGTATTATGGCAGAAGCTTATTCTTCTAGCTGAAGTCAAATATAGAAGCATACGAACTACTATAGCACTTGACGTAATACAACCTCCTAGACAGCCTGCATACTCTGAACAGTTAATTTACTATTCACTATTGTGTAGGTGGAACCCTTGGAGTTAACTAGCCAGGGGAAATTCCCGCAAGCTTTAACGCCAGCGCCACAGACACGGCTTTCTTCAGAAGTTATTTATAGTATCTGCTTCCCCATCCCGAGTTAGAGTATTTGAAGAAGTTGGCTTTCGTCGGTCGAAGTTTCATACGGGAGACCCGAGCAGGTAAAACTTTCGGAAGCCGAACGCTCATTTCAGTCTCTGCACCAGATACGGCGCAAGCGAAATTCACAAGTCTTTGCACGATTCACTCAGCATCCAGTCCTACCATCACTTGGCTTTCACCCGACCATGATTATTGGCCTAATTATCTGTGCGGGGGCCTTACTCGGCTTATGGCTTTTGGAGAAGCTGCTGGCGCCCAAAGACACACATCCTCCCCTCCCTCCAGGACCGTGGAGGAAGCCTATCATTGGGAACCTGACCGACTTTCCGCCAAAGGGAACCCCGGAATGGTTATTTTGGGCTAAGCACCAAGGGCGATATGGTACTGGAACCCTCTTCCTGTCCACCTATCTGACGTGTAGACTGTTCTAATGCTTGGGATATGTGCGAGTGAGCAGGGCCCATAAGCTCCCTGGAGGTCATGGGGCAGACCATTATCATGATCAACGACGCTCAATTGGGTATAGAGATTATGCACAAGAAGTCAGCCTTGAGTCAGATGATCCCAGATGCCCCCTTTGCGCATATGTAGGCGAGAACCCTTTGCAGCATCCTATAGGAACTGGCACTGATGACATGCTAGGGCAGGGTGGGGCATGAGCTTGGCTACCGAGCGCAATAAGCAAGCATGGAAGACCATTCGAGCCAATATGAAACAGGAAATCGGGACCAGGCGAGCCATTTCTACTTTTCATCTCAAGATGGAAATCGGCATTCGACGATTCTTGTTGAGGACGTTAGACAGTCCGGACGACCTTCGGTTCAATATCCGGAAGTAAGCAATGTCTGACGGTTATTGGTGGTGCTTGACATACTGAACCAGGGAAATATAACTATAGGGAAGCGAACGCCTTCATGATGGATGTGGCCTATGGGTACACGATTGCGCCGCATGGGAAAGATGAGTTGTATGATCTGACCCAACGGTCAGTTCGGCAGTTTTCCCACATCTTCTCTCCGGGAGAGTGGAGTGTCAATTTCTTCCCCATACGTGAGAAAGCCTGTATGACAAGATGCGGCTGATGCTGATGCTGAAACAGTGCGATATGTACCATCCTGGTTCCCCGGAGCTTCGTTCCAAGTTAAGGCAGCAGAATACAAGCGGACCATCGAAAAGATGACTATGGTTCCCTACTTATGGATAAAAGATCAGGTCGCTCGGGACTGCTGCCGTCCTTCCGTTCTCTTGCGCTTGTTGCAGAAGGGTCACTATGAATCTGGATCACAGGAAGAACAGGTGTTAGTATGGACGAATGCCGAATTCGTTATGGGAGGATCGGACACGGTAAACCATGCTTTGCCTTATCCTTTCGGATATGAAGCGCGTTAACCCATTATACAGACAGTGTCGGCTGTGTCTAGCTTCTTCGTGGCCATGGCCTTGTACCCCGAGGTTCAACGCAAGGCGCGTGAGGAGCTCGACCGCGTCGTGGGACCAACTACTCTGGCGACCTTCGAGCACCGCTCACAGTTACCCTTTATTGACGCCCTTGTCAAAGAGGCATTTCGATGGCATCCTGCTTCCCCTTTGGGTGCCCCCCATATTACGCAGGAGGATCAGATCTGGGATGGTTATCTGCTGCCCAAAGGGGCTCTCCTACTGCCGAATATCTGGTTGTTCCCCTTGCGTTCATTCTCTTTTTCAGTCTTTAAGCTAACACTATACTTATTCAGGGCCTTTACCCATGATCCCAGTGTCTACCAGGACCCCATGGTGTTCAAGCCAGAGCGATTCCTGGAGGGAAATGGCTCCCCGCCGGAAACAGATCCCATGAAATTTGTGTTTGGCTTTGGGCGTCGCATATGCCCCGGTCGGTTCCTAACTGACGAAAAGCTATTTTTACTTGCATGCCACACGCTCAGCTGCTTCTTGGTCTCGCCCAAGGATCCAGCAGCTCCGGAGCCCGACTGGTTGCCGGGGGTCATCAGCCAACCGAGCCCGTTTGGCCTTAATGTGGTGCCTCGCAGCCCTGCACACGAAGCATTGATTCGCTCAATCGAGACGGACCATCCCTGGAAGAATGCCGATGCTACTGACATCTCCCGATTCATGGCCAGAAATGAGATGATTTGAGAGATATACGTATTCCCTGGGCATTACGACTGGTGTTTAGAGGAGAAGACGCTGTCTCTACGGGCTTTGCTTGAGCTAGATATTCCGATACGCTCCGTTGTATCTCTAGTAGATGTCTTTAGAACGTACTTCCAAAAGTTGGTAGTTAATCGAGGAGTTCATATCAATAAGCTATGTGAGTGACAATCTCTTCGGATCACCGTATTAATTATTCGAGTCTAATCGTGTAGAAAGGCTGTACTCAAATGGACGACATTCCCTTCAGCTAGGCACAGAATATATCCAATGACCTGTTCATTAAAACTGGCCATAGCATACAGACATCGGTGGGACCCTGAAAAGCCGATCAGGGATCAAGAGATCGACTCTCGGACAGCGAGGCAGACCGTTTGAGAAAATGATGCAAGGCCTTACGGATGACCACCATTTAAAGGGCCGGGCAGAAGCCCTATCGCTCCAATGCCTTAACAGCTGCTAGGGTCCTTGGCATATTGTTTTCATTACCTTTTACTATGGGACGAAGTTGGTTCCAGATAGCAGCCATGACGGTCGCCCCCGTGGTGGGCATCATGGCTGTCAATCCCACCATCCTGTCATCCGCAGCTTCCTCGCTCCCATCGCTAGGAGCAATCTTCACATCGGACAATTTTGCCAGTCAAATGGACGGGCGCATTCAGGCGCAGGGGCTGCTCAGCTCACACTTTGGCATGTACGGATGGCCGGGACAGTCGTTCGACTACGTGATTGTCGGCGGTGGAACGGCGGGCCTGGCCATGGCCCGTCGCCTGTCACAGGATGGATCTGCCTCAGTTGCTGTGATTGAGGCGGGGGGATTTTATGAAACCGATGCTGGCAATGCCACAGAGGTGCCGATGTATCTGTTCAACTACTTCTTCGACAATGGTAAGGTTAAAAACCCTCTATTCGACTGGTACCAATACACGACGCCGCAGCCCGGGCTGGCACAGCGCGAGATGTTTTATATGCAGGGAAAGACCTTGGGCGGAAGCACTGCACGAGGAGCCATGTTGTACCACAGGTAAGTCACGGTCATTGCACCTGGATAGCATCCGTGGGAGTAAAGTGTTGACTAGAAGGTTTAGAGGCTCGAAAGGCGCATACGATATGTGGGCGGATCACGTTGGCGACGACAGTTACACATGGGATAAATGGCTGCCATATTTCCAGAAGAGCGTTCACTTCTCTGGTCCTGGAACTAACCCTCGTCCTACGAATGCGACTGCTCTCAACGACAACACGGCCTTTACGGCTTCGGGAGGCCCCGTACACGTCGGCTATCCGTTCCAGGTCAATGCCATCTCGTCCTGGGTGGACAAGGCTCTGGCCAAAATGGGCTTTCCTGAAGCCCAGGGCTTCTCCAATGGCAACTTGTTGGGCCGTTCATACATAACCCACACCATCAACCCCTACACCCGTCGCCGCGAGACCGCTTCGTCTTCGTATCTGCGCGAGGCGCTGATGGAGAGCAATAACCTCAATATCTTTACCCGCACTCTGGTTAAACGGGTACTTTTCGACGATCATAATCGAGCCACAGGAATAACAGTAAGCACCGACGGCTTCGAGTGGCAGATCGGGGCCAAAAAGGAGGTCATTCTGAGCGCCGGCGTCATGCGTTCACCCCAGCTGCTGATGGTGTCGGGCATCGGGCCCAAAGCCCATTTGGAGAAGCTGGGCATTCCAGTGCGATCCGATCTCAGCGGAGTAGGCCAGAACATGCAGGACACCATTATCCTGGGGCCTACAGTTCCAGTTAAGGTCGAGAGCCACAGTCAATTGATGGGCAACAAGGAGACACTGCCACGGGCTATTCGCGAATATAACGAGGAGCGTAAGGGTCTCTTGACCAACCCTGGCCAAGATTACTTTGCTTTCGAGAAACACCAGCCAGGCATGCTGAAGGAATCTACTGCCGCCGATATTGACGCCGCATTTCCCAACGACTGGCCGACCTTTTCATATATTGCACTTGACGACACCTTTGTTCCACAATACGACGGCAAGAATTATTTCAGCATGTCTGCCGCTCTGATGACTCCCTTCAGTCGAGGTACGGTAACAATCAACAGCAATGATACAGCCAATCCGCCCATCGTGGACCCACAGTGGTTGGCCGATCCAAGAGACCAGGAGATGGCGGTTGCTGCCTTCCGCCGCTGTCGCGAGATTGTTGCATCGGACGTGATGCGTGAGGTCGTTGCTGGGCCCGAGATTCTACCCGGGCCGCAGTATCAGACGGATGACGAAATTCTGAACTACATCGCCGAGACATCAGATGCTTACTATGCCGGTGTCGGCACCTGCGCTATGGGTAAAGCAGACGATCCCAAGGCGGTGGTGGATTCCAAAGCCAGGGTTTTAGGCGTTAAGGGTCTGCGCGTAGTCGATGCTTCTATCTTTCCGTTTGCTATTGACGGACAGCCCATGGGCACAGTGTATGCTCTGGCTGAGAAGATTGCTGCTGAAATGACGGCTGAATAGTAGTGACGGTGGATCAGGTCGCATCTGGAGCTTCTACTAGGCATTGGCCAAATGTTATGGTTAGGTTTTTGAAGGCATCCTGAGCTGTTTCAATCTATCGTATGGCGTAGCACCAACCAGATAGACAAACAATATTGTTGACTCCAAATGAAATGTGTTTCATACCCTTCTCGAACTCGCACTGGCGATTTGTTCACCATATATCAACTTAACTCTATCTGTTAGAGAATCAGTCTAGCATGACAGATAATTAGAGGATATCCAGCCCGCACACCCCAGAGCATTCCGATTTTACTTTGCTAATATTTGAAAATTTTATCTTGTTAACGTAATCAAGCATTTCATAAGTTGTACTAGGTTATAATTCCGTACCGATAAGGGCAGAATTGGATCGACTGCTAGGAATATGGTTTTGCTGCAGTGCGAACATCCCACACTCAAAATCTATCTAACAGAGCTTTATTGAACCTTTCTACGTACACTCTATATGCCTGGCCTGGACTAAACTCGAGGTTAGTGTATTGAGAATCAAAACTCAAGTCCATCTGTGTCATCCATCCATCCGTCATACAACATCAATACTACAACTGAATAGCACAGCGCCGCGCCTTGGGCATACCGGCGATGAAACTATCAATCATGACCATGGTCTCCGGAGTAGTCGAAGGTGCCAACTTGGCTCCCGGGCAGCGACGGAAAAATAAAGCCGTAGCGAGACGCAGCTGCATCCAGCCGAGATGAATGCCTAGACATTGACGTGCGCCCTGGCCGAAGGGATTGAATGACATCTTCGCCTCTTCTGATAGTGATGTTCCCGGCAACCACCGTGTGTGGTCAAATCTGCTGCCACGTCAGTCGGAGATTTACAATTCAAACCGACATGAAATAACTTACGAATGAGGGTCTTTCCACACCTTCGGATTGCCGTGCAGACTCCAGTTCTGCGTAACGACCACGGCCGAGGGAGGGATGTAATACCCACACAGGGTGGCACCGTCTGGGGGCGGACTGCGAGGCATCGATCCAGGGGCCGGTCCATACAGACGGAGACTTTCATGTATCACCGCATTCATGATCGGTAGCTCTGCACAGGCAGCATCGGTGATATCTTCTGGCAATCCGGCAACTTCGGACTCGAGCTCGGCCTGCAATTTGGGGCGATTCAGCACGCACCAGATGAGAAATGTCAGAGATAATGCCGTGGGGTCCGAGCCAGCCAGGAGCAACGCCCCAGCATCGGTGATGATCTCCGTGTCGTTGAGGCCGCCGATCTTGCTCTCGAAATCGCCTGCGGCCAGGGCTTTGACGAACAGATTCCGGTCTCCCTCGCCACCACGCGCACCACGGGCAATTGCCACGACGCTCTTGCCTGCTTCAAACATCATCTCCTGCGAGAAGAAGACGTCGTGTAGCCGGGGCACCCCGCGTGCAAGCAGACGACCTAGATAGTACAGCGGTGGGGTGAAATGCTGCAGCAGATGCGCCAGGTCGCCCATGCGACGTTCCAGCATTAAGACGAAGGGATCCTTGGTTCCATTGCGCACCGTATCATGTCCGCCATTGAACGTTAATTTGCACACAGTCTCATTGGCCATCAGAGTCCACCAGCCCAGGATTTCCGCTTCGCCCTGCTGCGCGTCGTGGCGAATTTTCTCAACCGTCAGCGCAACAATGTTGCGAATCGTCGGCTCCCACTCTTGCCGCAAACTATTCAAAGTAAAGCCTTTGGCGTACAGCTTGCGTCGGTTGCTATGTAGCTTGGCATCGCGGAAATTGAAGATGTTATCAACCGGACCTGGGGAGAGCAGCTTATAAAAGGGGGCTTTAACGAACCCCGACCCCATGCGGTGGATTTGCTTAGCAGCCCCGGGATCCGCTATGTCAACCTCCTCGGGGCCGATGAGTACAATAGGTCCATACTTATCGTGGAGCGATTGCACATAATAAATGCGATTGTTGGCAAATGATGCCCAGGCGAGCCGAGCACTTGTTAGGCGCGCATACCAGGGACCAGGAACCTTGCGAAGGGGGCTGAAATATGCCGTTTGCAGAATCTATTGCGTAGTTCAGAGTCATATTCTGCCAGGTATCGATCCAGAAGTTGCGGAACTGTGACTTACCTTGACAATTGTGCTCAGAATCCAGGCACCACCCACGGTGAGGAACCACCAGGTGAGCGGAACTTGCTCGATGGCCCGAATGAGGTCTCTGGGCGGAGTGTTGATCATAGTTTACAGAGGCAAACAAATACGAAGTATCTAACCTGTGATTTTCCTGGGACGAAGTCGTCTAACATATCTTGAAGCACTGCAGTACGGACACCGGATGGGGAACCAGAGCCATTCTCGCCCACCGGAATCTTGCCCTTTGGTCTTTTTGTTGTTTTAATTACCGTTGTGCCTAGTATTTGACGCTATTGCGTTCGGATATGCTCGACACGTTTACATTTGGCGGCGTGATATGGTGTTTTTCTCACTCTATGTATGATCGAGGGAAGCTTGCCATAATCATCGTTATATTGGTACGCTCTAATTCCTGGTCGAGTAGCAATAGCGTGAAACACTAACCTGCCTAGTTCCTATTCAACTGCACTGAATACCAATGAAAGGATGACATAAACATACCATTCGTAGACGAAGGAATCCCCGTCTCGGCCGTCGGGGACTTGTCGCTCGCCGAATGCAAGTATTTGGTGAAGGTACTATCGCCCTAACTACGCTCCAGATAACGCTCTCGATATCACTAAAGGTCACAGGGATCATAACAGAACAAGATGTCCAAAGTAGACTACTCTCAGCCCGGCTCGACTGGGTATGAAATCCCGCAAGATCTCACCTGGAACGACCCGGCCAACCGCCCGTTGCGGGTGGTGACCATCGGCACCGGCATCTCGGGGATACTGATGGCATATCAGATCCAGAAGCAATGTTCTAATGTCGAACACGTTTTGTATGAGAAAAATGCGGACGTGGGTGGCACCTGGTTGGAAAACCGCTACCCCATGGCCGGTTGCGATGTCCCGAGCCATGCCTACACCTACCCATTTGCCCCGAATCCAGACTGGCCCCGGTACTTCTCCTATGCGCCCGATATCTGGAATTACCTCGACCGGGTATGCAAAGTCTTTGAGCTGCGCCGCTACATGGTGTTCCGCACTGAGGTGGTGGGCTGCTACTGGAACGAAGACCGCGGAGAATGGACAGTCCGACTGCGACAGCAGGCTGGCGAGGGAGAACCCCGAGAGTTTGAAGATCATTGCCATGTTTTGATTCACGCGACGGGGGTATTCAATAATCCTCAGTGGCCTCAAATCCCCAACCTCCATGACCGGTTCCAAGGCCGAGTGATCCATACCGCACGATGGCCCGACGACTATCAAGAGTCGCAATGGAAGCACGATCGAGTAGCGGTTATTGGCTCCGGAGCATCTTCCATCCAAACGGTGCCCGGGATGCAACCCACGGTGAAGCAGCTCGATGTCTTTGTCCGGACGGGCGTGTGGTTCGGAGTGCTAGCGGGCAACACTGGCAGCCAGACCAAGGAATACACACCTACCGAGCGCGACGAATTCCGGCGCAATCCAGCGGCGCTTGTGGCCCATGCAAAGACCATCGAGGACCAGGTCAACGGCACCTGGGGGGCCTTTTACACGGGGTCCAAGGGGCAAACGATGGCGTCGGCGTTTTTCCGCCAGCGCACCGCCAACTTGATCAAGGATGAGAAGCTACGGAAAGGGCTTGATCCATCCTTTGCGTTTGGTTGTCGTCGCATCACCCCGGGCGACCCCTACATGGAGGCGATTCAGAAGGAGAACGTCAATGTACACTTCACCCCTGTGGTAAGCTGTACAGAGAAGGGTGTGGTTGGTGGCGATGGGGTAGAGCGCCAGGTTGACACTATAGTATGTGCCACGGGCTTCGATGCCTCGTATCGGCCACGTTTCCCCATCGTGGGCCGAGACGGCGTGGACCTGAGGGAGAAGTGGAAGGAGTGCCCCAATTCATATCTGGGCCTTGCCGTGCCGGAGATGCCCAACTTTTTCACATTCATCGGGCCGACGTGGCCTATACAAAATGGCAGTGTCATTGGGCCGCTGCAGGCCGTCTCAAACTACGTGGTACAGTGGATTAAAAAGGCCCAGAACGAGAATCTTCGTAGCTGGGTGCCGCGACAAGATCGCACGGATCAATTTAACGATCATGTCCAGGAGTGGGTGAAGAACACGGTCTGGACAGATGAATGTCGAAGCTGTACGTTTCCTCTTTCAACAGCCACGGCTGAACGTGCTAACAAGAATCATTTAGGGTACAAGAACAATGAGACTGGTCGGGTCAATGCCATCTGGCCCGGCTCTTCGCTGCACTACCAGCAAGTCATCAACCAGCCTCGCTACGAAGACTTCGACATCCACTCGTTCCATCAGAATCCCTGGGCCTGCCTGGGCATGGGGTGGACGATCCAGGACCGCAAAGGCCCGAAGGAAGCCGATGTTAGTCCTCATCTGGGTCTACAGGAGATCGACCCGAAATGGTGGGAATCAATCGAGCATGACGGCGGTTCCAATGTAGTTTCTGACAGTACCCTCTAGGTACGAAGAGGTTGGCGGCAATCTGCGGACATTACAGGAGCAGCTCGAGGGTCGTGAGTCGCCCACTGTGCTGCATAGCAGCGAGGGATCGAAATCCTGGTCTGCAATGGCCGCTAAATGGATTCCAGTGATCCTGCTTGGCTGGGCGCTTGTTCGTTTCGCGTAATAGCCGTATGTGTATAGATTAGAGTTTCAAGGCAATCCACAATGATCCGTTTATATTGCATAAGCTCTAAAAGACTTAGATATTCCATCTATATGTGTTATTAGAGGTCTTTCTTGGACTTGGGCTGGGCCATGGGGCAATCCCCGAAATACTTGTAGGTCCAAGGAAAGAAATGGAATAGCAGCCCAGTCATCACATAGTATACTCCTTTCCACGGAAACGCCGTCCCATGTCCGACTGCATTGACGCTCACATTCGTCATGTCATATCTCTTATCGTCCGCGTTAGCAATCTCCACCATCCCTGCTGCCACATCAAGGAAGGAAACCGGCGTCTTCGCGGTTTTGGTGCTCAGAATATGACCCCGTTGCACATCGTGCACTAGTCCCCCAGGTTTCACGAAAGTTGTGGACACCCAATGCTTCTCAGCACGTAGGACCTTCTCGGCCTTTGCAAGATCACTGTAGAGATTACCAGCGGCTATGTTGAGGACTCGGTGAATGAGGGGCGGAACGTCGGTGCATAAAGAGTCTTCGAGGCTAGCAGAAGATAGCACAATTAACTGGGGTAGAGGCTGGCATCCTTCTGCTTGGAGCTTTCTGAGAGCTTTAAGCACGGCATTGGTGCAGTCCTGGGCGATAGTACAATGTGGCATATTGTCGGGAATCGCCACTACCATGAAGACGGCTCGCGTGCCTCGAATGCATTCAGATAGTAGTGACACATCCTCCAGCAACCCTTCCCACACTTTCACCTGATGGTGTTGAGTGATTCCAGGATGTACTCGGTCCAGCTTTGAGGCAGACCGGCAGTAGGCGTGAATCTGGTTGTCGGGCGACTGCAGGAGGACGTTCAGTAGTGCCTGGCCAGTGTTGCCAGTGGCCCCTAGAATAGCGTACTGACGCATTGCAATTTTGTAGTCTTCGCTGGGAGTACTGCTCGAGGATAGTCCGATAGGTTGCAGAAACCTACTCGTCATTTCCTTGCTGGGAATATGGAAGTCTATGATTAAATTCGGCCCGAGGTTGGGGATTCTGAATCTCGCTCTCCGAAAATCCGTACGCATACAAGTACAGCGCTGCGAAGAGCTGAACAAGAGATAAAGTTCCACTAGTCGAAGGAAACCAAGTTTGGATGAATTAGAATGATAGGCTATTGACGCATTTGTCGTACAGATTTATCCACCCGATTAATGATTGAGACCATTGTCCTGGTCTGCCTCTAGTGGCTTGAGTTCTATATCTTTATACCAAGTGGCAGTCAATCCATATCATGGAGAAGGGGGGAGCTCCTCCAGATCTGGGAAATCATCCCAGGCTCCTTCATCTCCACACCAACGCACCCACCGCAACATGATCGCAGAGACCTGCGAGTGCTGTCCGCGCCCTTGAGCCGACATCTGCTTGACCTTTTCGGTTTGCCGCACCCAGTTTGGATCCAACATACGCTCGACCGAATCCATTGTCATGTGTGCCAGTGTTAGAAAGTCTGCCTTCTTCAAAGGGAAACCTTCCTCTCCCTCGAAAGGTTGGCACACATTCTCGGCGCACATCAGTGCCCGGATGACCTTGCATGCATGTCCGTCGTCCTGGTAGACGCGGGCGCGCTGCACCACGTCGGGCCACCCAGTTGCCGCTTGCTTGGGTTGGTACCTGGTGATTCTATCTGGGTACAAGTTTGGGCATCCCAGAGCCGCATAGGTGACCAGGTCGGAGCGTACTTTCCTCTCCAATAACCGAGCTCGTGTCTCTATGCTCATCCATTTCTGTCTATTAATTGTGGGGAAGAATACGGCGGCCGTCAATGTATGCAGCATAACAAAGTCGAGAGCTTCCACTTTGCGTGGATGCTGGGCCGCACCACAGATATAGGCCGAGGCTTGCAGCATCTCCGCCGTCTTGCGCGCGAGATCCTCCTCCGTTCGCTGTACCTGAAAGTGGGACAAGTGAGGGATTAGCTCCTTCAGGGCTCGTTTCAGCAGCGCATCCGCCATTCGATTGTTGCCATCTTCTGGCCCGACCGCTTTAGAGACCACCGGGTCTAGACGCATCTCTTCCACAATGGAGAGGATTGGGAGACTTTGCGGTCGTCCGTTGCATTCCAAATGCTGCTCAGTCACGTTGAGGAACTCCGCAGGGTACGATGGGTGCAGACACGTTGAAGCCAGACATTCCGCGACTAAAAATGGCTGTTGAAACTCTAAGGCAAATCCGAGATCGATCAATGGGTGGATAAAGCCTGTACACAAGATCTTAACAGTTGAAGCCGGCTATACATCGGGGTCATGCATACCGGAAAACAGTCGGGCTAGCAGATCCTCCGCCAACGTGTCTCCCTTGAAAAGATAGTCATTCAAGACCGTGGGGATACCCTTCGCCGCCACCTCAGCCTGGAAGAAGCGCACATAGTCTCCATATAGCTCGAAGTTGCCTAGTCCTTGCCGAAAGAACTCGGGATCACGCAATTTAATGGTGACGGAGGGATCGTTATAGTAGGTCAGAAGCTGAAAGGGCTTGTTAAAGTCATACGCAGTTTGCAACTCGTCGAGAGTAGCTCCCAAGGCCCACAGTGTTAAAACATGGTGGCTAATGTGGTCTGGTTCGCTGGTCAGTAGAGGCTCCGCTGTGTCTCAATCAGGACACTCACTGTGGAATCCCACAATTTCGTCATGAAAGGTGTGAAACTTCGAGTGATTGCTCATAACTAGATCCGAGGCCCGGTCTGCGCTTTGCTGCTCCAGGTTTTCAACATGAGTGAAACCTGGTGTGTCCGTTGCAGAGAGCTGGATATTCCAAGGAGTGGCTTGATATGGTCCCTTCTGAGGGTCTGGTTTGCCAGCGACTGCTGGTACGTGCGATTTCATTTTTTTCACACTTATCTCAGTTGTGCAATGTTTCCTTCTCAACCATGAACCCCTGGACCTTTCGTCCTTCATGTCCACCTCCGAGTAATTTATATGCTCTCGGCAATGTTTCCTTCGCTGACCGAACATCCACACCCTCTGTTAGAAACACTCAGCCCCTCAGAATTCGAAAAGCAACGCTGAGATCTTGACGTGTTGTCAGCAACCTAGAAAGCCCAGCGGGGTTTATGTCCCTTGTAGCTCGGCAAAACCCAAAGGTCAAATATATAGTTGTAAAGAATTATGATAGCATGTACTAGGGTCTTGTCGTATTGGGGAGAAGTAGCAGTTCAAGTGAAAGGGAGAGCGTTGCCAGTGCTTTTTAATCCAAGGATAGAAGCAGTATAAAACGAATAATAGCCCAGCTTAGAGACAGAGTGGATCGAACGAACAGGTCTCGACTACCCTCGAGCTTCAAACCCTATGCAACTCCCATATTCTTACAGTTCACTGCATCCGGATGGTGTACGAAGCCCCTTGGTGCTCGACTAGGCCCTGTATAGCGAGACCTTACCGGTTTGGGTTTCAACGGAGATATGAGGTAAAAGCAATCAATCGATCAGTCGAAGGCTCCCTCCACCAGAGTACTTCCTTCCTCAAATTCTCAAGCTCCGTATCCCTGTGCTGCCTTTTACGCAACGGTTTCGATATCGACGCCGAGCCTTAATGTTTTAACAGACAGTAGTCTATCGATACTCATACCCTCGACGTCCTTTAAGAAGTACTGGAAATATTAATTAGCCAGAGATAGGCCTGTAAAACCAATTCATGCTTACTTTGTACCGATATTTTGCACCTGCCACATTATATTCCCCCCAATGGTTCGAGCCGGACAAACCGCCAACCCTTCGCTTGGAGTTTCACTTCGCCCGGTGCTCCGCCGCAAATCGTTTCCTCAAGGTTTCCATGAGTGAGCGGCTGTGTTCGTGGTCGGAAGAGAACCCCTCCGCTCGCGGGAGAGGAAGCGATGAGTTGATTGAGACATATCGTACCTGGGGACGGGGTAACATAGGGAGCAATTGTGACTGGGAATGTCATGATCGATCACAACCAAATCGAAGCCGAGGGAAACTCCATAATCCCGCCTAACGCTCTATGCTCTGGGGAACGGTTTCATCAGTTCGCGAATCTAGCTGCTGCTGCCCGTGCAAATGGATCCTTAATCCTGGCACAGATTGGCCATCCAGGACGCTAGACCCCCTCCCACCGTCAACCGGAACTGATCAGTGCCAGCGACGTGCTACTGGATCACCGGAATATGGGGAACCCAAAACAGACGCAGTCTTACCAATCGCATGTATTTATTTTGGAGATCCGTGCAGCCATCATGGAGAAGGTCCGTCTGGGCTTTATAGTTGGGATCAAAATTAACAGTGTCGAGTTTCAGTCAAATGGAATTAATTATTTCTGACGAGGCCTGCGAGCTGTGTCGTGCGCTTGAAACGCACCAATCGACTTTGTTAAATTACTGGGGGTGGGGATATAAGAACTTGGGGGAGGATGATAATGCAAAGCATGTCATCTCGAAATATCATGAGGCTGTAGGCTCTCTCTTTCGATTGGCCGCTTTCCGAAGTTGGAAGACACTAAAAGAATGGCCGGTCCTTTCTCGACATTGCTCCAAAGGTTGTTTCGTCCCTGACTAAGATGAAGTCCTACCAGACAGGAGGATTCCGCTCCACGGCTGGAATGGTTGATGGCCTACAGACCGTTGACGGCATTGGGCTTGCACGTCCATTCTGTCAGGAGCCATTCCTTTGCCACGAGATACTAAGTGGCAAGATCTCTGGCGCTATAATTCCGGGTATGTACCAGCTCAACTATCAGCTCACTGTTGCAGCAGCATGCATTCAAATGAGACAGATTGGTAACAAGGTGCAACCGGTGGATCTGAGTTCCCAGAACGCGGTGGATGCAGTCACTGCAGCAGTTGAGGATTGAAGCGAAAGGTGATTGACCGGTCGGAAGAGGCGTTCAAGCCCCCATTTTTGTCTGGAGACCAATCTCTGGTGGACGGTAATAATTGTTTCGGAGTATGAGCCGGGTAGTACGGCGTCGTATAGGTGATTCTTAAATATTCTGGTTATACGGAGGACTCTGTGTACTCATTGGCAGCCTGAGGCGACAGCGGATAACGGAAAGTAGTATAGCGCCTATTTTGGATTCATTTGCATTGTGAAACAAAATCAGGATTAAGACAACGGCGAGGAAATCGTTCAATCCCAAAAGACAACGACTTGGATCCGAACAGCTGGGGACAGTTCTAGAGTTGCGACTGTTGCCCGCCGTTCCCCAGGACCAGGTTGCCTGTGTGGACCGAGAGTGCCTGGGGGACATTGAAAAGCATCGATCGGTTGTTCAAAACAGAACATGACCACCGTGGGTACGCGCTAAGCCCTTTTGGGTTAGGGGCACCGGGCACCAATGAGAAGCCGTACGAGAGATTTCCAGCCCTGAGGGCATTCAAGCTGTACAATGTACACCAGTGTAGTGTCCCATCGGATCAACTGCGATCAAGTAATATTAGTAGTACTGAGTTTTGTATTTATTCTGGTGACTGGATATCTGGGGCTATCGAATATTGCGAAACAAGGATACTACCAGTCTCAGGGAGTGTAAGAGCGCAAGATATATATTTGCACTAGAGTAAACTACTGGTTACGAGCAGAGAGTGGCAGTGCACCAGATCACCCTGAAGCGAGAGGTCGGTGGAGGAATAATCATCATCATAATTGACTGTATAAATCACTGAACTGGCAGCCCCTGGTTAGAACTATATTCACTGTAGTATATTTGTTATCACGCCGAATTTACTGTGCACTGTTATTTGGGCATTTCACGCGCGGGTTCGGGTTTGACCCACGCCCGACCCGGCTCTGGGTCGGGTTTTTGGATCAACCCCCCGCCCCGAACCTGCCTGGACTTTAGTTAACCCGCCCCGGTCTGAGCTGACACTAGGCCGAAATAGATCTAGTACACCCGAGTCAGCACGTGCCTTACCGAACTTGGTCTAGCATTGTTGATATGCCGTCTGAAGATGGAACACGCGATGGTCTATTCGATTAAGCATGTTAAGGCACGGCTTGTGTCCGTTATGTATCTACAATCACCATTATGGTGCATCTCTTATTCAATCTCAGCATCGATGACGCCCTCCACAGCCATTGGGTGCCGCGAGATGCTGGTGACCTTAAACCCGCCCTCCTTCAACAGCGCCCTCCACGCCTCCTCGGTCCTTTCCAGCCCACTGGTGCAGCTCATCAAGGCCAGGTCTAGCGTGGTCATCAAATGCGTCGCGCCTTGTGCGGGTAGTACGATTTCGTAGATCAGCAGCCTGGAGTACCCCGGCGTCATGACCTTCTTCACCTCGGCAAATATGCGCGCCACGTCGGCATTGGGCCAGTCGTGCGGCACAGCGTGGAAGAAGTAGGCGCGGCGCGGTGATGGCTGCGGTTGGAAGAAGTCGTGCGCCATCTTGCGGATTCGGCTGTCTAGTCTCTCCTTGCCATGCGTGGTGACCACTTCAGGCAGGTCTTGGACAATGAGGACGTTGGGCGGGAGCTCGGGGTGGCGGTCGAGCAAGCGTTGGGCGTCGAGGCCTTGAGCGCCACCCACGTCGACGAAAAGTGGCTTGGTCAGGTCAGCGCCGGCCACGAGGGGCTGGGTATCGTAGACGTCCGTCCAGAGCATCTTGTATTGAGTCACCGCCGTCATGACACCCTGGAACGAGCCACCTGCTTCGGGGTGATCTTGGACGTAGCTAAAGAGGTCCCGCCCGAAGACATCGCGGTAGTTGTCAAAGGAAGGAATGTCAAGCGGCTCTTTGTAGCCATTGTTGGCCAGAAAGCCCGCAAGGTTCCGGCCACAGGGAATGGAATGATCCAAGCTGCATGACGAGTCAATTTCTATGAGTCCCGTCCGCACATTCTAGGTTCTGGTATTGCTAGCCTTGCACACGTACCCCGCCTTGATTATTTCGCCGATATGCGTCTCTTTAGCGCCCAGAGCCAAGGAGGTGGGCGTGGACTGCCATGTATCCACGCCCACCTCCTGGATCACGTGAAGGGCAGCGATGTGTTTGAGAAAGCGACGCAACAGGTTCGGCTCGCAGGCTGTATGAGCCCAGCCGAGAAGCGTGTCAAGCGTCTGTGCTGCGCCTGGAGTTTGCGTATCGGCCTCGGTCCACTTCGACCAGATATCGAGGTCTTGAAGCAGCTGAAGGCCGGCAACGAGGCCGGGGCCTTCGAAGGCGATGGCCCAGCCTTGCTCAAAGGGTGTCTCAAGGCGGGCGAGAAGGCGACGAGCTGCTTCTTTGGCAGCAAAGCGGTCAGCTGGCGCTGTGAATTGGCTTGGTTGAATTGCATCGAGGGTGGAAACAATATCCGCCGACATCGTACCGGCCTGGTACCTTGCTGTTGCTGACCCCGAGTCTCTTGATACCCAGAATCGTTGATGAGCAAGACTTCCACAGTCCAGAAGGTGAGCATGTGGACTCAAAGATATGAGGGGTATTACTGGGAAATGAACAACGGGGAGAAGGGATTGCCCAGCCTTAAACACCACGACGGCTCGAGATCTTATTGGGCCTAAACACTGGGGAGGCCCGAGAGCACGGGGAGTAAGGGAGGTAACTAGAGTCTACTAGGTAGTGACCTGTAACCGAGGGGTGGTCGTGAGGTCTGAACAAGGCGCCACGGATTCATAGTGAAACAGCCTGAGAACTTGTAGAATATATGCCGTCTGTAGATTTTAAAGCTCTGACCCAGCCCACCAAAACTCTAGGGTAGGGTAAGTGGGCGACAGGTTACGTGGGGAATGACAGTCTGAACAGGACACTCAAGTTAAGAGATCTGCAAGGCTAGAACAGAAGTGGACGGAAATATGATAACTTGTACATCTACCGACATCAAATGCCGTGCAATCTAAAAAACGTCTATTTCGATAATATTGATATTAGTTCCTCCGAAGTGTCGATCGCTGTCTACTCACACCTCCGACATCCGAGAGCCATATCCAAGGATTCGATACCCAATGATTCCACACCTATGCGCACATAAAGCGTGATGTAGCGGTTCTCAGATGATCAAATACATATGTGTCTTGATGAATAGATCAACAACATAAAGGGTAGCCGAGCCCAGACGAGCGATCCGCGGAATCCAGATGCACAATTTTCACCCTTCTCAATCGGTCAGAAAGGCGTGCAGTCGTGGGTGATTTAATACATCATGAGGTTCTCAACAGTCTCATCGCTACTAATAGCTGGATTGCCACTAGCGACTTCATTGCCTGCTACAAGCACTCCTAGCTTGGGCGACATAGAAAGTCCAGGCAGTGGGCCATACCCAGCTGTAGGTCTCCCTGTCGAGCTTTGGTTGATATGCCTCAGATAGCATGAAACACAAGCCTAACATGACTTAGAATTGGTTTACCGACGCTAGTTTATCCAATCACACCATCTACTCGCCTGTCTCTGTGCCCCCAGGCGTATCCCTCCCAGTCCTCGTCTGGGCAGAGGGTGGTTGTGACAACAATGGGACGAAGTACGTTCCGTTTCTGACTAATATCGCTTCATATGGATTTTTAGTCCTTGCATCCGGTCCCCCAAATGGAAGCGGCTCAACCACGGCACAGTTCATGGCGGATGCAGTTGAATGGATCACGGCAAGGGCAGGAACACCGGGCCCGTATGCCTCAGTTAATCCCACATTCATAGCAGCGGCAGGTCAAAGCTGCGGTGGGCTTGAGACATATCGAATGCGAAGCAATGACCAGATCAGTATCTTGGGTATCTTCAATTCGGGCTTCTTAGGAAACGAGACTTTTACTCCCAGTGTCGGGGGGCAGGCGACTGAGCCCCCAGCTACTATCAAGGAGGTTCACAAACCGGTGTTCTACTTCTTGGGGGGACCTACTGATATTGCCTATGCCAATGTACGACATCTTGCAATTTCTGATTGCCCCCATAAGGTTCGAATGGCGAGCTGACGACAGTTCTTATAGGGTGAAGCAGATTATCATAGTCTTAAGGGGGTTCCCAAATGGATTGGGAATTATCCTGTGGGCCATAGTGGAACATATCACGATGAAAATGGTGGAGTCTTCGGTGTTGCTGCTGTGAACTGGCTGCAATGGACCTTTAGACGTAACGAGACGGCGGCCGGCTTTTTCACCAAGGGTGGTGCACAGAAGGACGGATGGGAGGAAGTGGAGAGCGAGGGTTTGGAGAAGCTCTTTGCGTCTATCCCGAGCAAAAGGATGAAGTAGAGAGGTATCTGAAGGCCATTGCTTGATTTTGTTGGGCCCCTGTGTCGAGACTTACTTTTTGTTTTCGGGAATTCTAAGTTAAGGCACCTTGATAGTCAGGAGAATGGGATTTTCACGGTAATACTTCACGACCTTATCACTTAGAAGTTACGCTCGCCTCTTGTAAGTAACTGTTCATTTTCGGCCTAGATAGGCGAGAAGAACCACCCTAGATATGCTTGTTATAGAATCATGAGGTATACCTTCAAGAAAGGAGTCACAAATAATCTCACCTGACAGTGTTGATCTATCCCACGGCACCATCGAACTACTATACGAGAGCTATTCCTCTTTTACGTGCTTACACCAAGCGAAATGGTATTCATTCTAATGTTATGACCCTTATGATGTAAGGATATGCATGGGAAAAAGCGCACACGAAATTATAACCTCACTAGGAGCTAGTTTGCAGTCCTTTGGTTATGTCAACGCTCCATATTAATATCATCACTTTCACCTAGCACCGTAACGCAGGACGTGGTCAATGATGTAGGATATTTGATCAGACCGGTATGTATCGTGCTCGATTGTGCAACCATAGGCATTGAAAACCATACTCGATTTATTCTCACTATATACAGGCCAGAACGGCAGCGCGGTATCTTATCCTCTTCTCAGCCACAGGAGGGTACGGGTAGGGAACTGTTGAAGAACAGTACAATGACTAACTTACCTTCATTAGCATTCGGGTTCAAGTCGTATGCGAAGGAGACCCAGGCTTTGGTCATTTCTGAACCGAGGGCCCTTTCCCATGCAACGTCGGGTATGAGATTGGAAAAAACATAAGGGATTTCCGTTCCGGTCGTGATCCCTGCTGATGGCTCCGAACTGTTAGTCGGGAGTTGGTTGAAACGATAGCGGTATACAGGCTTATCGCCGTTGTGTTTTGTCAGTGCTTCGGCAATCATCCTTGCTGGACCGACCTGAACCATATCCCCAAATATCGAGCAAGCCATCTTGTCTAATATGCCCGAACTTAACATAACATCCCCGGTGTTATAAGGACATCCTTCCCGGGTATCATTAGTGTAAAGGCTTAGAAGACTTTTCACCATGGAGTCGGGAAGACGTTCTGGCCGAAAGTAACCATCAGCTAACGAGAACAACGTTAGTGCAGGAGAACTATAGGCCCGTAAGTAATGAGGTATGTGCTCACCTAAGGGGTCCATCAATTCATCAGTGGAGTTGATTCCAGTTGGAGCCGACGTTGTCCCCTCATCAGTATTGGCTTCCAATATCAGTAAGACAAGACAAATGCAGATATCTTTCAAGACGGGAGGACTTACTCCCTACAATAGTAGCCACCTTTACATATTCCCCTGCAGGAAACGCAAACTGCACAGATGTAGTCGTGAAGCTTCCGTCAATCGACTGGCCCGTTGTATCGCCAACGCTTGAAAGGAACGTGTCAATTGGAAGGGCCCTGATACAGTCCAGTTGTTCAGCTGCATTTGATCCAGCCAGAGTGGAGCAGGATGTATTTGTAATCAAACTGTCGAAAGTCTGCTGGAATGAAGTCGTATTTGGCAGCGTCAGGGGAAACGCTCCGCCACTCTCTAGAATGGCCCCCCGAAATAGGCCGTCATCACGGCCACCATAGGCCATCATATGCGAGTAAATAGAAACAGCTCCAGCTCTAGACCGAGACTAGGTTTAGTCATTTCTTGCCTTGTGCAGGCTAAAATCAAACAGACTCACGACTCTCCGAACAGCGTTACTTGGGGTTGGTTAGTGTAGATCCGTAACCTGCGAGGAGGGACACAGCAGAATGCTACCTTTCTTGGGATCGCCACCAAAGGAAGCAATGTTTTCCTGTAGCCAATGCAATGCCCGTCGCTGATCCAACATGCCGATGTTCAGCAGACCGAGCTCCGCAATCTGGCGTCCGTTTAAGAACCCTAGAGATGCAAGGCGATAGTTCTGCGCCACCTCAGCTGTTAGGTCATGCTAGAATTAAGCTAGTTGGTGATAGAAAGACACCTACAATCGAGACAAATATGACTGGCTTTTTGATTTGGGCGGATAGCGCGACGATATTGGCTCCATCAAATCGTGGGTCTCCCTACATATTCGTTAGAAAAGAGTTGTGTCCACTGCCTATGCGCCGTGGTACGTTAACCTACTATATATCCGCCTGTAAGCCCACTTCCATAGAGCCATACCAAGACCGGCACCAGCGGAGAAGACGCGCTTTTTCCCAGTTCGTCAGGCCGCCAGACATTCAATGTAAGACAATCCTCACTCTGTCGGTACTTCGAGTTGGGCTTGCCATAGCACGCTGGACCCATAGTAGTTGCGTTCAGTGTCCCAAAGGATGCATTAAGCGGCACTGCCTGCCGTAGTCGCAACGGTCCTATCGGTGGTTCTGCGTAGGGAATGCCCAGGAATCGCTGGATTCCTTCCGGGTCATTCTTACTTCCAAGGATAGTGCCATTCTTCACTGTCACCATGGGTTGTGATTCATATTGCCTATCTCCTAATGCAGTGATCTGCACAATATGGTATATGAGCAAATGAAGCAAGGCTAGACGCATCATGCGGATTGCAAGTTCGTGGTGGAATAGCTTAATACGCGTATAGAGTTGGTGGAACAACAAAGTGTACAGAGTTGGACCCAACAGAGCCGAATCCCGAATAAAATGGCTGTCTGGATGTATACGACGCAGTCCATGATTTCACTACATGCATGATTGTCCGGATGGCGGATGCAGAAATGGCGGCTCCACGCTTTCTTCCGCTCGGATCGCTTGAGCAAGAAGACTCGGAAGTCGGGATGTGAATATCATTGCAGCTAGGGCCAAGCCACTGTCCAGTAGGAGCTCATACCGTATAGATCGACACAAAGAGGAGTATCCCACAGATGGATATACGTGGAAATGGAGGGCCACCGGAGGCCCTATGCTGGCTATGGCTATGAATCTACTATGGTGTCCAAAATACTCCATCCAAGCAATAAAATCAATTTCCTACTTTTCTAATTCCTTTGCGCGACAGAGCCTTTTACTGTTATGTCAAGTGCGAGTTATTATTATATGAAAAAGGTTATCTCACATAGAAGCATTGCCCCTATAGCCCTCGACGGAAGCTGAATAGTCAAAGTCCATGGGGCTACAACTCCCCACGCCGAGTGCAAAACATTCTAATGGTGCTGGATCTCCTAGAAATGTGAGAAGATCATCGTGTGTCGAGAAAAGATTAGTACATGCCGAGTCAAGATACACGACTTCCTGATCAGGGTTCGGCATTTGAGATAGAGCCTCACGTCGCAGGCTGCCCTCAGAGATTGGGACACGGGAATGACGAGTTGCTGTAGCCCAACCTATGGGAATATTCGGCGCCTCATGCTCTCTCGTAGCTCGCTCCAGAGAGAATTTCCAGACGTGGAGGATTTCAGTTATCACGTCGGCGCATCGTTGGGCTACTTTCAGTGTTTTCATGGACTCCAGGATTTTCACGGCCTTTTGCACGTTTTGAATACATGTCTCTATTGAGGATTGCGAGTATCCGAGAAGAATGGTCCGGAGAATAATCAAACTGGCATAGAGAACATAGAAGGTGTTGTACCACCATGTTCGGAAGTAGTGGCGATGCTGATAGGCATCATACGCTAGAGCGATGGTCTTCTGAGCGGCCTCCAGGCAGATGTGCCTGTGGTCGACTTGGATATCGCTGCTTGCTATGGACAGATAGGGTCGGTGAATGAATATCCGTGCGTGATGAAAACGTAGTTGCAAGATCAACTTTTGTTTGCTCACCCACTCATTCTCGGTGAAGGTGTCAAGATCGAAGTTAAGATGCTTTGGCAAATGGAGCTTCCAACAAAGCAAATCCTGGTCCAATGTGGTTGCCAACTGTGACATCCGTTCCGGTGAGAGTGCACTCGAGGAATGGTATAAACGCTTGGATGCGCGTTGTAATATCGCCGAGAGATCAGCTAAGACAGTCACAAGCGCGCCTTCGCTTCCATCCCCGTCTGGATGATTCTGAGAGGCGGATGGAGCGAGCTCTCCTGACATGCGGCTGTAGGACGGCCCGTATTCATTTGGCCCTGCCAATGTACTAGATCTTCCAGATAGACAGGATGCTTCGACGTCCTGGTAGTAAATAGCCCACCAAGTTCGGGCCCTGGCCAAATTGTGATGATCAGAATGGGATCGATCATGGCGGGAAATGCCGATCGCAAGTGCAGTTCGCACAGCCATACCACTGTACATATAGCAGGCATGTGGCTTGAGCGCATGTTGGCAATATATGGATAGTAACAGAAGGGCCTGGGCGCTTTCAATGGAACAGACCTCAAAAATGTCCCCTAGCAACTGACGCGCTCTGCGAAAGTAAATTTTGGAAAGGAAGATAGAGGAAGGGATCTCTCTTGGGGGTTTAGATGCTGAGCGTTCAGTCAAACTAACTTCAAGCTCAGTCCGTAGCGAAAGAAAGGCATCAGGGCTGGCAGTTAGCGACACTACTGCTAGCACTGCATTGTAAAGAGCAAAGAGGTGCATTTGATCTCGCCGCAGCTGCTTGACTGTGCTCCTCACCCAGACTTCCTGCTCACATCGTTCAATGAAGGACTTCCTTTCTAAGAATGGTAGCGAGTTATGGATATTGTCGAAGAAGAGATCGACGTACTCCATCTCTAGCCTCATCGGACTACCAATGAAGCAATCCCAAACGCCCGATTGTCCCAGTCCCACCGTGACATCTCGACCCATACCCGTCGACTTCGTGGCCGGCGGAGATTCCTTTCCGATGGACACAGCATCGGGGGCCTTAGGAAGTTGAGACGTCCTTCCCGCCGCTGTGACCGGGGCCGGCGGAGCTGAATCAGGATGGTGGACTGATCGTCGTAGAGCATGTCCACAATTGATAATGGGGTTTGAACCGCACTCCTCGGCATATCTAAGTAATCTCCAGAGAGCTTTCTGGCCGTTGCAAAGAGCTGGCTCAGCAGGGCAAAGTTAGAGCTGTTGCCATAGAACTCCGTTCCGGTCGTGTGCGCATTCTTCCCTTCCACCCCTTCGTGGTTCACTTCCCGTATGTCACTGGGTGTTATTCTCATGCTTGTCTGTACTGCATCATAGGCGATCTCACTCGGTCTCGCTCCTTCGGACCGATCATGGGAGCGGATGTCGGCCAGGGGCGACTCGTCCACCCGACAGGCACCCCCAACCGGTCGAGACGAATTGGTTCGTCGTGACTTCCGCTCTGAATATACACAATGAAAGCCACGATCTAAGGGTGTCAGACCACTGCATCCAGCCCCATACGGTGGTGGTGCAGATCTTACCTTTGCATGTTTGGCACGGGAGCTTTTGATTGCACTTCATCTTCTTCCTGCGGCACATATCGCAGGCCTGACTGACCCTCTCGTAAAACTTCCGTTTCATGGATGACATTGTTTGCAAAATCCTGTCCTCTCCTACCAGGTGTGCTATATCTCGATTCCGGTCTTTTGGCCGCTGGATAAGATCAACAACGGTCTGATCCTGAGCAGGTCCTGTAGACGAACTGGGGCAAAATGTGGGGAAGCCCTGTTCCCCGCACATTTCCCGCTTGTAAAGAAGACCCACCCGGTGCATTGCCTTAAGTCTATCAGGTACGTTGAGATACAAGCTCTAATTTCCCCTTTCCGATAGCCGACATCCGACATTCGACATCCGGCAAGTGCGTGGGTGGACCATGGCTGTCATGGAGATTGACCATGATCATATAAATCTCTCCAATCTGGATTACACTAGGATATCCACAAAGACATAACTCCGACAAATACATCTGGCCACAAGCCGAGACAAGAATATGGCTGCTGCAGATACTGAATTCCCCGTGAACTGGGACGTCAATAAAGGCCACCTAGTTCATAGTGACGACCCGGAGAAAATCTACCGGGAATATGCTCATTTGCGCTCGACATGCCCGGTGGCTCATGTGGATGCACACAGTGGGTATTGGATCCTGACGAAGTACGCTTATCACCCCTTGCCAAACCTCGCTCGAGTGGACTGCATACTGAATTGCAAGACAGATATGCCGATGTTAAGGCTACCGCCTCGGACAATTCAAAGTTCATCTCAGCAAAGTGTGCTGTTGTGCCCGCAGATCCCCGGGGAATCCGACGACCCCCGCTCAAGTTCGATGGCGAGCAGCACGCCCCCTACCGCACCGCTGTGGATCGAACCCTCAAACCTGCTCGTTTGAGAAGGTTGGAACCAATACTGAGAAGCCATGCCGAGCGGGAGCTTGGCGCTTAATCCAACAAGGTCATGGTGACATATATGAGGAATTTGGTGCGCAGTTTTCCGGTTGGGTGGAGAAGGAGTGGCTCAATCTGGACGAGCCAGACTCAAAGCTACTCTCCAGCGCCATCACTCCATTTGTGACGGCGTGGCGCACACAGGACTGGGCCCTAGTCAAATCGTCCAGTGATATGTCTACGAAATTGCCAGGCGCGTTATTGCATCCCGCAAAGATAAACTGCTTGATCCAGAAGAGGATCCTGCGTCAAGCCTGCTGGTTGAGAGAGATCACGATGGAAATCCTTTGGATGATCACAACTTGGTGTAAGTTGATTGAGGTAGTCATTTCCATTGCATTTGTTCTGACAACCCCCAGTGGATGCATTCGCCAGATATTGATCGTTGCAATGGTTGCTCCGAGCATCATCATTTCTTCCATGACAAACCATCTGAGCAAGGACAAGGAGCTGCAAAATAGACTCCGTAATGACAAGAAGCTTCTACCAGCGGCCATTGAGGAGTTCATTCGACTGTATGTTCCGTACCGCGGCTTCTCCCGAACAGCACTGCACGAAGTCGAGATTTCAGGGACTAAGGTTCCTCCTGATGAGGTATGTTTCCACCATCTTGGATATCATCTACTAGATATGATCTGACTCAATGTGCCAGCCGATCACGGTCGTTTATGCGGCTGCGAACCGCGACCCGGATCAGTTTCCACATCCGGATGAGTTCATTATGCACAGAGACAATATCTCGACACATCTTGGATTCGGTCACGGTAGGCACCGCTGTGCCGGGATGGTGCTAGCACGCATGATGCTGCGAATCTACCTCGAGACATTGTTGGATAATACGGTCGACTTTGAGGTCGATGGGGAGATACATTATGCCCGGCTACCAGAGATTGGCCTGACTACTTGCCCCATGAAGTTTTATCCCCGGCCATAGGAAGATCTTAGAGCTACTGGGGAGAATTTGGGTTAGAAGTATACTGTTGGCAATTTGACTGTATTACTTTGAATTCGTCTCATGAAGGATACCCTGTAGCTCTTAGCATATTTCCCATGATAGGAACAAAGGCCATCTCCTAGAATTGAGACGGGACCTTATTGATCCTCATAAAATGTGGAAATTATGTTTTCTAAAGATGCGTAGATGGAACTACATGCCCATTAGCAATTGTCTAATAACACGCGCAAACCTAGGAACCCTGGTAAAAGTGTGCAATTGAAGTTTCTCGGATACTGGTCCGCTTCTTCTCCTAGTATCTAAGCACAAAGTATTTCTTTTCATGGCCAATGCGCCGCGAATTAAGTCTCTCCGCCTCATATTCCTCAGCGGTCCAATTTCCTGTCTCCTTCTTGCGCCTGCGGTTCTCTAGCATATACAACTCACGAATCGCCGCGAACCCAAGTAATCCCACTGCCACGATAATCAAAACAGCGATCACGGATATTCGATACGATGGTGCATAACTCTCTCTGAATATCTGCCCGGCAATGACTGCAGATATATTGGTTAACCCGAATAAACCCATCGTGACTGCACGGGTGGCATGGTCTGGTGTATTGTCCGTCAACCATGCAGCAATCAGCGGGTTTGCGGTGCCCGAGCCGATCAGCGCAACATGGAGGAACCCGTAGCGAAGCTTGTTACTTTTACTGGCGATGAGGACAATATACCCAACAATCGAGATCAACATCGATAAAATGGCAAAGCCGGAGCGCTCATGGAAGCGGTCCGAGAGCCAGACAATGGTCAGGAGGCCCACACCACCCCTACTTGCGATTAGACAGGCGATCAGCCGTATTCCCAGAGGGTCACTTACATCATGAAGGGAGGGACTGTCATTAGATTTGCCTTAATCGATTCATAACCCATTCCCTTGACCATCAGAGGTAGGAAGATGGCAAAGCCATACGCAGGCGTAGTGGCACACAGGTTGCACACAATGATAAGGACTTTCTTCCAGTCCTTCAGAGCATTGACGATATCCTTCGTGGTGAGGCGATGGTCAGATTCCTCAGCATTAGCTTGTGCCATGTCTTCGTGTGCCCCTCTATCAGTAACCATGCGACGGATCGCATGTGCTCGCTCCCTTTCATTCAAAAACCAGGCTGTTCTCAGTTTGTTCGGTAGCATTGCCAGCGCCAGGACAGCGACAAATATAGTGACACTTCCTTCGACAAGGAAAAGTAACTGCCAGTCCTTCCACTGTGTCGACCGGATCTGGAAGCATCCATAGGCAATCAGACCAGCAAATGCCCCCGAGAACGCAAAGCTCAGGGCCAACATCCCCATCCGAAATCCGGCGTGGTATGCAGGATACAACGTGCCGATATAGTAGTATGCGGTGGGAACATATCCAGCCTCGAAGACACCGAGAAGCAAGCGGAGGGCCATCATCTGTGCACGGTTTTTCATGACAGCCTGAGTGATTGTCACCACGCCCCAGGCTGCCATGATGAACGGTAGCCACAAACGAGGCCCTACAATTCTCCCCAGCATGACGGAGATAGGCATACATGGGATGAAAGTAGCGGCATAGAGAGATACGGCATTCGGCACGTCATTGTGCTTGAGATGCAAGTCCTGGCTGAACGCTGCACTTGACTGTTAGGAAATCTTTCTTTGTATCTCAGCGGAAGAAGAAGAGAAGCATTGAAGTGCTCGGATTTCACATACTTTCTGTGGTCGCAGCGTTGCTTATGTTCGACTTGTCTACTGCTTGGAGCTAATGGCAGAACGGTGAGCAACTGTGATATCGAAATACAGACGCGATTTGAACGGAAGACCATACCAAGAAGCCCACTGTTAAGATAGAGACAATGGCGCAGTCAAGCTTCAGGTTGAGCCGGCGATCCAACTTGGTATCTTGAGGTGTCGATGCATCATAACCCTGTTGTTGCTTTTGAGATATTGGGTCATATGAAACATCCTCAATCTGTTCATCATAGGATTGTTGGGCGTCAGTGAGTTTTTTTTGGGATGCCATGGCGAAATCGATCAGTGAGGAGGCAAGTTAGAATTATCGATTTTGCATTCTATTTTGGAAGATAGTACCTTGTACATCGACGGGGCTTTTGACAGTGATGGATTGGCAGATCTCGAGCCCCTCCGCCAAGTACGAGTAGACGATATAGTACAACCGAGTCCCGGCATCCGATATCCCATATCCGACTTCCGTTAGTTAAGAATGATGAAAATTATTCCAGCACTGCGAAATCCAGAGATTTATTGCAGACTTACAACACCTCAAGGAAAGTAATAAAGCCCAAGGACTTGATAACATCAAATCGTCTAGGGTTAGTAACTCACAATCCTGCTGGGTATGCAGATATCATCACGATGGCGCCAAGCAAATTTGCAATTCAGAGTTATATAGTCCAGAGAAGAGAAACAATAGCAACACCATAAAAGATCTATCCATGACATCGGTAGCTACGACAATGTAGTACTGGACGTTTTGTTAACCTTGTTGACCGAGGGGGAAGGTCCTCTGCCAATTCCCGATTCCGTAGCAGCCTATGGCCTTACGTAGTGAAATTGAAGCAATAACGTCTTGGCGTCAGGATATGCACCTAAACAGCTCATTGAATATGGGAGCTTCGAGGTACGCTAGCCGCTTTGAGCTAGCCCAGGGCTGTTGGCCCCAGCCTCCAAATATCGTACACCAGTAACACCACGAGCCATGGTTAAGCAATATATGCACCCAATCGCTAACTACCAGGAAGTAACCTATACAGCAAGCGTGTCAGCACTGCCCCGAAGTGTTGGGTAGAAGGTTAACACTATTCCAGTTCTACTGCACAGCGGTGAGCGTTAAGGCCCATAACTTGTTGCCAGTCATGTCGACGACAACCGCCAAGCGCAAGCGTGCGAGGAAGGCATGTATCCCATGCCATCAGCGCAAGCGAAAATGCGACAACGTCTATCCTTGTGGCATGTGCACCACCTACGGATACAACTGCAGCTATGCCGAGAATAATACCAGCGGTTCTATGGACCGCGGCGTGCATATTCCGCCTCCAGCCAAGCGTGTCAGTCTCGACGGTACAAGTCGTCTGAGTAGGACCGATATGCGGCGAGCACATCACTATGGCGATGACTCGTTGGCCAAGAGTCCCACCGTCGTGGCCGGTGCCTCCCCGGGCATCTTTGACGAGTTGAAGTTCAGATACGCCGGGGCATCGGCGTCCATGGCATTCCCGCACATCCTGGGTGTGGCTCTCGGTTCCGACAACCCTCCAAAGATGCGGTCGTTCGCTTATAATTTTGGCATTCGCCCGGAGGAGGCATCCGGTGCTCACTGCTTTCTGGGAAGTCTCATCTCGGAGGAAGACCTTAGTTTTTTCTCGGATGCGTTCTTCTCGGTATTGGGCCCCATCATGGACGTGATGGACCCAATGATCTACACGCAGCGATGTCGGGACTATTACCGTAGTTCTGGCAGCAACAACGCCGCATTTGCCGCCGTGGCTGCTGGCATCGCTGCTCTGGGATCGTTCCTATCTCCTAATGGACACCCGCGGGAGTCTGACCTGGTGCAGTACGCGAAAGCCATCCTTGATGATCCGGCCTCCATGCGCTTGCATGGTATCGACCACATCGTCGCATGGGGCATGCGAGTGCTTTACCTACGCGCAACGACCCGCCCCAGCAATGCTTGGATCGCTTCGTGCACGCAGATGCACCTCTGTGAGGCGATCGGGCTACATGAGGAAGAGAACATCAAGAAAATAGCGTCCATCGCTGGCGCTGCTGTCGTTGGACATGACGCGGACCGGCTGAGGAGAATTTTCTGGATCTCGTGGGCCGGGCATAACATGCTGTCCTATGAGTACGATCGTTCGCCTGTAGCATTTCGGGCTGTGACTTGCCAGCCTATCATCTCCATACCCGGGTGCGTTGCCGATCAGTTCGTACAGCTGATCCAGATCATTCCATCGCCCAATTCTCCGTTCCAGCTCGAACTGCGCCCTCCCAATCCCAGTGAAGAGCTACTTGAGCGCCTCAAGGCGCTGAATGAGCCACAATTTACCCATCCGTTCCTGTTGGTGACGAAGGCGGACATTGCATTTTGCTTCTATCGACGACTTTACCAGCTCAAGACCCGCATACCAGACGATCTCATTAAGTTTGTCATTGATAGTGGCAACGCCGCAGTGGAGGCGGCCGAGCAGCAAGCTAGCCAGGGCCGTCTGTTCTGGAACATCATCGGCAGCGTCTTCCAGTATACCTGCATCCTGCTGGCCATTGACACGCCCGTGGCCACCACCCACATCGGCACCGCATTGAAGGGCTTGGAGAACCTTGTCAAGGCTGCCGATACAGCACTAACGCGGGAGGCATTGTCGATCGCGCGGCACCTCCTCAGCCTTCATATGGCAAAGAAGCGAAACGAACTTGCTCAGCTAGAAGCTGTCGAGGCGGGCTATGAATTCTTTCAGACACCGTCGGCCTCTGAGGCCAACACTGCTGTGCCAGATATGGATTGGGAAGTGGAATGGGATCAGTTCTTTATCGAGCCATATATATCTATGCTCGGTCCAGACATCCAGTTGTAATCACGCCGGAAAGCTGACCCTTGTAGTTATAATAATATGATACATATAGAATCTTGGAAAAGAAGACTTACTGCAATGAATCTATTTCTTTACCAAGTTCTTGGATTCCCCGGAGAGTATGTAAGGGAGTCTCGGATAGAGGGCACCTAGATATGACGCCTCACCGCGAGAAGCAATAGAGTATATGTATATTTGTGCTCCTGGCAGGAGTTTTAACCCCTCTCATTCAACGAGGTTGAGAGCATGCTTGGAGCTCCATCAGCGAACCATCAACGCCATGCACCTTGTGCGGCTTTACGTGCGGCCATTGCGGGATTAATCCTCTAACGCCGCACCACCCTATGAGGCAGAGTTATCTGACCCGTTCATGCGGCTGCGGCGGAGAAGCGCGGGCTTACTACCAGTCTCTGCCTATCGCCGTGTGTAATATGGCTGGCTTCGGCTGCTATGGCTCCTTCGCCCCGAGTCCTCTTATCTCCGAGCGAATCAAGTCGGATATACTGGAGCATGTGGAGGTCTTTTGACCGAGACGTTTGCGTACAGTCAGATATGACAAGGCTGCGATGGAGATAACCTCATAGAACTGCTGCACTGGACACTGGGTCTGAAATGTATAAATAGACGGGCATACCCTGCTCTGGAGAGAGATAGCCAGGCATTTATCAGTCTCTCACAACCTTAAACACCTCGAACGCCTCGTTTGACTATAGTAGCAGCGATTCATATATTCTCGATCATCAAACCAACCACAATGCCCAAGTACGCCAAAGACCAGTCCGTCGACTTCAAAAACACCATCGAAAGAGTCGCGATTGTCGGCGTAAGTAAACCCCTCGGTGACCCCACGTACGAAACTAAACTAAACAACGCATTTAGGCTGGAGGTACCATTGGGTGGCATATTTCCAACGCCCTTTTACAGACCGGAAGGCACACAGTCACGGCCCTTTCTCGCAAAGGCAGCGCGAACAGACTCCCCCAGGGCGTCCTCGTCGCCTCAATCAACTACAATGATGAGGCCAGCATGGTGGCCGCCCTCAACGGTCAGCAATTTTTGATCATAACCATGGCCCCTACCGCTCCCCGGGACTCCCACAGCAAGCTTGTCCAGGCGGCCGCCAAGGCCGGTATTCCCTATATCATGCCGAACGGGTATGGCGGCGACATTGGCAACACGAAGCTCGGCGAAGACACAATGCTGGGGCGTCGCCAAGGCCAATAGAGACGAGATTGAGAGGCTCGGGATGCAGTGGATCACAGTGTGTTGTGGGTTCTGGTACGATTACAGTTTAGCGGGCGGGGATTCGCGCTTTGGCTTCGATTTTGACAAGCGTTCCTTGACAATCTATGACGATGGTAACACCAAGAACTCGACGTCGACGTTATCGCAGGTTGGGCGCGCTGTGGCCAAGGTCCTGAGTCTTAATGAGCTTCCCCAGGACGAAAACGATAACAGCCTGACTTTGTCCACGTTCCTCAACCAGGGCGTGTACATTACGAGCTTTGTGGTCAGCCAAAACGACATGTTTGAGAGCGTCAAGCGTGTCACTGGCACCACTGACGCCGACTGGACGATTACCCACGTGGATACCAAGAAGCGATACGAGGATGGTCTGGCGCAGGTGAAAGTGGGTAATATGGCTGGCTTTAGCAAGATGCTGTACGCCAGGGCGTTTTACCCAGATGATCCCAGTGATCTCTCAGCCAAGGCGCAGAATGAGCTGCTTGGGCTGCCGGACGAGAACCTGGATGAGTCTACCAAGGTTGGGATAGATTTGGTCAAGGAGTTGCAGCGTCGTGTCGAGCGCATGGCTGCCTAGAAGATAGTGTATATAGATATAGGGAATTGGCAATAGTTGATATATCCATATAATACGAGGATTACTTTGGCGAGAGAGAAGATTTTTGGTATATTTCCAGTCATATCTCGTCATGACTCAAAGAATTTTAATATGGTCACTACTTGGAAAGTACACTACATACATACATGTCCTCCCTTTCACCTCCCTTTGAATCAAGAACGTATGACGTGTATTTGTCCCAGACTCCAGTACATGGTGATGTACCGGTCGGACACGCTGTGACTCACTTGCAACATCCTAGCAATGTGTCCGACGTAAACTCAAGGGATGGAAATTCATAAGCATGGGGAGATGTACTCTACACCTGGTCGGGAATGACAAGCATGACAGTGACTACTCTATACAATACGTATATTCTACCTGCTAGGCATATTCTTGGCCCCGGTGGAGTCCAGCTCGGATGGCAGGACTGGGGATTGACCCATTTCGGTGGGTGGCGCTGCAGGGACCTGAGCATAAGCGTGGCCGTAGTGATGATTGTAGGCCATTCCACCTGGGGCACTGGTCGCAGCAAGGCTCGCCTTTAGCCCCTCCAGCTCTCTCATCGAGGCTGACCTCTGCTTCCGCTCCCATGCTCCCCAAATCAATGCCGAGCCGGCGATCAGACCAAGGGGAATGCCCAAACCTAATCCGAGGGCGAGTCGTGCCGACTGATCGTTGTTGTCTCCCGAGGTACCTCCTGAAGCGTCGCTGCTACTGTTGCCCGAGGATGAGGCTGAAGAAGAGCTGCTGCTCGTGCTGCTTTTGGTGTAGTTGGCTAACGCTGCGACGCCTGGCATCACGGTTCCGATGGGGACTGTAAAGGCACGATCGACGGCACATTCAATCGAGTTGTTGTCGATACTCACGACGTTTCCACAACAGTATTGGTCATCGATGGCATTGACAACCCGGTACCCCGTGCCCTGGTCCCAGCGCGCTACAAGTCAGCCCATTTTAGTATACCTTTCCCACGATGGTGGCCGACAGAAGTCAAACAAGTCGAGGAGGAACGTACCACAAGGCTCGGCACTTTTGCACGCACCACCCCAGTTTTGGTCCGTGCAGCTACCTCTTGACATGACCGGATGGTTCCCCGAGCTCTGGAGGTAGCAGAGGCCGTTCGAGAGACATATGTCATTCTTGTTGCAGCAGGTGGTTATCTCTGCGCTCGTATTGCAGGGAACGTCGGCCGTGGCGATATTGCCGTTGACAAAGTAGCAGGTCGCATCAGAGTCCACCGCGACCGATGCTGTGATCAAAGCTAGTAGTGGTAGAAGACGGAACATGGCTGACATGATGTGGGTTTTTGCTGTTGGCCGAGCCTGTTCATCTAGAAAACACTCTGGCGGTATCTAAATCCCACGTCAGTGCATCCCGGATATCGACTACACCGTTGGCATGTTCAGTTGGGTAGAAAAAAGCAGAATGCAGGTGGGGAAGACAAGGGGATTATTTGCCATTCTTAATCAGCTCGGTAATTCATCTCACCAAAGATTAGAGGACCTCTAGGGCATGCAGCTAACCAGCGCTAATGTCTAGGGCATCCGCATCGGGGAGTGTTGGCCCCAAAGTGGAACTGTGAGCCTCTTGTTTTGCAAAACGGTCTTCAAATCGGAGTGTCCGTTTGGTTAATTTATCACGTTAGCCCTGAATAGCCTTTCAGGTTGTGCTAATCGGGGCGCACTGAACTTCCACCCATGGACGTCCAAGCAGATCCTATTCCTCACAGTTCGACCGAGGAGGGATTGCGATCGACAAAATCTCACCCTGTCAGCCTTGAGCCTTGCCATGTTGCAGTCTGACTCGTAAACTTCCCTGATTTTACTGGTAGTGGAGAAAATCTTACCTTATTGTGTATTAGCACGCACTTGCACGGCCTTCTTGGCGGTGGGTCTCTACGTCCCTGACCGTGATGAATCAGGATAGCAATCGATAGATTCGGGTGTCCCGAATACAGAAAAATATGTTCTCCGGAAGTTGACGAAGACGATGTGATATGGGACGCAACATAATGCAGGCTTGTTGACCCGTTTCCCGTACATGCTGCAGCTACGTACCTTACCATCATCACCACTGGTGGAGATATATATTGAGCCTGGGTGCAGGTTGTATGAAAAGTACTGCAAAGAGTGATATATTAAAAAAATGTTAGACCACGATTGTTATACAGTGGTATTCCAGAAGGACAAAGGTCAGTCATGCAAAGCAATTCTCTAACTCAATATCGCAGATTTAGCCCATAAGCAATTGGACGGCTTCAGCAGGTGAGAGAGGCTTGGAATAAGGAGTTCCTTCTTCTTTGTGAGGTAGGGGACGACCGGTGAGACCACTGATGAAATCATAATCCTTTGGCCATCCATCTCTCCTCCCACAAACCTCTTTGATAATGGAGTACATGCACTAAACAAGTATATTAGCAATTCGGCCTGTTCGAAAACGGGAAGGTCAAGCCATACCACATCCCATAAAAGCCCAGAGCCACACTCTTCCTCAACGCCATACTCTGCAAGATCACACACTGGCAGGTTCCATCGCATCATTTGCCATGCAGGAATATCACTGCCGGATGTTTGGGGAACCCAGCTGAAGTATGAGTCTGTGTTGACCTTGGACTGCCATTCATTTGTCGTGCGCTGCACAAGATAGGAAGATCTTGCCACATCGTATCCATTGAACCCATAGTCGTCTGGTAATTTGTCCATACCTTTGGGGATATGGTCATTGTCCCCTTGATGATACTGTTTGTTGTCAGCACTATGACTCTATGTCAGTGAGGATAGATAGGGGATATCGTACAAAGAAAAAAGCCGTATCATCCGGATTGCACCATTTCATATTGGTGGTATCGGTGTTTTCGAACATGTCTCCGTTCTTGTCGCAGGGGTGGTACGTCTCGCCGTTGCTATTTCGAATCGACTTGTTGTCGATCCGGACAATATAGTACAGGTCCTTTTGCCACAGCATGTTGATCAACGGAGCGACCACATACTTAACCAGTCCGGCCTTCTCCGGAACCATGGAATATTTGCTCGTCTCCTCATCAGTGGGCGCGACAACACTCTTATGTGAAGCAAAGTTTCCCGTGTTGAGTATGCGTGGAAGAGCAGTCGGGCTGGTTACCCAGCTGGGATCGGTGGGAGGCTTTTTGAAAAACAGACTATTGTAGAAAACGTCCAAGCCCTGGGTCATAGCATTGTGCATCTCCGCCGACTTCTCACCGAGCTCTGCATAGGTGTTAAACTTCAGGTCGGCTGGCGCTAGGCCACCCAGTGCAGCCACAGCGCCGGCTCCAATGGTCATGGCCCCGGCAGCGACACCGGCCATGGGCGTCAAAAAGAACGCACCCATGATGCTGGCAAACCCGGCGCCAATGGTCATGCCCGCATCTTCACCAAACTCGGTGTGCTCATCACCCTTGTGCGAGTATCGGAGGACCAGGCCGGCGTTTTTGAACCCTGCGTTTGTCCAGATTTCTTCCGTCATACTATACATAACCTTAAGGAACTCTGCCAAGTTGTGTACCGCAGTTAGAGCTTGGACCCGGTACATTCGACCCTCCTTGCACGGATCAACATCTTTTAAGTGGTCTACAATGCAACTCCCGCGGACGCTGGACCAGCTAGATTAGCGATACTGATTGTCTGGAGCCTTGGAGGTACATACTTCGCACACTCCCATGAGTAAGGAGGAGGAACTTCTACTCTGCTTCCGTTGTACTTTGCAAGCGCATCGGCAAGACCGCCGGGCCACGTGAAAGGATGATCAGGGTCCAGATTGAGGTCCGGGTTGAGGGACAGCTTCTGGTACCAACCGGCGCTAGTTAAACCCCTGGTGTTAGCTTTGACGACATAGAAGAAAGTGTGGGAGAAAAAAAGTGAAGTTCTGGTCCAAGACATACGTAGTCGTCAGCCAGTTACCCATGTCGTTTTTGTTCCAGAGGTCCTTATCCAGTTCATCGAGGTGATTGCAGACCGATTCCATTCGATCCTTGTCGTTCAAGGGCCAATGTTCACTAGAATTTCGTGTTAACTCCAAGTGCACTTCGCGGGATATACGGGTCACAACATACTAGTAACCGTCAGGAGCCTCCCCAATGGGGATCCCGGTCGCAGTCGGGCTGACTGGAGGTGTGCCCGTCGGCGTGGGTTGATTAGGGGGCGTGTATGCGGGTAAGTCGGGATCTACAGATGGGTCGACGTCGTCGACTGCGGTGCTATCGCTTCCGGGGCAGGTATTGAACCACGTATAGGCCTACACAATTTAGCATTCGGCTTCGTAGTGCGCAAGGGATACAAGGGAAACTCACAACATTGCTTCTGGGGATGACATTATGCATGTCAGCACGCCCCAGGCCTCCAATATTTGGGAAGTATAAATTTGCCTATAGAAATAATCAGCGAGGTTGACTGTAATCCCTCCAGATTCCACTCACCCCACGATCCGAGCCTTGATATCGAGGGCCGTCGAGGAGTTCCCACTTCCAACTGGAGCCTGCGGTGGGAATTGGACCCTTATTGATCCAGACTTTGGTGTTGCCATTGAATTTGTCAACCCAGAGGAAGTCGACAAGACCATCGCCTGTAACCTGGTAAGCTTGGAGATCGGACGACCAGAATCCCAATCTATAGACAGACATACCATCTACATCAGCCCAAACATGGTTCGCACGATCGTATCCATGCGTGCGTTTGACTTGACCCTTCGCTTCAAACTTGTTCTCGCCTTTGTTCAACCATCCAACTGTCCGGCCATTGGGTCTGACCAGAAAGGTTAGTATGACGGTTCTCATAAAAGCTGCCTTGAAGCACTCACTCCATACACAGGTAATCCGCGCGGCCGTCACCACTGAAGTAGTCAGCCATATATTGTCCAAAGCATAGTGACTGGGAAGCACAAACTCGAGATCAGCCATCCGGACACCAATGTCGCGATACCCGACTCCCCATCCTTCGGTACATTTCACATTCCCAGTCACCACTCCTCTGTAATCTAGAAAGCCACTGGTAGTATCCTCATTCCAGTGGTTAATCCAAACCTCGGCGGCACCGGTCTCACGATTCACAGCCCAAACATCGCACTGTAGATCATTAATCGGACGATACGCTCAAGAGAATGGCAAGCCATGTTTAATTATACTTACCTTTCCATCACCATTGAAGTCTGCTAGGTGAATGCCCTTGCGGTCCCTACCCAGGTCGAATATTTGCGGTCCCTCGGGCACCCAAGTTGGAGGCTTATGGACGTTTCCATAGAGCAAGGCCCGTCCCGTTGGCGAAATCCAGATCTAAAGGTGACACACAATCAATAAAACAATTCCCTCTGGACAGCCAAGATGCAAGGAGAGAGTCAAAGCTATGCTTACATAGTCATCAGCACCAGTGCCACGCCAGTCACAGTAGTAGTCACCATCGCCTGTGCAGAAATGTTAGCCACATCAACGGCATATACTAGGGACAATGGGAAGAGAGATCTCACCCTTGAGTGTAGTGCCCCCACGTCCAATATTCTTCCACACAGTTGTATAGTGATTATAAGTATCGGCATTCTGTAGAGACTCAATCCACACGTAATCAGCACCCCCCTTGGCATAGACTTGGCCGAACTTGATGCGATCTCTAGCACCCTTCACACCCATTCCAGCATGAGTAACACCAATGCGACGCCAGTCGGGAGCCAGGCTGCCTTTCCCTGTACCACGCTGGTTGATATACGTCGTGACCTTGCCCTCGTCATCTAGCCAGAGCCAGTCGGCGCGGAAATCACCGTTAATATCGACCAGGCGAACGCCAGCGATATCGCCCATGCCTTTACCGGTAAACACGGTTCCAAGGTCCTGCCAGTATCCGTTGAATTCTGCTGTTGGAGCATCCTTCTGGCCACCGTTTCTCCAACACTGGATATCACCGTTTCCCTTCACAAGGCAGTAATCAAGGCGACCATCGCCGTCAATGTCACCGAGTCGGACATTCGCCTGAGCTAGGTCGCCACCGGGCGCTTCTCTGACCAAGCCGATGTACTTGAACTGGGGAGGACTCCCGCCTTGGTTCATTGATGCATACATAGCACCCTCCCTACTAATGCAAATGAAGTCGTCGAGCCCATCGTTGTTTAGGTCACCCCAGCGTACACCTGTTGCTTCTATTAAAAATGTGACCAAACAGAATTTGTTGACTTCGCCGCTCACCTCGCGCAAGACAGTTGTCTTTGACATCAATTTTGACAGGCTCGCCGAACTTGCCATTATTGTTATTCGGGTACATCCAGGTTCCTTTTCCATCACGAGTCCAAACCAGCTCATCGAGGGCCCCTTCACGGTGGGCACCTCCCTGGTTTACTAACTGCGCATAGTTGATACCAGGATGGGTGTCACCCTTGGAGCCGGTAATCCCAATCTGCTTAATACGGCCCATACTCTGGGCGTTATGCTTGTAATCGCCATCGTCCCAACCACTGCCGCGTTGGGTCTGGACTTTGCCACCGTCATTACCTGAGCCGAACTTCTTCTCACAAGTCGTATAAGCCCAATCGCTCTCCCCGATGTCCTTGGGCTTTGACAAGAACTTGGCTGATTCCGCTTCTTGGATTGCGGCCCACCATACCGAGGCCATCTTCTTATATCCAAAGTCATTGGGATGAGTTCCATCTACCAGCTCGCTGACCTTGATAAAGTCACTCATCTCGCTAAACTATCTTGTCGCCATTCTTTCGGCGAGCAGCGGCGATGTTGCGGTATTGCTCATTGATCTTCACGACGTTGGCTTGGGCCTTGGGATCTCCGTTGGATAACAACGTTGATAGGATGATAGTCGTCCCCGGTATACCTTCATACAGACGAGTGAGCAACACGTTCATCCGCTCTCCCGCCCTATCGACATCGATGTCTTTCACGGCATCGTTCGTGCCAGCACTGTCAAACAGGGAATTAGTCTCCAGAAACATATGTGCATGTTATCCTACCGACTTACTTGATCAAAATAAGATTTGGGGCCTTCGGGATCGTCTTCTCGGCCTCTTGGGCAACCTCGTCGATGATCCATCCACTCCAGCCCTCGTTGTCCTAGAGATTTGGCCTGTTAACTCCATATAGAGCACGCCCACGGGTCCACGATATACTTACATTATCTCTCATGGTTCCACTTTTAAGGGACCCCACCATGTTCACCTCCCATCCAGCGTGTCGAAGCTGCTCACGTATCCATATCCGGTATCCATTCTTATCACTTGACTTCAAGCCAGTCGTGATTGAAGCCCCAAGAGGCATGATACGGAGAGCAAATGGCTTGGCATCGCGAGCCTCCAAACGCGGGACACCACCGTCAATTGATGTCGATGGGTCTTGGATTTCGGTTGGTGAAGGCAAGGCCAGAGTAAAAGCAAACAGCGCCAGACCGATGATGCAAAGATGCATCATCCGGTACATGCTGCGATCCACCCTCATGATGAATGGGGCATGGAGTTCGTGGAAACAGAAAGCGAAACGACAGTTCTCGCGCTCTTGCAGGTCATTCTTATAATTCTTGAATATATCCCCGTATTCAGATGAATAGGGGTCCAGGAAAAAGTGCCAAGTGCCAAGCGCTACTGGCACTTCCACCTAATCAAACTACACCTAGAGCCAACAGACTGACTACCAAAGTCGAGATATCCAATTGGTACATGGCGGATATTGCCGAAACTTGGCAGAAAACCTCTCGGCATTCAAGATTCAGATCATGTAGTATCGAAGCTTTCTTGTGCCTGCCGAGGCTGCATGGTGGACCACATAGTCATTAGGCTTGGTTCTGGGCAAGGCTCCGTGCGAGACCCGTAGAAGCTTGATGAAGTTCCAACTCGAGCTTTCTGCTCTTGTTCGATTTGTTCTATGTGTCTTCTATAACAGTTTCATGAAAGCAGTTCGATCCCGCTGTCTGCTGTCCATCTCGGCCCGTTGCAACTCTGACACCAAAGACCCTGAGGGTCTATACCAATGGCATGGTAGCTACCATTCAGGGGCTCTGGTGGGGGATATTGCGTATATGTACGTCAAACTAGCGTACAGGTTAGCTTTTTTCTCATATGCTCTTCTTCCGGCCTTCTTCGGTCTGGCTTGTCGTTGAAGTTAACGGATGCAGAAAATGCAGAAAATCGCCCCCAAAATTGCAAGACATGGTGTGGGCCTTACCAAATTACCAACAGATCGTGGTCTGCTCTCTGGCGCGGTGATTTTGTGGGTCGTAAAATGATGGTGGCAGCCAAGTCGCTTAGTTCAATCTTGCCCCGTCTGGAGTTTGGCCCTGGCCTTGGAATTGCTCCGCTGGCCAAATTTTCATCTGAGAGCCATTTTTGGTGACCTTATAGTTTCTGAAAACTAGAATAACTCTGTCGCAGTCTAGCTGTTTAATAATTTCGGTGTAATTAACACGCCACCCAACAGAATGCCGTAGTTTAGGCGACAAAACACAGCTCGATTACGTGTTGACTCTGTTGTCCTTTATTCTTATTGTTCTATCTTGTCAAAAGCCTCCACGGTCTTAATGTCCTACATATGCCTTGTTCTCGCTTAATGGGATGGGTTGCCTCTCGTGGAGCTGCCTGCCTCCATAGCGCGACGCCCATATAAATCGTTGAGCCCCGGATCCGCAGATTTTGAATGTATAGATGCAGACGAATGAGAATATACTAGGTATTATATCAATAGCCGTTGTTTCTTCTGAGAAGCTTTTTCCTGCTCTAGCCCATCGTCTGGCCACCATTTAGCTATGGAGGCATGTTGTTGCACCTGTGAGGTCAACACAGCAGGTTCATATTCTTCAGTTGGCCTCACTTGCAAGACAAGTAATTTGGAAAACGCAGCGGCTGTGGCAGCAGCATATCTCTGCCAGGTCTTATCTTTATGCGAGTCAGCATAGTCACATATACCTCGAATGATCAGACAGGGAAATGTATTCATGACTCCGGCGCCTTCCATCTCAAAGCAGAGAACATTATCTCGCGACACATTTGATCTCTAATCTGGCCAGATCGGATGGGTTGATTCCCAGATGTCATCAACCCGTAGCGTATATACGGGTGGCTGGATGGCCGTACGCTCCGCTGAACCTGGAACCTTCAGTTACATACTTCACGTATTTTATTATTTCTGGTCTGTATATATTACTAAATACAAATAGAAGACGGAGATACTAGTGGCTCTGGTAGACTTTATCCAGACTCCGTTAATGCCTTCCCTATGATAGCAGGTAACAGGATATTCTAGTTTCTGCTGATCCTTTGCAGAATTATATTTGTCTCTCTTATTTCTCTAAGAACCATGCCGCCAAGTGAATTTCTCAGTGGATAGCGACGATGAGATTCTTTTGCGGCTGGAGAAAGCCTTAACGTATGTATAACCCAACCCATCATGGCTATTGACGGGTAAATAACGGGGCGAAATCCAAAACAAAACAAAACCACCAGGACTGCGTCAAGTTGGGGTTAACCTTCTCCAGCATGGCGGGAGGAGATCAAGGTAATCATCGATCGACTGGGGGGTTTCTTAGGAGTATGCCGTGGGGGAGGCTTCTCAAGATCTATTGCGCCCCGCAGCTTCTTCGCCTCAACATGGAGGCCTACCTGGTAGTCAGATGGAAGGAAGAGGGTTGGTAGCATTTGCGATCGCATACAATACCCATGCTTAGCATGGATTCCACCGAGTATGACCGAAATGGAAAGTCCTGAACAGAGAGAAGGCGGTTGCGGAGTCGTTCCTCGATTGCAAGCTTTCCCTCGACTCGCTGGGGTAGGGAATGAAGCAGGGTCACTCGTCGGACGGAATATATGTCATCATCATCGCTTGACCCGTTGTAGTCATAGGCTTGATTGTTGGGCCCCAGGATGTCGATATAACGAGGCAGTCGACTGAAAAAATCGGGCTTTTGGGTATCTTTCGCTGTATCACCACGGATGTCTCGCTTGAACTCCTGAACGTCTTTGCATGTCCGGCCCGGAAAAACAAAGATGGGCGGCCCAAGGCGTTTGTTTTCACCGTTCTTAACGAAGGTGGCATGCTGTATAGGGAACAGGTAGTATTCAAACCACCTCCCTTCGGGTGCCCGAGGCTTGGGTATGGAATTCACCGAAAACCGCAACGGGAATAAGGCAACAGAGCACAAGACATCTCTTTTGGAGTTCGGGTTTAACGGTGGATCTGCTGAAGCGAGTGTGTAAGTACTATCCAGGCCTCTTCATTGTGCCTCCCATCGGAATCCCCGTGCGGATTGACTCTATCGCTCAGGATTTGTTCAACCGTGAATGTACTGAAGGCAGCGGCACTTATGCGATCCCCTACATTGATGGTGCCACCACATAATAACTGTTCCTTCTAGGTCAGGAGGTGGGCCGTTTACTACTATGTCGGGCTCAGCCAGCGCCTCGGGATACAAAGCGGAAAGGCACCAGGAAGAACACGAAGATGTTACTAAAAATATTACCATTTCATACAAGGTTAGTAGTGCTCACTATCCAATATCAAGCATCCACTAATCAATAGCAGTTCCCCAGAGTTGAGCTGTATCTGGATGAACTTGATCAGGAGGGCTGGGAGTTGACTCGGGAGTGCAAAGAAGCACTCAAGCATATTAAGACCTCTAAAAGTCCGGACGCCCTTTATAATTTCTATGAAAGATTTGGTAAGGACTAGCTATAAAACGAATTTACCTTATACGTTTGTAGGTATGCTGATAGGTCACTCAGGTCAATTCTTTGCAGTCACTGTTAGGCTTGGTGGCAGGTTGACCAGTACCCATCACATTGAAAAGGTGGGGGAGCAAAATCTCTCTGAGACAAAGAACCGGTTGAAAGCTGCTGCGGCCTTATCCATATCAGGCCCCGCTCTTGCGATGTCAGCGAAAGGCTCATATGAGCATCAAGGGGAGGAAAATAACGGCGGTTCCACTGCCTCTAATACTGATAGCCTAGCCTGGCAAGCGACAGGCGGTGATACAACTCTAGCGTCTAAGTAGGGATTTCTAAATTCCTCCTAGTACGTTATCTACAATTTACTGACATTACATGCAGTCCAGCCTCATGGGCACCAACCGTGAGAAACTATCACAATTGGAGAGTTACTGAGGTTAGTGAACGGGCTTATGGAAAAGAGAAAGAAGACACAGGAATGTTCTGACCAGCACAGATCAACAAAGTCGTCCCAATCACCCAGGTTCTCGACACAAAGGGATCCACGGAGTATCATGATTTATTTCACGATATTGAGATCAATTCCCTGATTAGTATTGGAGAAACTAGATTTGATATGCAATACGTGGCTCTTATCCAGGACATGCAGTGCACTCTTTCTATCTACTATCAGGACTCCGATGGGATGATCTGGGAATGTACAACTGATAGTGCCAACCCCGAAACTAAAAACCACAACAAGGTGGCGAAGGCAAGGCATAATTCTCCCTTAGTTGCCTTGAACAACCCATACGACGATTACAAGGTATATCTACTTTAGCCCCTACATGCCAGCAGAACAGGCTAATCGGATCTGCTTCACTAGAACTACATACGGCTCATCTTTGTGAACCCTGATGGCCATCTTGACGAAATGATCTATGATACGCCAGAGAAGTGTTATACACCCGGCCATCTAGGCAAGCTCAACATCAAGCTCCCCCAAGGCAATCATATAGCAGGAACCTCTTGGGGAAATGGAAACAAGGCTGAGGTCCGACTTTTCTACCAAAACGAACAGAACAGTCTTTGCCTCATTACGTACCGTCCGAATGAGAGTCAAGGATTGTGGTATAGTAATTCCTTTCCTCTGGTGAGAGGCATTGTTCCCAAGACTCCTCTTGCTGCTGGTCTGGAACAGGGCCCATCGGAAAGAGTTCCTGAAATTCCATTTATTCTTTTCCTCCGTGCAGACTCTGGAGAGAGTGAAGACCAGCATCCCTTATATATTGTTCGTGAAGACAGACGATTTGACAATTACTGGTATGGTAAGTATATGATACCTCTGCCATGTACTGACAATCCCTCCATTTCTGTGCATGGTGTTGATATTCCTGTGCAGCAAAAAAGGTTCCCAACCAAAGATTTTCTATTGAGGAAAGGTTCTCGGTCCCTAATGCTTTGAGACGTAACCCGCTGTCCAAGCTCTACTCATTACGGCAAGATAGAACTTCTGGCCGTGGTGTGAGTGTGTACGGCGCGAACGATTCTAAACCTCTCCCTAAACAACCTGGCAGTCCACTCTCGATAGCTGCAGCTCAAGACAAGTCAGGTTCCATATTCGTACTCCTCAGCTACACAGATAATGAAGGAAAACTGCACAAAGACTTGGCTACAGAAGATCTCAAAACAATCATTGGACTGATTAACATGGAAAATTGAATCGTCGCCCGAGCGTAGTGTCATTCAGATACTGCTTTATGCCACGGTTCTTTTTACTTCACTATCAATGTCTCACTCCCTGGATCTTCCATTTCAATGTCGCATATTACAATCCTAACAATAATTCCTCCTCTGGCCCAAGACATTGCGAAGCATCTGGAAACTAAGGCTGTTGAGCAGGCTGATCGTGCCATCTGTTGCGTCACGTGGGGGGCAGTAGTATTGGGATGCATATCATATAGCTGTGTTTGGATCTCTATTAAGTTCAGTACCCTATTGTTATAAACAGTTTACTCTATAGACTGAATCCTAATAGCACAGTACATGCTTGACCCATATGCTACCCAACGTGTCCGGAGTGTGTAACATCCAAAGGCCTTCACGTCCTTTATGGATAGATTTATCCTCTCTTTGAATTCGCAACTATGCTTCATGACTTATTATATCAGTCGTTAAGAAGCAATTTGGATGCAACAATAATAGTACTACTCTCTGGGAAGTACTCGCCTATGCTTCGTAGGATAATTCAGCTTGTCAACCAGGCAGGGGCATCTCTACAGGTTGCAGCCTCTTCCCCAACCACACGGACAGATTCGAATCGCAGCGTCTTTTCTCTATATCCAGTGAGACATTCTTGGTACCGGACGGGGCATCGAATGTACCTGTACTTCGCCACTTCCTTTGCCAGCTTGGTGACCCCGTTTCGGGAGATCGTCGTCAGGATTCGTGAAAGTGGGGCTCAATGATTACAAGAGTGCGAGAGTGTGGGCTATCTTGGCAGCTTCAGTAATTAGGTTATGTATCCCTAGATTAACCAAGATCCCAGTCAATATCTCCGTAGCCATCTTTCCGGGGTACACCGCCACTGCCCCTCGTGCCAACTGTCTTGCAGACCAAGTGTTGGGATTGTTCGAGACTCATATTGGACATACATCGCTGTGCCAAGATAGTGATCGACCAGCTAGGCGTCCAAGGCCCCCAGCAGCAACAGATCAACAGCCTGCTACGAGCAAATCAGAAACCAGCTCGGTTATATTCTCAACGGACTTTTGTTCGCTTTAGGCTCTTTCGCAACGAATTTGGGAGGCCCTGTGTATATAGTTCTATCTTGGTATGTATCTGATAGATTATGGCCACGTCATGATGGGGCTATACATTGTTGTTCATGGAAAAGTCTCCCTCCAGCTAAATTGTCGAATTCAGCTATCTGGAAAGCCGGAAGAGAAAATAGATAAATAGGCGATGTCTTCACCCCGAGGCCATCCTCATCCTCATACAATTCACAGTCCCTTTGAATAAAACCAGATCAATCATCCATTTTATCCGTGATTCACTATGCGCGTACTTGTCATCATTGCTACCCTCCTGACCCTGGCCTACGCCGGGCCCGCTCTAGAAGAGAGACAGCAGGGCGTGGGTTGTAAGGTATGTATATGGCAGTGACTATCAAAATTAGGAATTCTCTGATCATTCGATAGGAGGTCCACAGCCCAGATACCTGTGGCGCCCAGTGAGTACTCCTGACTTGCCGACACCCAAGAAATGCTAATATGTTCATAGTGGCCTGGTCAAGTGTGACGGCTCGGGTTCTTTTCTCGTCTGCTGCGTATATTACACCTTCACCGATTATTTTCTCAGGATGTCTCGCTGACTCGCTATAGAAACGTTGCTATTGAATGTGTTGTGCGACGGGTGAAACTTGCGATTAGACCATCAGGGTTGTTTTGATGCCCTTGTTCTAATATATTATACTTGAACCAAATTTACTCTATTCTTGCAGAAGATATTTAACGTCAGATAAAGTAGACACCTGTTGTGAGAGCGTCTTGTTCACGACTGAACGAAGGCCGTCAGTATACTCGATGAACGCGAAATATATCTCATGTCTGTCCTGGAAACCAATATTAACAAACTGGCTAGAATGACGATTCATCTATCGTTAGCATCGACAAAATTACCTGCCGCAGCTATTAACGAAACCATCCGGGTCAGGCTCACATAATCCAAGCATACTCCCTCTACTACCTAATAGCCGGCTCTAACCCCAAGGGACTGCGGAATACCTGCAAATCGGAATTCCGGTCGTGGGTCGCTGAAACCAGCCTCTAATTGGCGCGACTGACGCCGATTGTCCCCAAGAATGCATCCCTCGCTCTGCCTATCTTCCACCCTTTCAGGCCTATTATGATGTCAAGAGTCTCATAGTGTGAATGACCAAGCTTTACGACATGACAAATCATAAGCCGGCAGTGGTGGATTTGTTTACCAGATGGTGGCTGGGACATGCTGTTGGAGATACGGTGACAATTGCACAGACTGCGAGAGGGCAAGATTAGTTCCATAGGTATAAATGCCGTGTACTAATAAATTGTTGGTATCGTCCAGGAAATATTCTAGTAAGACCGAGGGCCTTTATTCGTGATGTACACGCGTAAATGCACTGTGAAACGCAGCAGTTAGACATTAAGCATGTCTCGTAACTCCGTGATCCACCAACTTCACCAGGACTACCTGACAACTAATAAGACCGGACCTTATATCCCCCAGCCCTGTTCTATGGACTATTCATGGAACTAATGTCATTTTGGATGGCGTACTCGTAGTAGCTGGCCAGACTTAGGGAACCCAGCTTGAGAACATTTCAGCACACCCTGAACACTTTACCCTTTGCCACGGTATCTACTTTTTCGATGCATCTAAATCTCAAGGATACGTCCTACGCTATGATTAATTGTCTCTAATGTTGAATCATTCGATTTGATTATTCATATGGTTAAACATTAACTATGTTAACTCCGCAAATGCGTTACTCGAATATCAGTGACTCAATCCCTGCTGCGCTCTGGACTATTTACAGCTATGATGCTTCTCTATGTGCACGGGAAGGTGCAAGTGATAGTATGAGCGTCACCACCAATACTTGCTGAGCTGTCTTGTGAACAGCCATCCTCGTTAAAGTCCCGGTGTTCATTGCTGTAGTTCAGGTAGCCATCCTTGTCACCGTTGGTGTGGATACTATTCTCTAGAGTCAGCATCACCGTCCCAGTAGATATGGATACATCGAAGCACTTACCAGATCGAGTATGGCAGCTGCGAGCTAAAGCAGTGATCACCAGCATGCCAGATCTGGTTGCATGCTTCACTGAGTATATCCTGTCGGCCGTCGCCATAGTCGAGGCTAACACCGCAGGTCAGTGAATTATCACCGCCACCGACAGCGTTCTAGGATTGGAGATCATTAGGCACGGCTCGCTTTGAAGATTCTGTGTACGGAACTTACCTGACCGCGCTGCTCGGATAATTCAACAGTACATGTGCGATCGCGACGCTCGACTGCTGCAGCTGATGTACTAGCAAGGAAGGCTGAAAGGACGGTAAGGAATGTAGGGATCATCATGTTGGTTCTGGCCGTTCCGTGGAAGGGTTCGTGGTAGAAGCAGAGGTAGAGATAATGGAGTAGATAGCACATAAGGACTGGAGGAAGGAAGGTGTGTTCTTCTTATAGACCTGTGGAATCTTGACCAGTCTGCCTTGAGTGGAAACAAGACTCTGGCCCCCAAGATCCGGGGCCCACGAGCGTCCGATCTTTTTCCCTAAGAGACCGAGATCCATAATAATCCCCACACCCCGCTATCCAAGCATGATCCAGGGTTCATCTGGAGTCACTTAGGAGGTCCACTGCCACCAGAACAGATTTGTCAAGTAAATCATCTCCCAGTCGGCTTAATTACCTTCCTGAGTGAACTGACCCCTATTCCACATATCATCGCGGTTACATTTAACCTCGGTTATATAAATCAGCCTGGATATGGGATAGATGTAAGACATATATGGCTGAGTGGGAGCAGGCTCCACCGCCTCCACTTCTCCCCCAACATGGTCAACTTGCTCAAAACTGGTTTTTGGCTACTCCCTAGAGCTGATCACATTTAGCCAAATAAACTCAGGTGTGCGATGAAAACGGATTGTCACCGGAGAATGACCATTGACGGCAGGAAGAGCTTTTACCTACTGAATGATAGCGATATCCCATCATGGGGATAATTGCCCTTGTGCCAACTTGCCAGCCTCATTAACCAGCATGTCTTCCTCCACTTTGTTGCTCTCTCTTGTCTTCTGTTTCTCTTGTGCGCACGAAATGCGACATATGTCCCTTGCTCGGCAGATGGGTACCGAAGCGATTCGCAAATGATGGTCCATTGCATGCTTGGTTAGTTTGGCTACCGAGAGCGCAAAGGATCATTGTAAGTTTTGTCGAAACGTAGCCTCGGGCGCGTCTCTCGTAACTCCATTCAGAGGCGACGCTAAGAGTGCCTGACAACGAAGACAGCACCTTACTCCTCAAAAGCCTTTGATACGGAAGCTTCGTGGAATACGTAAATTTTCAGAAAGCCTACTCGTAGTAACCGGTCTGGCTTAGGATGTCAAGTACAGACGTGATGTTATACCTTGGCAGAGAATTAGCTAAGGGACATACATATATCTAAACCTAATAATTACAACAGCACCGGTGGCATACCATGTCAGTGAAAACAGCGTAAACTATGGTGCGTCACTGTCAGCAGTCTTTTCAGTATCTTGGAGCACACACTCTGCTGCCGCTGGCATTGGCGCCCCGGCTGGCGGCTGGTTCTTCTTCTTGAACTCATCACACATCTGCTCGAAAGTTACCCACTCCACCCCTTCGTGTTTATTGATATGTTCGATGATTCTATAGCGCGTTAGCTCAAACTTCCCTGCCGAGCGCCGTGCCTAGTCCTCGTTCTTACCTTTCGTGCATTAGGAGCACATGCGGCCGCCCAGAAACATCGGGGTGAATCGTCATGGGGAAAACAAATTCGTCGTATTCGCGGTAGAAATAATCAAAATGGTCCTAGATCCCGACAAGGGGTTCAATCTTAGCCGCGCGACGTCCATCACCGATGGCTCATTGGCGGGTGACATGTGCCACACAACAGCAAGAGGAAGAACTCACCTTCCAGATATCTTCCACATCCCGCGGATTCACCCAGCCGTGACTATTGGCAGAATTCTTGATGAACATCATCGGGGGCAGGTCATCAATATACCAACTGCCCGGAATCTCCACCAGCCCAGTGGTCTGGCCTCGAACCAGCGGCTTCATCCACGTCTCGGCCTTTTGGCTGTAGTCAATCTTCGTCCATGAATCCCCCGTCCGCAACCAGTACATCTGGCAGTCCTCGTGAGACATGGAGTGGTCGTATTCAATCCCGTAGGCGAGCAGCAGGTCGACCATCTCGGCACTGGCCTCCCACCACGGGGCGACGATCCCGCGCGGCGGCTTGCCACAGAAGTCGCGGAGCATCCGATAGGTCTTATCGAGAATGTCCCGCTGCTGCTCCTGGGTCATGCTGGCCGGGTTCTCGTGCGAATACCCATGTAGTCCGATTTCGTGGCCCGCATCCCGGATCTGCGCGCATTCCTCGGGAAAGGTCTCCAATGAGTGACCGGGAATGAACCAGGACGCCTTGATATTGTATTTCTCGAACAACTTCAGCAGTCGCGGGGTGCCGACGTGCCCCGCCCACAGTCCACGACTGATATCGCTCACGCTGTCCTCTCCACCGTACGAGCCGAGCCAACCTGCGACCGCGTCAATGTCGACTCCGTACCCGACCAAGACGCGCTTCTTGCCCATTGTACGTGCGGGGTTGCGGATTGCGGGGCTTGGCGATGTTTTATGTTCGTTTCGGACGGAATGGGGATGGCTATGAGGAGTCCAGAGTAGGTACTGCGATAGTGATTTCTCAATGGAACATCAATGGCGAAAGTTCGATGTTTATGTGGTTGAAGGGAAGACGTGAAGAGGGGTTGAAGTGGGGAAAATGTCAGACATGGCGGTTATCTCGTGATTCCCCCCATTTACTAGTAATCATATCAAAGGTGGGGGGAGGAAGATCATTTCTCCCGACATCATGGAGATTGATATGTGCATTGGCTATGCTACCGGCCACCCTCTAGCTAATGGAGGAGAAATAGTAAGCCCCATTTGACCGTTCGTCGTTCTTCCAACCTGACTCAGGCGATACTATTCTCACTAGAGCTTCCCCTTGTATGCTACAGCTTCCTCATCCTCAACATTCGGCGGCGTCCGATAGATCTGCTGCTCCACACTGCTGGAGTTGACCTGCACAGAATCCAGTCAGTGCTTATCGGGAAAGAGAAAGAAGGCATCCCTTACGTAGTGGGGACCCAATTCCTTGATGCTGGTCGCTCCTAAGAGTCGCATGCAGGTCTTGGTCTCCTCCAGCAGAACTACAAGACGAAGACGGGATATTAGCAGATGGCCACCGACAATCACAGAAGAGAATAGGCGGCGCACTTTGTAGCGTTCGTTCAACTCCCTTCACTCCACCGGCCCCAAGGCCCCAAAGAGCCGGTCGTCCAATGCCAACAGCCTTCGCACCAAGGCAAAGCGCTTTAACTACGTCGGTACCTCGTCGAATACCGCCATCTACCCACACCTCCATCTTCATGAAAACGTAGGGACAGTACTTCCGTATTTCAAGGAGGGTGTGTACGGCCGGTGGTGCCGTGTCCAGAGACCTCCCACCATGATTAGATAGAATAACAGCTCGGACGAGGGGTGTATGCCGGGCGGCAATAGCAACATCCTCATGAGTCTGCAGGCCCTTGAGGATGATAGGCTTCGTCGTGTGTCGTGACAGCCACTCAAGAGTCTCGTGCCAGGTGAGAGACGGATCTGTGCCAGCGAAAAGCTGGGCACTGACACTGCCTGCTGGATGAGCCTTCATATTGATGCGTTCATCATCTTCTCGTTTTCCCGAGACGGGCGCATCAAGGGTGAGTACCACAAACTTGATCGCATCTAACTTGTTCACCCGTGCGAGCATCGCTTCGCTGGCACTGCGGTCTCGTTGGACATACAGCTGCCATCCAAATACTTGCGTCGGTGCTGCATTGGCCACCACCTGTTCAGGGGAGAGTGACGAATTATTTGCGATGATCTGGAGCGCTCCAAAAGCTTTGCATGCCTCTGCGAGTCCCGCCTCCCCGCTAGGATGTCCTAAACGAGCCATTGCGGTGGGAGATATATATATCGGTAGACCAAGCTTCCATCCCAAAAGCTCGGTCTCCACATCGCATTTCTGGCAGTCGACAAAGACTCGGGGACGTAACAACAGTGATCGGTAAACTTGTGTGTTAAAGTCCTTGGTTATCTTGTCGTCGGATGCCGAGTAATAGTAGGCCCATGCCTTCTTGCTGATTACCTTGCTGGCGGCCTGTTCTATCTCGTCCAGGTTCAAGAGGGTGTTAACGTCGATTTCGTCCGTGGGACCCGTAGTATGACTTGCACAAAATGGCTCCTCGTCGCGGTCAACTGATCCGATTTGTGCCGATTGGAGACTCTGCATGGTCTCAGGAGGATGAATGGGATCGAAGTCGTCTGTGGCATCTATACCCCCCACACGCAAAATGGCTTGGGCGCCGCCAGGATGGCTTGACAGCAAATGCGTTACCTCGTCCCGATCAGCGCATTGTGATGGAAATCTATGCAAGCCACAGGGCAAACTCACATCATATACCTTTCCGTAAAGAACAACCCAGCAGCTGTTCTCGTTGTTGTGTTGGGCAACTTGGGCAGTTAGATCAGTCTTGAGTTTCAGGAACTATTGATGTACCTTCAGCACCTGTGAAAACCTTGTTCATATTGATTACTGGGTGACTGGCGAATGGAATGATACCTTCAATCTTCCATGAAGGCAAGTAATATTATATTATGGCCCGCTATGTAAGATTCAAACGGCATGTTTCCTCCCCACTCTTAGTTGACCTAGCCCTGCGTTCCAAGGTTTAACCAGGTAGTATCCACTTCAGCGGAGCCCATCTGACCGCGCAGAAAGATATACACGCTATAGTCACCCCCATCCTTGAGGGTCCCTTTGAGAGCAAACGCGTAGAGTTGAAAGCTTGGTCTGATTCATTGGCAACTTCCGGCTTCTATCGCTAACCCCATCTTTCTACGTATAGACTCAACTATTCAGTCCTCAAATCGTCTACAAGGTCCAACAGCTCGAGAATTACTGCCCACGAGGCATCCTACAGTGCCTCATGACCGTGCGTCTCAAACGGTAACCCGAAAGAGAGAGCTCCCACCGTCACCCACATTGCAGCGCTGGCATAGATCGGGGCGCTGGTAAATCCGGTCTGAGACGAGATAAGACTAGCCACCAAACCCCCAAGGCGCAGAAGAGCTGATGCGGTGCCCGTTCCAGTACCGCGGTGGGGAGCTGGGAAGGATTCAGGGGTGAAGGCGAACATAACAGCATACTCTAGGAAAGGCTGTTAGTTTCAATAGTCAAGAAATATTCCCGGCTCTCATGCTAGCGTACCAAAGTTTGCCAGTATACTGGTGACGCAGGAGAAGGCCAGACTGGCCGTGGAGCTATTGACCCCCACGTAGGCGAAAAGGAACACGGCAGTCACGACAGACGAGATCCCCATCATGTACCTGCGGCCAAGCGTCGTGTTGACGCCCACAGCAGCGGATAGGGGACCGACGATTCCCACGGCGGAGGTGATGCAGTAGTTGCGGTATGTTAGATCAAGAGTCGAGCTCTGGGTAAACTTGGTTGCCAAATACGACGGGAGGAAGTTGAAGTACAGAGGGTATCCGATGCCTGTGACGAATGTCAATCGAAGACGGCCATGCCTGGTGTTTTACTAGGGTCGATGCCTACCGATGGTCAACCATATAACCCAAGTAATTATGGTATGTCTGCAAAGCTTCGACGTTGCGAATAGAGCGCGGTAATGTTCACCCCTGAAGGATCGCAGGTTTTCCGAAACCACTTGCTTGGTGGAAAGTCGTGAGTGTGCTCCATTTTCACTAGCCGTAGCGCCCAGCCTGATATCGATTTCGCGAAGCATACCAATTGTCAAGGGCTCTGGCCTTCCGTTCTGTCGAGCAACATGGTTGACTGCCGCCACCGCATCTTCGTCCCTGCCCTGGGACAGTAGGATCGTGGAGTCTCAGGGAGCTTGAAAACAAAGAGACGCAGTAATGTGAAGACAAGGGTCATGCCACCAAGTGTAATCATCGTATACCGCCTGAGCATTACCAGGTTAGCCTCGAAGTGTATATTAAATGTGGATTCATACCATCCCATGTTCTCGCGACGGGGACAAGTTGCTGGAGTCGCGTCTGTTGGGCAGCTGAAGTTGGCCAAGAAGACCCATGCCACCAAGGAGACAATCAATTGACCTAGGCTCCACCATGCGGTCAATGCAGTGAGAAGATATTGGTGGCTGGTTGCCCATTAGTTATCAGATGAAGACTAGACTGCAGAGCCACGGACCTCCTGGGAACAAACTCCAAGAACATCATCGAACCCACCGGTACGTTCCCTCCAGCTGCGGTACCAATAACGGCCCAGAGAGCACTGAAGGCCACGAAGTTCATAGATCCCGCCACAGCGCAGAGGAAGATACCTGCAATAAGGACTGTATAGTTGAACGCGGGTCTTCGACCGATTAAGTCGCTGGAGATGCCCCAGAAAGATGCACCGAGGATGAGGCCGGCGTAGTAGGCCAGTGAGCTATAGCTGACACTGACAATGTCTGGAAGCTCCTGTTCAATGGGAGGCTGGACGCTGCCAATACCTTGGGAAGCAAACTGAGGAGACGGCACGTTAGCAATGGAGGGGGGAATGAGGGATGTCAGGATATAGTTACGTTATCCACAATCCATCCAAAACCTGTTACTACAAAAAGATTCCACTGAAACCTAATTCTGTGAGCAATAGTTTCTACATACAGTGGCATCCTGTAAGCTCACCGTCCCATGCCAATCTGTTCCATGCAACTTCCTACCAGCTCTGACTTGAGGCGGTATGCCTGGGTAGTAGAAGAGCCGTAGAATTCCTCAGCTTCATGGTCATCGAGGAGAGTGATATTGCCCGCAGCTTTATCCAGATCGGCATCATGAACGGGCTGATTAGGCTTCTTTTCCAGGGCGGCTCTCTCCATTTTCGATTTCTTTGATCGTAGTATCTCTCCCTTCGCATTCAGGGTATGCTTCTTTGTCGATTCATATACTCACTTTTAGGGTTGTTCATTCGGCTTAGGATGTGTAACAGCCAATTATGTTCAAGGATTTACAACACCAGGAGGCGATACCAAAGGTGGGTGAATATGATACGGGGTTCAGACGTAGCCAGGCTCCCCCCACCTTTGCGTGTCTATTGGTGAGGCATACGAGGAGGATGTCCATGCTTGAGCCTGGGCCAGGAGGAAGTACGTCTCCTGCTTGACAGTTCATCATAACAGCATTACGCGGCAGGCATCCATTTGCTTACCAAGATAGTCATAGGATAAATGTTTACAATTGTCATGATCACAATGCAGTTCAAGCTATGGAAGCATGAGAAAAAAAGAAAAAGCAAAAGAAAACAGAGCATAACATTCATCCAACCTAGCTCGCTACGCCCCAACAGAAGCTACCGCTGGGGTAGACCCCAAGGCCTGCATCTCTAGCTGCTTCTTGTATTTTTCTGCCCGACCATAGCTCTCCTTGTAGGCTTCGGTCACCCTATCCTGGACAGTGATCGGTGGGTATTTGGCTGGCTCGCCCGGCGCGCGGCAGTTGGGTAGGCACTCGCAAAGGTAGTCTGGGTTTCCACTAAAGAAAAAAGGAATCGAGTATCTCTCACGGCCCGACTTATTAATCACGCGGTGAATGTTAGACTTGTATTTATCGTTGGCCATGCGCATGAACAGGTCGCCCAGATTTACGACGTAGGCTCCTTCGACCGGCTTAACCTGTGCAAGACATGGATTAGCGATGGACGAAAGCCGGACAGGAGAGGCACAAACATCAAGCCACTGTCCAGTAGGCACATCCAAGACCTGCAAGCCATCCACTTCATCCTGCAGGAGCAGAGTGACGCATCCAAAGTCGGTATGGGCGCCAATTCCACGATTCAGTTTCTCGTCCTGGTCCTTCGGTTGCGCGGGATAGTGGAGATAGCGCATCGTGGCAACAGCGCCTTGGGTGAGAGGCTCGAAGAAGGTCGAGTCCACACCGAGCGTTAACGCAACCACCCCCAGCACCTCTTTCGCGAGCTCGAATACCGCGTGGTAGTATTCCATCGTTGTCTGTTGGAACTCCGCTTTGTCGGGCACCGTCTGTGGCCATTGATTGGGACCACTGTTCAGCTTCTTCTGGACAAAGTATGGGTGATCCTCGGGGATCTCCTCGCCAATGTAAAGCCCTTCTTTCAGCTCGGGGCCGGTGCCTGCTTCGAGCATTTGGGATCGCAGCAGCTCGTAGCCGCGGTTAAAGGTGTTCAGATCTACCAGGTCAGTGAGAGACCGTTCTCCGTCGCAAACTGAAGCCCATACTTTTGTCAATTTGCATTTTCTCTTCCAAAGGCAAGTCGAAGAAGCGTTTGGAGCATTTCATAACGCGCCGCTGCAGGTCGAGCGGCACGCGATGGCCCGTAATCTGGAAGAAGCCATTATAGTGGCAGCACTTGCGCACCTCCTCCACCAACTTGGCCTTTGCGTCGTTATCGCTACCGTAGAAAGCAGAGAAGTCCAGGATCGGGGGAGCAGTTGGTGTGGTCATCGTTCCAAGCTAATGATAGTGTGGTTCTTCTTGCGACTGGTGTCTAAATCTTTTCATAACATGTCCTGCTCGAATATATCCCTCACAAACCCCGTCAAGATCCCCTCATTCCCACCAAGATTCGGCCAGAAGGCCGATTTCCCACCCCTCGTGCACAATCTGGCGACAACAAGGGCAAGGATGCGAGGGTGGGGGTGCTGCTCAAGGATGGGGTGATAGAGTTGATGCATCCGATCACATTGATAAGACGATCTGCAGGCAGGACGATAGCGGGAGGCGGGGTTGTTATCTCGGCAGTCAAGTCTCTAGCTTCGACTGGGCAATTCTCGTGCTTTGGTACCGGATATCATACCCCTTCTATGGTAGATATGGGGTATGGTCAGAGCGAATTACACTCTTCGTGAGCCATGTAAGATCAGGAGTAGCATTTAAGTAGGCTGCCGTTGATAGAAAATGGGAGAACGGAAAAGCAGAAACCGCCAAATATGTCTGAACTGAAGCAATCTACGATGACATCCCCAGATGCCGGAGTCAATCTGGGGCAAACCTCCACTTATGTAGATGCAGACGCTGAACGGGCATACCGTAGAAAAGTGGACCTGTGGGTTTTGCCAATGCTCTGCCTGGTGAGAATATCCAGACCGGTCGCAGACACCAGAGCGATCCCAGACTGCAGAGCGATCCCGGACTGACACTTGCAGATGTACTTCTTTGATTGCATGGATCGCGTGGGTCTTCATGGTCCTGATCTGGTTGCACGCACAATACTGATATGGCCAGAGTAACTTGGCAAATGCCAAAACCGACGGCCTCGACGACGACTTGCATTTTCAAGGGAATGATTACTCGTTACTGATTCTTCTCTTCTATATTCCATTCGGTCTATTTGATCTGCCATGGAACCTGCTGATCAAGCGCTATTCTGGTCGGATTATGCTCTCATCCAGTAAGTTCATCCCAGGACATGGCTGCGAGGAAATAGCTAAATCGTACGCTATAATACATCAGTGTCCGTTGTTTGGGGTATTCTTGCACTATGCCAATGTGCTGCTAAGGACTTCGGCTCTTTACTTGCCATCCGTATCATTCTCGGCGTCTTTGAAGCCGGTTTCTTTGCTGGAGCGACCTTTTACCTGACCCTTTTCTACACTCGCGGGGAAATGGGTTTTCGCTTGGCCATTGTACAGTCATTCGCTGTTCTGGCTTCCGCATTTAGTGGACTGATCTCCTTCGGGGTATTCCAAATTGAGAGCCATTCTGTGAAGGGGTGGCAGTACCTATTTATCATCGAGGGTGGAATGACCTTGATAATTGGGGTTTTCGGGTTTCTGGTGCTACCAGATAACCCACAACAGGCCTGGTTCCTGAACGGTAGGGAGAGAGAGGCAGCAACAGCTCGACTCCTTCGAGACTCTTCATCAGAGGTCTCGACCAATTTCAATCTTAAAGCTTGCTTTCAGTCTTGGGGCGACTGGCAGTTCCCCATTTGGTGCATCATATCGTTCACCTACCCAGTCGCTTACGCAACCGCAATGAACTTCTTCCCTCTAGTGAGTGTTTGACGATCGTCTCTAATCCTTCACCCCTAACCGAAACAGATTGTGCAACGTCTCGGGTACTCTGTTGTCAAGACCAATCTGTGGACGGTGGCCCCAAATCTCGTTGGTGCAGTGGTGTTGCTCGGCGTCGCCAAATCATCGGACTATTTCCGCGAGAGAACCTGTCACATTGTATTCTCTCTCGCCCTCTCCCTTGTGGGGATGGTTATTCTGGTGGCAATTGATGTTCTTCACCATAAGGGGGTGGCCTATTTCGCTTGTTTTCTCATGGCATCTGGCGCATATATCCCATCATGCCTTGTTCATGCCTGGCATAATAACAACAACGTCCATGAAAACTCCCGCGCAGCGAATACAGGGTTTCTGGTGGGTTTGGGTAATCTCGCCGGTGTAGTGAGTGCCGCTACGTTTCGGACTGAATACGCCCCCAAGTATGTCGCACCTTGATTTCGAGAGAGGAAAGAGGAAGAGATTGTCACTGACTCGGCGCAGATATCTTCCTACACTGATTGCGACTTGCTGTTGCAATGCTGTCTGCATCATCTTCGTGACGGGATTAGGGGTATGGATGCGGTTCGAGAATCGTCGTCGCGATCGGAAACAAGGATTCAGACTAGGTGAAAATGGAGTGGATACGAGTCAGTTCAAGGAGGGCAGTCGGAGCGTGCAATGGCGGTACTTTGCGTAGATCATCCACCAGTTGTACGTGGCGGGTGAGGCAAAACATATATTAGGGTTAAGTGTTCGGCCACTCGAATGTTCAGAGTCTTGTATGGCAGAACCTTTCACATCTCTAAATTGCCAGTCACTTCGCATCGGAGTCATACTAGTGGTCACGCTTAGAGATAGGGAATAATTTAATCAATCTATCAATGTATTTATCTCTGCATTAGCCTCTCCCCACTGTCCCCGCATTCTTATCAGCGAGATCGGTCATCCTTCCGAAGGTGCACTTCTTATCCAGTTCCAAGTTCCAACTGTAACTCCCACCGATTGGCGTGCGCAATTACTCCAGATGCATTTGCAACGCGATGAAGAATCACGCTTGTAAATATCCCGGTTGCGACAAAAGCTTCACTCGCGCCGAGCATCTACGTCGGCATGCACTCAATCATGAACAGCCACGAAAGGGCTTTACCTGTGAGCGCTGCAGGGTCCACTTTCAGCGTCCGGATCTACTTGGTAAGCGACACCTTCTTTCGACATTGATTGCAGTCTCCAAGGCTAATCGACTCAGCCCGACACATGCTGCGTCATGACAAACGGGATGAAGAAGCTGGTGGTCCAGGGTTAGGCATCCTGAACACACGCAAGAGGACTCGCAGAGCTCGTGATGGCACCATCATAGTGCGCCCCTCGCAGCGAGAGATGCGGTCGGGAGGACGATCGACCACCGCTTCCTTGTCGTCGGGTCAGGATGTAGTAGCAGAAGAAGAGGAAGAGCCGATGGACGAGGCCCCCTTATCGCCGCCGATATCTGGCACAGACCCAAACTCTCTACCGATTGTCGAGACGGATCCATTTTTAGCGCCGATGATGCCAGGCGGTCCTTTTGAACCATATGTTGAACCTATTCCAGGGCAGTTTGATGCAGCGGACGGATCATTCAACCTCGAGTTGGGCGGCATGGGCGATTTCTTCAGCATGGACACAGGTATGCGTTCCCACCCGATTCCAATACGAGTTCAACTCCTCTAATGAACATAGCCACCGACTTCAATCTCCCATTTGCAGCAACCTGCAACTATAATTGGTTATTCGACGTCGCCTCTCTGGATGACGCATTTCATCAATTCGATTTCCCGCTCGGCTTTGATACAGAGCCGTTCCCTGGAGCGCTTAATACGGACTATAATCCGCCAGTGGATAAGTACGATGGCCCATCAGCCTTGTTAGAGGTAGCATCTATGATGAACAAAGGACAAACGCCACAGTCTACCCTGTCACCGATCATGCCTGACATCCTGGAGGCAGACTGGATGTCGGGGACCTCTTTTCTCGGGCCCAGCCCGCCGCCACACTTACCACGGCTGTCCGAGAATTGCCGGCGAGGCATCCTATCCCTGGTGATGCAGGTATCCCCAGTAGGTATCGACGGTCGGCCAAGAACGCTGGATTCGCCTCTGCTTACCCTAGGGGCTTTACAAAGCTACTGCGATCTCTTCTTTACGCGCTTCAATGTTACATATCCCCTGGTCCATCAGGCAACCTTCAACCCAGAAACCATTGACCCAATTTTTCTGGCGGCGGTTCTGTTCATGGGAGCGACCTATAGCACGCGTGAGGCTCATCAACTCGCCGTGGGGATCCACGACAAACTTCGAAACCAACTGCTATGCCATGAGGAGTTCTCACCACAGCCGGAGTTTTGGGTCTTGCAAACAATGCTGCTGATTGACTGCTTTGGAAAGATGAGGGCCGGTTCCAAGCAGCGCGAACGCGCCCAGCTATTCCACTGTGTCCTGATTAAACTCATTCGCCGTAGTAACTGTTGCAGCATACAAGATTCGCCTCAGCTAGCACGATCGGAGGATATCGATCAGGCATGGCGGCAGGCTATGGATGCAGAGCAGCGGAAAAGACTGGCAATGCTTTGCTTCATGTGGGACACGCAGCATGCGGTTCTCTTCTCCCAATCCCTCTGCATGTCCGCATTTGAGATCCGGTCTCGTTTGCCATGTAGCGCTGCCATCTGGGAAGCATCGTCCGCCCGAGAGTGGGCGCACCTCGCTGCCCGTGAAACAAACAGACCGTTTCTCACTGTCCTCAAAGGCTACATCACCCCAGGATCTGTGTCTCGACCACGAGATCTGAATGTCTTTGCTCGCACGGTAATCCTACATGGCTTGATGTCTGTGTCCGCCGATCTCAAGCGACGAGATCAAACTACACTACGGTCGGAAACACCGGAGCGGGTGGGAGCTTGGACTCCACGAATGAGCCGGTCTTACGTTCTATGGAAAGTGGACTTTGATGCAGACTGCCTCGCAATGAAACTGGCCCAGACAGCAGACCCACGTCGTTTCACTGGGTTGAAAATGGCAGCCCATGCTCTCTATCATGCTTCCTGCCTGGCATTAAGTGTAGAGATCCTTGACTTGCAGATTGTTGCGGGAGCAGTGCAGATTCTAGGACGAACAGTCACTCCAGCTGACCAGTCAAGATCACTGCAGAATATTGTCCGTTGGCTGCACGAGGACTCGGGAGCATCGACCGCTGTGGCACGGCATGCATCCCATCTCCTACAGGATGCGGTGTTGAGTCTCCATGACTGGGACCAGACAGATGCCTTTCATTTCCCCTGGTGCCTCTACTTGGCTACGTTGGCCTGTTGGGTCTTTCATCGGGGCATGGATCCTTCGTCCTCCGAACCCCGAATGAATACAGATCTGTCTTCGCTTATTGTCATGATGACCAACTGCCCCAGCACTACGGAGTTGGCAGCACTGTCCGGAAAATACGATCCCAAACCGTTAGTAGCAGCGATGGCACAGCAACTCGCGACTGTCCGATGGGCAGTTGTTCATGATGCAATGAAAGTACTAATAGCGTTATCTTAAACATGTAATAATTCCATTCGTTCTCCTCTGCCCTACGTCTATTTACTGTAGAAAGGGTAATCAATGTATCCCTTCTCCGCCGGGTCAGCGCCATAGAAGGTCGATCGGTCATACGGGTTCAATGGTAGTCCCTCCTTCAACCGTCGAGGCAGATCAGGATTGGAGATGAACCAGCGGCCAAAGACCACGGCGTCCGCTCCGTCGTCAATCAACTTTGGTCCAGCATTCTGAGGGTTGAAGCTCCCGGCGGCGAGGAATGCGATGCCGCCCTTCTTGAGTGTTGGCCGGAACACATCCAAGGACGGTCTCTCCGACGCGAGAGAATCGAGTTTCGCATTTTCGTCCAGCACCTCGTCAAAGCGAGGCTCAATCATGTGCACGTATGCGGGTCGCGAGTCCGTGGGGAGGTTGGCAATTTGCGAGCAGAGCGCGAGCCAGTGAACATTCGGGTTGGAGTCTCGAGTGTCCTGGAAGTAGTTATACGGGGAGAGGCGAATTCCTACACGATCTGCCCCAATGGCCTCTGAGACTGACTCCAGTACTTCGAGGACAATACGGGACCGTCTCTCAATAGAGCCGCCATACTCGTCTGTCCGATTATTCACATTGTCGTGCAGGAACTGGTCCAGCAGATATCCATTCGCGGCTGTTTGATATTTTTCTCAGTGAACAGATTTCTTCTCGGGTGTATGCGCTGCTCATACCATGAATTTCAACCCCATCGAACCCTGCTTCCATAGCTCTTTTGGACGCCGCGGCATATTCATTCACGGTCTCTTGGATCTCCTCCACGCTCATGGGCCGCGGAGGCGTGGCAGCGTACTCGCTACCGTCCAATGCCTTCCCGCTAATGGGCATGTCACTGGCACTGAGCGCTTGGTTTCCTTCGATGAAAGACGGCACTGTCGCCCGACCAACATGCCATAATTGACAATATATGTAGGCGCCTTTCGCATGCACCGCATCCGTGACATTCTTCCAGCCGGCGATCTGAGAGGCCGTGAAAATACCAGGGACGCCTGGATATCCAGCAGCCTGAGCTATTAGTTAACGCCGTGGCTAGACAAGGGTTCATACATACAAGTCGACTAATCGGAGTTGCCTCGGTCAGCATGAGACCTCCAGGGGAGGCTCGCTGTGCATAGTATTCCACATTAAGTTCATTGGGGACGAACACACCATCGGACTCCTTCGTCGATCGCATCCGAGTGCAAGGAGCCTGGATCACTCTGTGGCTTAGGGACACAGCACCCAAGCGAAGGGGCTGAAACAAAGGTCCAACAGTATCGACTGAGCCCATTGTGAAGTAATTGATTATATCTCGTATTGACTCATTCTGCTGGATGGCAACACCATACTTATATAACCCATCGCCACCCCGCTCCCGTGGTTGAGAGGTACAGAGCCTGGGACAACAGTGGGATAAGCCATTTTTGGTAGCAATTGTCCATTGAGAGTACTTCAACAGTGGACGCTGTGACCCAACCCCCACCATAACACTGGTCCTGCCCCCCACTCTCGCTCAAGTGGCTCTGAAGGGCGTCTTACGCCAATACAGGCTCTCTCTGAGTATGATGGCATATTAACAGTATAATTCAACTTAACTTGCGATACGACGACGTGAAGCCTTCAGAAATCATTGCCTTTCCACTTTCTCTTAGGTACGTATGTGACAAATTGTCGTATACATATGCAAATTTCTGTACGAGGAGCCCTCCATTCCTTATTATCCATAGCCTCCAAAATATATTCCTTCTCCGATCGTGTAATTAAAGTATCTGTAGCTGTAAGGATAAATGAGATCAAAGTCATAACCCATCGTTCAGCTATGCACAAAAGCTTTCACAGTATACATTCCTAGAGGCGAGTATAACCGTAGAGTTTGGGCATGAGACTCCCTTGAACGTTTATTGAATTTACTTCCATATTTGGCAGTGGAATAGCACATAAAGCTCAACTCAGATTTCTAAACTATAATCAATTTTAACAAACGAGTCTGCTTTACATCATGAATGCGAAATAGTTCTCGATCCACTTCACTGACTCGATACCCGCTGGCAGTTCCCATGTATCAATATCTCCAATGTATCCATCTGGTCGCACAATCACTATACCTACCTGATCTCCCTGCAATGGCCCATACCATTTCTCTGTGCAACGAGGTGTGTCGACATCGTCTAGATACAAGGTCCAGCGACTATCTTGCAGTACCTTAGGCAAGTCTGCAATTTCGAACTCGGACTTGGACGACTGAGTCACCATCGCATATGTGAAGGCACTGGACACGGAGGTATATCGTTGTAGCTGCAGGAAAGTTTCGAACGGGGCTGCTCGTTGGGGTTGCACTGCATATGACTGATCTGCTCGTGAGGATATCTTTCCCATCCTAGTCGCATTGTCGAGTCCCTCACAAAGGATCCTCAGCCACCCAAGTGCCTTACAAACATCTGGGATAAAGAAGTATATTCGGAACTGGCCTAAGAGCGGAATGTCAATCTGGATATCAACAGGATTGGCGTCAATGTACCGAGTCACTTTTGCGGGAAGCTGGAGAGCACCGGGTCTCAGGGGGGTTGATCTGGCAGTCCTGGCTCGGCTCAGTAGGCCCTGCGCATATTCCGCACCCACGCCAGAGATAAAGCGAATATTCTCCTCAAAGTTCTTGGCAAGGGCAGCCTCCCCTTGTGAGAACGCTTTGCAATGCTCTGCATCGAAGTTTATAAGATCGTAGGCAATCTTTTGTCGTTCCTCTTCGTAGGTGGCTAGGAGTGATGGTTGAGCCAAACCACGAATAACAAGATTCAGCTTCCATGCGAGATTGAAACTGTCATGCATGCTTGTATTCGCTCCTTGCGCTGCAAGAGCCGAGTGACAGTGTCCAGCCTGTTGAGTATTAACAGGAAACATGCGGGATCCAGGGTGAGATCAGTGTCATACATCACCGGCAATAAATATCTGCGCCTCGGAGTCCATGAAACGCTTCGCGACGCGTTGGCCCACAATGTAATTGCCGAACCATTCCACTGTCCTCCACTCAAGGCGGAAGGGATGCATCGCATCTCTGGCTCGTTGCATGACATACTCGGGTGTAGCCTTGGATCTGTCGACCCGTTCGCCGTCAGTCTCGCTTAGCTGCACGTATAATCGAGTCATGTTGCGTTCGCGAGGGATCCAAAGAATAGACCCGGCCAGGTCGGAACGCACCGCAACTTTGCTCCACAGGTCGGGAAAGTCGGTATCGATCACGCCTATTCCTTAGCTTTATACGGCACAGGATGCAGGTGAACTCACCATCCAGCACACCCCATGAGGCATTTGTCATCTTCCCCTCCAATTGCGCATCCGGGATACACTCTCTCACCTTTGATCGAGCACCATCACATCCTACTAGGTAGTCGGCGCGGATTGTCTTGACCGTCTTGCTCACCAAGTCCTCGTATGCGACATCCAGCTGCCCTGTGCCTGCCACGCGTGAGCAGGAGGTAAACTGACTATTTCTCATGACGAAGACACCTCGCGCCTCCATATCATCGATCAAGACCTCCTCAACCATGCCCTGGTGTGCAAGCAGGATATAGGGATCGGAGGCGCCGACGAGATTCTCGGGGTAATGCGTTTGACGTCCTGTCCGGTGGAGCGATTTATCTGTTGTGGATTGCTGGGATTTATCAGCCACAGTCGAAGGGTATTGGCGCGATACTGGCATACCCAGAAGGAAATATCATAAACACGGGCTCCATTTTTCAACAAGGGATCGGCGAGTCGCATCTGCTTGAATGTCTCGATCGTCTTGGGCTGCATGCCATCCGCCTTCCCGGTGGAAGTCTTGTCCGGACGATCATCCAAGATTTTCACATTAATGCCGAACCGAACGAGATTGCATCTGCGAAACTGTGAGTCGACAAAGCATGGTTGTTCGGAGCAGACCTACGCGAGCATCAACCCGGACGGTCCTGCACCGACCACCACGACCGTGGCTGAGGTATCAACAGGGCCTCTGGAATTATATCCTTCGTTGTCTACGCTGGGTGCCATATCAGTGAATGTTTTGTTTTCAGCGAACTACAGCCGACTCAACAAGTGCGCATCAAGATCGGCCTCATGTATTATAGAATGTTGGAGATTAAATGCGGAGTTAGAGCCGACCCCCACTCTTGCCCTATCTCCGCTACTACCATCGAGTGACTCCCCCATCCACGATGATATCCTGCCCCGTCATGTACGCACTCGCATCGCTAGCTAAGAAAGTACACGCCCCCATGATATCCTCAGGCTCAGCGATACGGCCATTCATGGCTTCCGACTCCCAACCCTGTGCAAGATGGGGGAACTACGAATGAAGTCAGTGTGGGACAGCGCCGCAGTTGAGCTTCTGGGAAACCTACTGCCGCCGTCATCTCCGTTCGCACATACCCAGGAGAAATCGAGTTCACTCGGATGCCCTGTCGTGGTTAGTTGGAGTTTGGAAGGCACGGTCCAACACTCACGTATTCTGCCAGTTCCTTTGCGATGGCAGGGCACATAGATCGAACAGCTCCTTTGGTCCCGCAGTATGCGCTGCATAGCTGGCTTCGCACAGCAATGTGGCTAGCCATGCTAGCTACAAGAATGATGCTCCCATGCTTTGTTCCATTTGCAATCATTTGTTTTGCTGCCAGCTGAGCAGTAAAGTATAGTCCAAGCACATTAATCGAGACCAGATCATGGTGGTCTTTGTAGGTAAATTCCAGAAAAGGGAGATGGCGGTTGATCCCAGCGCATGGGACACAAATATCGAGAGCATTATCGAAGTCCTTCTGAAACTGCGTGAATCCACCTTCAAGCGACTCCTGCGACGCAACATCGACTCTATTTGAGTCAGCCTTAGCATGTATGATATGGGGGTCGCCAACCTGTAATACGCCGTACGAACAGGATATTCCTTCTCAATCGTATAGAATGCAGCGTCCGGATCTACCACATCGAAGATGGCTATATTCGCCCCGGCTTCGGCCAGTCCACGCGCAAAAGCGAGTCCACAGCCTCGAGCGCCCCCCGTCACTAGCGCGGTTCGACCCTGGAGCGAAAACTGACCGGTCAGGTTTAAGCACGGATAGCCCAGAGGAACCACCTACTTTTGACATCATGGTAGATTTTGAAACCTGAACAGAAGCGTCAATGCTCTTTCACATCTCGTATTGCACGAGTTCATGGCTTTTAGCCCCTCAGATATAGCTGCACCCCTTGCAGTGTCGGATATCGGCAGTTGGGTGGCCGGCGATAACCCCCATCTTTGACCCATGAACACTCAAGCGCAGACAGGCTATCATAAATACCCCCAATGCACAAGTGTGTCTCTGGATAGGATCCAAAACATACCCCACACGTCTGTCACCTGGTCCACTTTCGTTCACCATGGCTCCTCGCGTTCACATTAAGCAACAGCAAACCCGTTCGCAATCATGCCGACTTGACATTCTGATTGTCGGGGCTGGCCTGGCAGGACTTGGCTCCGCCATCAGTTGTGCTCTCGCCGGACACTCCGTTCATATTCTGGAAGCCGCCCATGAAATTAAAGAAGTCGGCGCTGGTATTCAGGTTCTTCCGAATAGCTCGCGCGTTCTCCAGCATTGGGGCCTGGAGAAGGCGTTGGCCCCGCATATGACGGTTCCAAGTGTCTGTAATTTTCTTGGGTGGAAGGGTAACAAGATCTCCTACTTGGACTTTCATGAATCCGAGAGCAAATACCCTGGGACATGGTATCGGGACTTTCACCGTGCTGATCTCCAGCGGTGTCTGGTTGACAGAGCTCTCGAGCTTGGGGTGCAAATGACCTGCAATGCACGCATCAGAACCGTCCATGTAAGCGACGACGGGGCCACAGCAGCCGCCATCGCAGCGGATGGCAGGCACTGGAAAGGAGATCTAGTGATCGGGGCCGACGGCGTGTTTGGAAAGCTGACGGAGGAGCTGCTTGGGCGCAGCGATCCACCGGTCAAAACGGGGGATCTCGCATATCGCCTATTACTATCCACGGAGGACATGCGAAAAGACCCGGAACTGGCACCTTTTGTGGACAATCCACAGGTCAACTATTGGCTGGGCCCAGATGCTCATGCTGGTGTGTAGCCTTCGATAGCTCTGTTTTATCCAGCTAACCATAGCAGTGAATTACGTGCTTCGCGGCGGGGATCTATTCAACATGGTCTTGCTTGTCCCAGACGATATCCCGGAGGATTCCCTCGCATCGACGATCGAAGGCAATGTGGAGGAGATGTGCGCCTTGTTTGAAGGTTGGGATCCCCGGTAGGTAACTGTGACAGATTCTGTACGGCTCATCACGCAACTAATAAGAGTAGTATTCAAAAGCTACTTAAGCTCTGCCAGTCGGTGCAAAAATGGAGGCTGTGCATTCGCTTTGGCGAGTTCGATTGGTCTCATCCATCTGGTTCATGGATTATGTTGGGCGATGCTGTGCATGCGACCTTGCCGTATCTAGCTTCCGGGTATGATCCGACGGTTACTATATCTGCTGTGGAGTTAACTAGAATTTCTTAGGGCTGGTATGGCCTTTGAAGACGGTGCCGTTCTCGGTGAATGCTTATCTCGTCTCCCCGACTGTCCCGATATCGCGAAGACGTCGCCCGAGTTCCTGGATGCCAAAAGACACGCCCTGTCCGTGTTCCAGCAGTGTCGCAAGGAGCGTACAGCGATGGTAGTAGATCGAGGAAACATTCAACAATATTTATACCACCTGCACAACGGCCCTGAACAGCAGGAACGGGATCGCAAGATGCAGATGACACCCACGCCTGAAGGCGAGGCTTTGGCTTGGAGAGATCCCGGGTTGGCTCCGAAACTATTGGGATATGATCATATTGCGGATGTGAGTTACTCGCGTGGTGGTCTCCGAGCACAGCTAACAATGATCAGGTGGACCGCTATTGGGGTGTTCGACAAGAGAGTCACAAGGCGGAGTCTCGACTATAGCTACAAGGTGTACAGTGGATTTGGAGGTCAAACTGTGGTTAAACAGTCAATGTGTGTAGAACGGACCCCCACTGCCCCCATCTTTGATATGGGATAGTTTATCAGTCTCCCCATTCTTGAGACCCTCTCCATTCTAGTAATTCAAATAATTCCCCGCTCGGTCTATGCCGTATATATGTGTCCCAAGGAACTTCGCGACGATGGCAATCTGTGATTATACTTTCTTCTAGACCACGATACTACACAAGTCTCTCTGAAAGATGTGGCAATTCTTGGGCTTGTCATCCAAAAAACCAGCGAATGACCCTCCACGAGGGCTTCCAGCATCATGGTATCGCTCTGAGGCGATGTATCAGCTGGAACGCCGAGCTATCTTCTCCAAGCGCTGGATTCTCCTCACCCATTCAAGCCGGTTCAGCCAACAAGGCGACTTCCTCTCCTTCACCGTTGCAAACTTCTCATTCTTCCTGGTCCAAGATCGCGACGGCCATATCAATGGTTTTCACAACATCTGCCGGCACCGCGCATTCCCGGTCGTTCAAAGTCGTTCAGGATCGACCTCCATTCTGAGCTGCAAGTACCATGGGTGGTCCTACGGACTCAAGGGAAATCTAGCCAAGGCACCGCGCTTCGAAGCGGTTCCAAAATTCGATAAAAGCCAGCATGGGTTGCTTCCCGTCCACGTTCACATCGACAAGGCCGGCTTCGTTTGGGTGAATCTGCAAGCGGGCTCGCCGGATGTCAGATGGGAGGACGACTTCCGGAACATCGACGAGCAACCACGGATGCAAGATTTCAATTTTGCCGGGGAATACACATTCGATCACGAGTGGGAAATGGATTTAGACGCCAACTGGAAGGGAGTGATTGAGAACTACAACGAGTGTTATCATTGTGCCACTTCTCATCCGCTCATCAGTGGGGTGTCGGATCTGCCTCGATATCGCGTGGAGCCCACAGCGGGATACATGGAACATCACATCTTCAACAAGGAGCAGATCGATGCCCAATTTAAACGGGCCATTACTTATTTCTTCCCAACCACCTCGGTCACCGTCACGTAAGTAACGCCTACCGGCCTGGGCCGTATATCGCTGACCAAGAAGTGAAAAATTCTTCTATATCCAACGTATGATCCCGATTTCTGCAACCAAGAGCAAGATTGAGAACGAAGTATATCGTCATCAGGACGCGACGGACAAGGAATTCGATGACATCAACGCCTTTTATCGACAGGTGCTGGACGAGGATAAGGAGTTGTGTGTGGGCGCACAGCACAATCTGGGTGGTGGAGTCTTTGTCAACGGCGAGCTTCACCCGGACAAGGAACAGGTACGCTACCTAATCTTATACCAGGAAATGTCTCTCTGACGGGCGAGGCCAGGGACCGATCTTTTTCCAGAAGAGGGTGAGGGAGATGCTCATGGAGCACCGAAAGAAGGAAGATCAACAAGGAGGACACGAAATATGGCCTGCCCTTCCGAAACAACCTGAAAACTGGACTGAGAAGCAGGCTGATGAAGAGCGATTCTGTTCACAATTACAGGCCGCCGCCTGCACGAACCGGCCAGAGCTGATATGGTGATTCGAGGGACTTGGACGACTGGGCGGTATGTTTGGCGGTACACATCATACGTTTCTGTAGCGTGACACTCGTTGCCCTTTGTTTCCTTTTTTTTTTTTCTTTTTTTCTTGTCCTTCTTCTTCTCTCCCTGCGGTGGAATCAGCTTTCTAAGGCGAAGGTCTTCAGATGGGCAAGTTGCGAGCCAGAAACATGATCAGCATTCTCTGACCAGAGATTGTGAATGTGAGCCAGTGAATATATTTACATGATAATTTCACCACTTCGTCAAGTCAACCACCCTACGACATCGAGCAACATCACACAGAAGCACCGATTCTGCCATGTGCCATAAGAGCCGAGTAGAGTGGCTTGGGGATGATCGCAAAACTAAATACTTCCAGTCTGACAACCCATTTTATGACACATGATCTGGGAAACCGACTAGTCCTAAGTATACTCTTCGAGTTTCCTTATCTCATCTTATCCATGAGTGCAAAGGAATACTAAAATCCCCAACGTTCTTCTCGTTTCGAGTTTATTGATTTTTGATGGTTGAAGGATGGCGCTACCACTACAGGAACTGGTCTCAGTGTCGCAGGATGAGACATCACCAGATTCACTACTGCTACGGGAAGAAACATCACTATGCAAAGAAGAGACATCGCCACCAGAGAAAAAGACATTGTGGACACAACATCATGCGCCCATCGTGAGCGTAGCTGCGAAAGCTCTGGCCTAGAGGAATATTCCCGTCGTCGAGTATGGGGAGCAGATACAGTGGCGCTACGGACACCCTGTGGTCCTTCTGGTAAGCTTCAAAGAGCTTTTGTGGCATTGACTAGTCGGCCCGTTGAGTATTCCTAACGTCTTAGATTCCAGCGTGTGGAGTGGGCAGTTCCCGATGAACTGCTCTCGCTTGCATCAGAAATCTTATCAAACCCGGGTTTCCCTTGTGTGCCATATCGTGCCGTTCGGTATTGCCCCATCAATTCTCTGGGTCGCATCTACCAAACTATCACGTTTGATCCGAATGTCTTAGAGGATGGTTTGAATACTTGATGAGGGTATGTGCATGTACATAGAGGAACAGCAATGTTGAAACCTCTGAATTTTACCCTGGTTAAGCTATAATCAACTCAGGGGGCAAAATTCTGACAACATTGGCTATTTCGGCGAAATGTCCAACTCTCCAAAGCTCGATTCTCTTAACCATTTCAAACAATATCGATCTATAAATTAATTCTATGGGCTCCCCATATTAATACTTTGTATACCAACCACGTGCCAGATGTACAGCCCGAAGTCTGCGTGGCATAGAGCAAATAAGCCGATGTATAACCTCCTGCGGTATAGCCCACCAAGTAGCTCGAATATTCTCTCTAAATCGTCACCAGTTATTTTTGATTTGCCGCCTAGAAGGATCACTGGATAGAGCGGTAAAGGGACCTTCTCATATCGCTCGCTGCCATACCCCACGGGCACAGATTGGGAAGACACCGGCGCTCGGTATGAGAACTGCTACGATGCCACTAACCTCGAGACTACACCGATGGTACCTGATGTGATACCGGTGCTGTTGGCACTGGAGACATTGGAGAGACAACTACACATGATTAGAGTCAATTTGGTAGGACTGGACTAGACGATGGAGTTACATACTCCATAGGCAGGTTGGTCTCATGATATGTGTTTCTGTGTCTATAATGGTCGCTACTTGCCGGGCAACTAGTCTAGACCACAAGTGGGTGAGACTTGATGCACGTACTCGGAACGTGGACTCAAAGACAATCACAGACTGTTTTAGAAGATTATTGAACTTGTCTTACATTATATGTCCAGAGGAGAAACTAAATATAGAAGCAAAAATATGTTTTCTTTTTCTTCGGGTAAATTATATTCAGGTCCCTGAAGGAGGCCTTGAACCACTACTAGAGCGGCAAGACCCCCACGACGGGCGTTGGGTGAGCATAGTCATACTAATGCTGTTGTGTGTTTTTCTATTTTCCCCTTCTAGAGACAGATCTTGTTCGAATCTATATTCGCTTCTTTGAGCTATATTGGGGCTAATTATACCCGTGGAATGATGTCGCCGAGCGAACATACCATCATAACTTGCATAGCTCCGTGCCTTGCATCCACCCAAACAGCCGATCTTCAAGCAAATACTCCATCACCATCGGCTCCAGTGCAATGCGGATTTCCCAGGGTGACCTCGCGTAGTGGCCAACATACCGATCGGGCAGCACCCATGCCTGATTCTGCATTCGAGGGTCCGGTATATCGGCATGTGCAACTCTACCAAGGACTGGACCAAACTTCAACTTATAAAACCCCGTATGCCGCATGCTACTGATGCCGAAATCGGCAGCGCAGGCGCTTAACATCTCCTCATTTCTTGACCCAATCGAAGAAATAACATCTGTAACTTGGGTTTTGCCGACAGACCTGAACCCGGATCGGACCGCTAGAGCTAGGCGAGCAATTAAAGATAGATCGAATTGGCCAGGAGACGAGATGGTTGCCGATGCAGACTTGACTGCGTCCTGGATCGAGAATGGCGATTCTATAGTAGCCGGAATGACACAGTTTCCAATGTACGTAGTCCAGAGATCTTCAGACATGAGTGTGCGAACATCAGTCGCGAACGCAAAGTGCGATTTCCCTTGCCTCGGAAATTGAGGATCTGATCGAGCTCGTGATCGAAGGACGCAAAGCCACATCAAGGCTGAGATAATGTCGTGGCTGGACAATGCCAGCTTCGGGTTCTCGACTTCCGAGGACTCGGCATCGCCGCGAGCCTCATCTCGTACGAGTGCATTGCACATGCTCCTGAGCTGTATGACTCTCTCGCCACTCAGAACGAGCAGCCGAGTGATGGGCGCCTGAGGGCCCCGGTCAGGTGCAGCTGGAATAGGGCAATTCTCCCCTCTCAGTACCACAAATGCATCAGGTGCTGGTGAGGCTGCGGCAGAGAGACGCTTGCGGCACACGGCTTCGCTGATTGGGTCAATGGCCAGCTCATTCTGCTGTACGTTGGTCGGGTTCCGACAACATGCAGCCAATGCTTCCATAACGGTGTAGATTCCCCTCCCGTCTATAGCATTATGATGGACGCTTGCGCACAGGATGATACCATCTTCGAGAACGTTTGCTTGAAATCGTAGCACAGGGTGTGTTTCAGCAAGGACTGTGTCCAATGGCATTGGCAAAAACTCCTCACGGAAGATGTCGTCATAAGAGACCGTATTGCATCGGCCTGGGCCGGTGGGCCTTTCGTATGATACTGGAGTGTATTTACCACCATGATGTCTAACACACAGCATGGGATATGTGCTCCATGTAGCTGCCGTTGGTGGATGAACCTCTCCCACCCCCTTTCCGCTGTCGGGGTCGATTGTCCATACCACGTTGCCACCAAGAAAAGGTAACTTGGACACCAATTGCGATACGCCTGCTTCAAGCGCTGATATGCCCTCTTTCGAATTTTCCAATGAGAAAGTTATGGTACCCATCATATATGCACAAGGCAGAGTATGATCCAAGGGCGAGAGAGTCTATAATAGGGTGTGAAGGAGGGTAAAGCCCCTGACTGATGCACTTGGCTTCCCATCATGTTTTGAACCTTCGATGTATCAGAACCTTAGAATTTTAAGCAGCGACAGAGGAAGCTCAGACAGTGCAGAGCTGTTTAAGGGAGGCTATGAATGATCAGCCTTGGCGTGAGACCGGCGAAGGGAACTGGGTAGAGGGTTGAAGTTGGGGAATCCAGGCCTGGGCTCTCTGGGACAGTGCAGTTGTTCCTAGAAATGACCGAGGCTGGACATAGCATCATCGAGGAATCTCCGCAGGCAGTCAGCCAGTACTTAAAGAAACTTCAGAAGCTATCCGAACTGGGTCTGGTACTCAACTAGAGCTGCACTTCGTGTGTTTTAGGTTTTAGGACTTGGATCTTCGCTACCATTCTTTACAGAAGGCCTCCCATTGTAATATGTTATCACAATGCAAGGGATATCACGGAGTGTTTCTCATAGGACGGCGATCAAGCGGTCTGAATGGAACTGTCCCAAATTGGGCCTACATATTGGATTTAAAAGACAATGTGACCTGTCTCTGACGGAAAAGCCCAGTCGGTCGGGTTGTCCACTAGAAGTGTGCTTCAAATAACTCAGCAATTATACGGGATGTACGTGATTATGGGGGCTGCCGTGTTCCCATTGTTACCATGATGCAAGGGATCATGCCCGCCGCAAAGGCCACATGAAAGAGAGGTAATCATATTACCCTGCTGAGAGATCCAGGTACTATATATGTTCACTCGGACTCGATCCTCCTCTTCGCTCATTTTGTCGTAATTGCTGCTGATATTGGGATATAATCCTACAGGAAACATCAGGATCTGGAACACTGCTAGTAGGGGTGGTTCTACTGTTTCGGCATTCTGTATCGAAGGACTTGAAAGCGATCGACTAAGCAATCCATAGGCCAGGAAATATATTCCAGCCGGGTAACGCGCGTCCACCCACCGCGCGTTGGCGCACAGGAATGTATTGAAAGACATGGTATTCATGTGCTGGATTTGTATCGTGAAAGAAGACTCGGGCTGTTTCACTATAATGGCCACAAGCTCGCCCGGTGCAAGCCTTAACCTCGCCTGCACAGTGGCTGAGTGAGTATCGGTGCAAGGGATTGGATCTCCAACCACGACAGAAGCCAGAGAGAATGGGCAACGCTACTCACATCACCTTGGGTGACGCTATCTAAGATGCCTGCAAAACAGTTCCCCCACCATATCTCCTGTCCTTGGTGACCGGAACCTTCCTTGCACTCATGTCAACCGAATTTGAAGTTCATTGCTCTTCGTTGACTCCGGGATACGACAACATTTGCGACCAGCCACGTGGAGATCGTTCCGAAGCAGAGTCACAATGCCATCAGGCTCTGCTGGGTTAAAGTGGCAGACTTTCATAAAGAAGGGAGAAACGTCTCTCCTCAGCTACTCGATCCCGCCTGATCGGATTTAGTCCAGATCGGAAGACTGTTTGTGCCCTCAGCACATCGGCGCGGGTATGGTCAAGAAGGGCCTTCCCACCGAAGAGTCATTGTCGCAGTTCTTTCGATCAGCGCTCAGATCAGTATTGTCTGCCCCTGGCCCATAGCGGCATGTTGCGAGATCAGAGATTGTGTATGTGCATAGAGCCATCCCGGACTAGGCCAGTTCCGTGACCGTCGGCTTTAAGGTCGTCATCTCCGCCCAGACACGCCTCAGGCACCGACAATGGCGCCTGGGCGGCGGGCTTGCGATGAAGTCCACCAATGAGACGCATTGTCGGCGCCTACGGAACGCCGTTACGCCGACGTTTTTCTTTGTGTGCGGTCCACGTGTGGGCCGGAACGTCTCAGCCCGGGATTCAAAGCATAACCAGTATCAGGTTCCAAGATGGGAAAGGACACATTAGAAAGCTCGGATTTTGGTACTCATAATGGGCTCTTCCCGGTTTCTCATTCACCAGGTCGAGTCTCTCTCGCGCTTGATGGCCTACGACCACGAATACCCTCCTGAAGTACGCCTCTCACGGTCTCACCTTTGCGTACTCATACTTCATTGTATCGTAGGCGGATAGAAATCATCAACAACTCTGCTCGAGGCGTCGTCTCCTATTCTGCGTCCAGAGTGGGTGCCCAACTCCACCATTCACACCTCCCATATGATAGAAGTTACCTGACTGACTGGTTGTCGAGGATGTCGTCCAAGCCCGAGGTGGCTCCGGAAGTCGACCCGGTGACGCAGATCGACACCTATCGCGTTCACGAGGATGATAGCTTTTCCGACACATCCTCATCGTTGTCCTCGGATGAAGATCAGGAGCGACAGTCACTGTCTCGCATAGCGTCCAGCCGACTAGGTCAAGTGCTCTCGGCCACGGATGCGAAACAAGACCCCCAGCTCGACCCCAACAGCCCTTCATTCGATCACCGTCGTTGGGCCCAGTTCGTTCTGAGGCGAATGCACCAGTGCGGTATTGAACCACCACAGCAAGGCGTCGTCTTCAAGGACCTTCAAGTCTCGGGGTCTGGATCGGCGCTCCAGTACCAGGAGACGGTTCTCTCCACCTTCGGCATCCCCTTCCGCACGGCCTCTAGAGCGCTTGCAGGACAAAAACGGATCCCTCGCCGTCAGATCTTGCGTGGCTTTGATGGTCTCCTCGAGGGTGGCGAACTCTTACTCGTGTTGGGTCGACCAGGCAGCGGATGTTCGACTCTCCTGAAGACGATCTGTGGTCGCATGGGCGGACTGACCCTAGAGCCGGAAAGCACAATCCACTACAACGGGGTGGGCTATGAGGATATGATTAAACACCATCGGGGAGATATTGCCTACAACAAGGAGGTTGACGAGCATTTCCCACACCTCACCGTGGGCCAGACCCTCTCCTTTGCGGCACATGCCCGTGCGCCTCGACGACGGATCGAAGGTGTGACTCGCATGCAGTTCGCGGATACCATGACCAAGGTGGTGATGTCGGTGTACGGCCTCTCACACACGGTCCACACCAAGGTGGGAGATAACTTCGTCCGGGGAGTCAGTGGGGGTGAACGCAAACGGGTCAGTATCGCCGAGATGTTTCTATCGAACTGTCGGATAGGTGCTTGGGACAACAGTACCAGAGGCCTTGATGCTGCATCTGCCCTGAAATTTGTGAGAGCGTTGCGCCTGTCCGCTGACATGAGTAACTCCTGCCATGCTGTGGCCGCCTACCAGTCTTCCCAGTCAATGTACGACCTCTTTGAAAAGGTCGTGGTCCTGTACGAGGGGTATGAGATCTACTTTGGGCCGTGTGACGCGGCGGTGGAATATTTCCAGCGGATGGGCTGGGAACGACCGGAGAAGCAGGTGAGCCCGGACTTCTTGACCGCCATCACCAACCCCGTGGAACGAAGGGCCCGGCCGGGCATGGAGGACAAAGTGCCTCGAAGTGCGAAGGAATTCTCGGACTATTGGAAGCGCAGCCCAGAATATCAGAAGCTTCGCACGGAAATTGCCCAATATGTGCAAGAACACGGCCCAAATGGTGAAGGCGCCCAAGTCCTGCGGCAGGTCCACGAAGAAAAGCAAGCCCGTCATACGCGAACGAACAGCCCATACCTCCTGTCGATTCCGATGCAAATCCGCCTGTGTATTCGGCGGGCCTATCAGCGTCTACGCAACGATCTGCCAACTGCGATGTCGACAGTTATTGTCCAGACCATCCTATCCTTGATTATTGGCTCCGTCTTCTACAATTCCCCTGACTCTAGCAATGGATTCTTTCAGAAAGGTGCTGTCCTCTATTTCTCGGTGCTTATGAATGCGTTGATCACCATTGGAGAGATTATGCAACTCTATGCCCAGCGCCCCATCGTGGAAAAACAGGCGGCCTATGCGTTTGTGCATCCATTCACTGAAGCCTTAGCAAGTGCCCTGGTAGATCTGCCAATCAAAGTTCTTCGCTGTTCGGTGTTCAGTATTATCCTCTACTTCTTAGCCAACCTCCGCAGGGAACCGTCTCAGTTCTTCATCTTTTACCTACTTCTGATATGCACCATTCTCACCATGTCTGGAATGTTCCGCAGTTTGGCGTCCTTGACGCAGACCGTGGGACAGGCCATGGCGCTTGCCGGTATCCTAGTTTTATGTATTGTCGTCTACACCGGATTCACGTTGCCACAGCCTGATATGCATCCGTGGTTCTCCTGGATACGCTGGATCAACCCTGTTTTCTATGCATTTGAAGGCCTTGTTTCCAATGAATTCCATGGCCGGAATTTCGAATGCGCTTCTTACATTCCTTCTTATGGTACAGGGACATCCTTTATTTGCTCGGTCGTCGGTGCAGTTGCCGGTGAACGGTTTGTCTCCGGCGACGCGTTCATTGAGCAGAACTACCAATATTCCTACTCACACCTGTGGCGAAACTTCGGCATCCTGATCGCGTTCCTGATCTTCTTCCACGTACTTTACCTCACTGCAACAGAGTTTATCTCGGCAGATAAGTCCACAGCGGAAGCATTGGTGTTTCGGCCGGGCCATGCTCCCAGCTACCTGCAAGACGGTGACGGTATTGAGGCGGAGAAGACAAGCCCTACGACGGAGGTCAGGGCGGACGCAGATTCTATCCGCCTCCCGGAGCAGAAGGATATCCTGTCCTGGAAATCAGTTTGCTATGACATTCCCGTCAAGGACGGCACCCGGCGTCTGCTAGATGATGTGAATGGATGGGTCAAGCCGGGGACGCTGACAGCTTTGATGGGCGTTTCTGGTGCTGGAAAGACCACTCTGCTCGATGTTCTCGCCCAGCGAGTGTCGATTGGCGTTGTGACGGGAGATATCTTCGTGAATGGAAAGGGGTTAGCCGCGAACTTCCCCCGTCGAACTGGCTATGTCCAGCAGCAGGATCTCCATCTGGAGACCACTACGGTACGGGAGGCTCTCCGCTTCAGTGCTGTGCTTCGCCAGCCTCGATCAGTCTCTCAAAAGGAAAAGTATGACTATGTCGAGCAGGTGCTTCAAGTCTTGGGAATGGAGGATTATGCTGAGGCAGTGGTCGGTAGACTGGGTGAAGGGTTGAATGTAGAGCAGCGAAAGCTGTTGAGTATCGGCGTTGAGCTCGCTGCCAAACCGACCCTTTTAGTCTTCCTCGACGAGCCCACCAGTGGTTTAGACTCTCAGAGCTCATGGACCATCTGCGCGTTTCTGAAGAAACTGACCAGTCAAGGCCAGGCAGTGTTGGCAACGATCCACCAGCCCAGTGCAATGTTGTTCCAAACCTTTGACCGCTTACTATTCTTAGCGAAGGGGGGAAGGACAGTTTACTTCGGTGAGATTGGCAAGAACTCCCGCATCCTATTGAACTACTTCGAGCGAAACGGCGGTCGACTCTGCAAGGAACATGAAAACCCGGCGGAGTACATCCTCGAAACGGTTTCCGGTGATGTGGACAACAACGCACCAGATTGGGTCAAAGTGTGGAACGAGAGCCCCGAACGTCAAGACGTACTCGCGGAGCTCGATCGATTGCATGCGACCAGAGAAAGCGATTTGGCACCCTCTGCCGATGATGCAGGAAGCGACGAGGAATTCGCTATGCCATTAAGCAGTCAGCTCTATCATGTTCTTCGCCGTGTGTTTCAGCAATACTTCAGGCAACCGGAGTATATTTTCTCGAAGTTCATTCTGGGCATTGTCTCTGGTCTTTTCATCGGATTTTCCTTCTGGAAAACTGACAGTACACAGCAGGGCTTCCAGAATTCCCTTTTCAGTATTTTCCTGTTATGTACGATCTTCAACACGTTGGTCAACCAGATCATGCCGAAGTTCGTTGCCCAGCGTGCCCTCTATGAAGTGCGTGAGCGGCCGTCCCGAGTGTACTCCTGGAAGGTCTTCATTCTTTCTCAAATGATTGTCGAAGTGCCCTTCCAGTTTGGACTCGGCGTTTGTTCCTGGGCCTCATTCTACTGGGCTGTTTTTGGTGCGGACCAAGACTCCGAGCGCCGTGCTCTGATCATGCTGTTTATTGTGCAGTTCTTCATCTATAGTGCGAGCATGGCCCAATTCGTTGTATGCGCGGTCGGAGAACCCGCACTGGCCTCCATGATTGCTACACTGATGTTTGGTCTGTCGTTCGTATTCAGTGGTGTTATGCAGCCACCCCCTGCCCTCCCGGGATTCTGGATCTTCATGTACCGCGTGTCCCCATTCACGTACTACATTGGAGGCATTGGAAGCACGGCTCTGCATGACCGTCCTGTGCATTGTAGCTCGACAGAACTCAGTGTTTTTGATCCCCCTGACGGCCAAACCTGTGGTGACTATATGAGCAAATATCTCGATTTAGCTGGCGGCCAGTTGTATAACAAGAACGCAACGTCCGGCTGTGAGTACTGTGCCATGGATTCTGCGGACCAGTACCTGGCCCAGCGGTGGATCTACTGGGAGGATCGCTGGAGAAACTACGGCATCTTCTGGGCGTACTTTGTGTTTAACATCATTGGGGCGATCACGCTCTACTATCTCTTTAGGGTACGGAAGATTAGCCTGAAGAAATCTTGAGGCCGCCACCATACCCCTTACTCTTTACCCCTATCACTGTGCATTTCAGGGCGCCAATATACACTATGTGGCGTTCCCTCAAGCTCCCGTCTCTGACTTACCGTTCGGGCCAGGTCGAGCTTCACATCTTATGCTTTGTAATAAATAATCATCAATAGAAGTCAGGAAGTCAGAATAAGTTTATTATTGTGCTGTAAATACTCTGTAAAATGAATCACAACCCACCTATCTAGCAGTATGATACATACTTAAGTCCTTTCAGATTTTCTTGGCCCAGGCCCCACCTTTTCCTTACATTGGGACTATGATCATGGGAATCTACTCGATCTAGGTGATGACATAGCAGATCCACAGATTGTTGCACATGAGCGAAGAAAGCTTGAGATGGAACCCGCAGCCAAAGTGTTTCCCTTCTGCTACTGCCATGTGTCTGAGAAATACAGTTATTGATCTCACGGCTGGGATGAACAACCAAGCAGCCATTGTTCAAGGGGACGACTACAGGAGCTACCAAGACATTATGGCTGTCGTTAATTCGAATGCTACTGGTAACCGCCACATCACCTAAACCTCAATATTACAGTTAGCCAGAGCTGTCGACTGTGATTCCATGGGAGCATGTAGATAGCAACCTTAAAATCGTTGTGCTCGCGGCGGTACAAAGGCCTCTTGTTTCGCCTTTTATATAAAACTGTGACTGTTTATCATAAAAGCTTGATGGAAGGGCTGTCCTCACAATACCTAAACTATGTTTGTCGAGCCCGGGGAATGGTCAAAACCTACACAATTAAGGATGACAGTGCACCCTCGAAGCCTGGTAAAGGAGTTTGCAATATTTACATTTTATGTAGAACGCTGAAACCCACATCGATAATCTTCAGTGGTAATCTATCTGCGAAGTGTAAAAGCTTTGCTGCGTGCAGAAACCCATATATAAAAACATTTCATAAACACAATATGCCAGAGTGACGACAGAGGTGCTTAGAGCCAGAGGCCTATGTAACCTGCCCGTCCACCAAGTGCAATTTTCTCGAACCCACGTCGCGCAGCATGCTGGAATGACTATCGCCATCTTGTACACATCCTTGGCGCGACTGCAACCCATGTTCCCCCGAGAAACTGAGCATGATGTCTATAGTCAACACTAGGTATCATGCTCAAAAGTCATTATAAGCGGTATCATCCGCATGCATTCCAATAAACGAGGTCATAATTGCTCAGACAAGTTCAGGTGGAAGAAGCGTCAATAACACGTTGGGATGTCTGTACTTCTGGAGATAGACTTTTCAAGGCCGAGGCCAGTTCGTCCGCAGCCTGCTGGAGAGCATCGTCAGAAAGCGGCTGCAATGCGTCCAGAATGAATAGAACACGCGTGGTGTCGTTCGTCAGCGCCGTGCGTGGACCCTGTCGCCAATTCCAGCGGCGGCACGTAATGCCAGTATTATCACACCAGATCGGCTCTCCGGGTGCAGCCAGCTCGGTCTGGGGCTCTCCCCCCGAGAAAGTCTGGAACGGCTCCTGACCGGTGGCACGCACCAGGAATGGCGCTCCATCGTACTTGTCAAGGTCCTCGCCACCGAACGGGATCTGATGCTTGACCGAAATTGCGTTGTATATGTCGGTTAACCGGTTGACCCGTGGTAGGCCAGTCGCTGCACGCCGGGACAAGGCCTCTAAACTGTTGCGTGTCTTTTGGGGCTTGGCTCCGAAAGCTTTATACGCCTCCCGCCAGGCGGCGATATGCGGAAATTCCGTCACGGGCGATTTTGACAGCAGTTCTTTGACTATCTCCTCTGCTTCCTGCAGAAAGGTCTCGCTAGACTCATCGCTAGGCCCTGGAGGGATACCCTCTACCACCATCAAGAGGGCGCGGTAATCTGGACGCAGCTGGAAGATTTCCGGGGCGACACGCGCCGACTGCAGCAATTGCTGTGCGGTTTGTGTACTGCCCATAGCTAAATTGGGGTTAAAGTAATGAAGGGAGATTTCTTCAGTCGACAGTATGAGAGACAAGGGACCAGGTAAATAGGATCAGTGGGCAGTATGTTTAATCAAGCAAAAGACAGATACGCTGGCCATTTGCTTGAAAATCGTATTTATATAGGGCTGGCGAAGGAGTGGGTCCAGACCCACTCCCATCAACTTCCTAAATGAGTAAGGAACCGGAAAGGCTTCAAGGTTTCACATCCTCGTTAAGTAGTATAGTAGTGCAACAAGGACGCGCAAAGATTTTCAGCTCGTGGCAAATGTGTTATCACCCCTGCCGGCCTGCCAGAGGAATTGCACTTCGCTAGATGGTCTACGTATATCACTCGTGGAGGCAGCCTTGGCTGCTGGGTTTGACGAGGTGCACTGCATCTCTAAGTAATCAGCAGCTATTCTTGAAGAAGATGTGCTGCTTTCTACCTGAGTACTGTTTTGCTCATCGATTGTGGGGGTGGCAGTAGTGTATGTCCTGCCCCCTACGCACTTTTTTTTTTTTTCTTTTTCTCAGACTCTGGTTAATGTTGTACAGGAGACGGCAAATCAGACTCGCCTGTGTACCAGACGGTAAGGATTGACAAATTGTAGAATATAAGATCCACGGGATAGACCAAAATCCGAAGATAGTAAGAATAGCCAAGTTTTAGTTGTGTAAAGTTTCTTATTGGTAGCGGTAGAGGTTATCGGAAGTATTGTCTGTTACTATTGTCGATTGCAGGGGTTTGGTATAGGCCGTATATATGCTCATATCATACTGCTCGATATTTGTATCGAAACTGATACTATCCATTCAAGAAAGTATCTAAGTACCAGCTTTTCTAGACTTCTGGTAGATAAAAGTCTGAAAGGGGACTAAAGTGCGGTATCTTTATTGGGTAGCTCGCTGTGAGTATAGTGCAAAGCATAGCTTTCCCAAGTTAAAGTAATCGCGGCTGCGGATATTGAGATATAGATATTTCAGAAGGCTCTGTCTGGGTAAATACTCATACCCGGTGCTAGAGCCGTCCCCAAAGCTGTCCCCAGTTCCTATGACAAGGGCGTTGTGTTGATGAAATACGCCATAGATAGGAATTCAATAGAACGTGTATTGTTAATCGTAGTAGTATTGGGTTATTACGATGGCCAGTGACCCAAGGGAGATTACCGTAGCTCAAGACGAGTGGAGCGCTTCAGCCGACCATCCATGTAGTATGTACGAGCAGTACCTGAACAATAAATTACAGCAGAGGCGTATCAGAGGCGTCTGAAAGTTACGGAACTGACAACCGCTTGGCGCCAAGTCTCCTAGAATGGTGTAGTCACCTGCCGATTAAAGTTAGTCTCGATTTTGCCTTCGGGGACGAGCTGATTCGTAAGTATCGGGAATACACAGGATTCAACCCTCGCGAACATCATTCTCTGTCTCTCTTCTTTAACTTACATCGTACCTTCAAAATTTTCTAGAAATTGTTGAAAAATGGTATGATAAGCTTTGCACCCAGACTTGTAACAGAAGTGCCGGATAACAAGAAGGATTGTCTTTAATCGGTGGAGTGATAAAAATATGTACATGGCTGTGAGGCTACAGGACCTGTAGAAATATATTTGAGATATCGTCTACAGCCCATTTGGATTTCAACTCTTGAATTCCGAGTCCTTTCATCATATCGTAAGAGGACCTAATATCAGATCAATGCACATGGACCCCACCGTGGCTCACAGAGATGAGAATTTTTAGAATTTACTTCAAGGGTGAAAAGCTCATGTTCTTATAGACGAAGAACTGCTCGCCGTAAGTCATTCACTTGACCAGAGAGACCCGTCAATTTGTGCTGAAACCTCGGCGTCCCATTTTTTATCTGTTGGTCTGATTTCATTTGTGTTTCACAGAGGCACCGTCTTCTCATACTTATACTAGGGGAATTAGGTGGAAGATGTGAAACAGCATTCAGTAATACCCTAGAGATCCATAAGACTACCGTCACAACGCTGATCTAGACGCATCAAATAGCCACGGGTCGACCAGCGATGCACCAGACTCTATCCACCCCAGAGTTTTTAGAGTCAATTCTATTGCATCTGGACCTTCGTGCACTCCTGACGTCCGCCCAAAGAACCTGTCAGGTATGGCAAAATCTAATACAGGAGGCACCGGGATTGCAGAGAGCTCTTGTGATGGGGATTCCCACGGTCGCAAAGTGCAGTCTTTAAGCTGGCGCGGTGGCATTCGTTCTGTGGCGTGTTTGGCGTCTGTCTCTATTACGAGGTTCCGGTGCGTGAGGGAATACGTAGTCAATATCAGGCACTCGTGGCGAGGCTAATTAGAGCATATCTTAGAGATCTCGCAAAACGCGAGACGGTCTACGCATGGAAACGCTGTTCGAGCATATCCTCTTTGCCCCAAAACTCGGCTTGGGCTTATTGAAAGCGCCAAGGATTGCCTGGTGGGGGTGCGATACGTCGGACGGGTCAACTGTGAGACATCTCGAGAGCTTGGGGGACTTTGTTGTCGATGCCGATATCCTGGTCTCCTCCAGTAGCAGTCATGGCTGCGAGCCCCCCGATTCCCGGGAGGAGGACCATACTTTGGCAGCACGATTGGACTTGCAGGGATGGCATGGTTATCAGGGATTGATGGGAGATGTACGCCAGCTGCAATTCCAGTTTGGCCGCGAGATAGACGAGGATCTGTAGAGGTCTAGATCGTTCGTTTGACTCATAAGGACAAGCGGATCAGCCATCCGATGAGTCCCGGAATCGCACCCCGACTCGACGATTTGGGAAGAAATTTCCCTGGCCAACTCATCGTGATGACTGTTGCTCCAGCCCCGCAGCGCCCTAGACCCTCATAAATTCCCAGATCAGTTCAGGATGACCTCGCACACTTCATACGTCCTCCCTACCATGGCTGCATCAGATCGTGGAAAGGATTTTGTGTCTTCCGGAGTGGAAATCAACCATCCAGCAGTCGGTGCCAGTGAGTCTCGCCGACCGGTGGATGGCTTCCAAGTGGAGGACGATCGTACGGTCCTGCAGGAGACAACTACCGATGCAGACGCGTTCCCAGATGGCGGTTATCGCTCCTGGCTCGTGGTTCTGGGCTCGTTTTTGCTGCTGATGTCGTCCTACGGGCTGATGAACTCGGTCGGGGTGTTACAATCCTATCTGGAATCTCACCAACTAGCGAACTACTCGAGCCAGAATGTCGGTTGGATCTCAGGGCTCTTTGTCTTTGTTTCGCTGGGGCTGGGTGTCTTCGTGGGCCCCTTGTTCGACACCTACGGACCGAGAGAACTGGTCTCCGCCGGGTCGGCCTTTTATGTGCTGAGTCTATTCCTGACCGCGGAATGCACCGAGTATTGGCATTTCATCATTTGCTTCGGCATCATGGCAGGCATCGGGGGTGCGTTCACGAGCACTATTGGGATGTCCTGTGTCCCACACTGGTTCCAGGCGCGCGCCGGCATGGCGATCGGAACGGCCATGGCGGGCGCAGGTCTAGGCGGCGTGGTCTTCCCTTTTATCTTAAAGGGTGCCTTTGCCAATTTGGGCTTCCAGTGGGGAATGCGCATCGTCGCCTTGGTCATCCTGGTGCTGTGCGGACTCGCCTCGTTCCTCGTCAAGTCCCGCCTCCCCAAGGGACAGCTGAAGGCGGCGATCGATATTCGGTGCTTCAAGGACTCTCGCTTCACGCTACTAAGCTGTGGGATCTTCGGTAGGTTCTTTGCGATCCGTCGATGTTATTATATCGCTAACAGCAGTAGCACTCGAATTGGAAATGTTTGCCCTCATCGGGCTCTTTCCCACGTACGTCATCAAACAGGGCTTCAATACCAGTGCGAGTGTGTATACCTTGGTGGTGCTCAATGTGTATGTTTTCCCGTTGAGTTGATATCGGCTCATTCGTTCTCACAAGAGCTATAGATGCTCCTGCATCGGTCGACTCCTCGCCGGCCGGGTCGCCGATCGATACGGTCGCTTGAACGTCCTCATTATCTTGATTCTATCGGCAGTTCTGACGATGTTTACAATCCTGTACCCGTTCAGCCGACATCTATCAGCACTGTATATCTTTAGCGCCCTATATGGTCTCTGTTCAGGGTCGTTCATAAGCCTTGCTCCTGTCTGCATTCGGCAGGTGTCCAATGCAAAAGAGATCGGGATGAGGTTTGGGACATGCTACTGTCTGGTGAGCTTCGCGTGAGTATCACCTCGGGTGCCAGTGTGTATGGACATTATACTGACAGCGCTAGGACGTTGATCTGTATCCCGATCGGAGGGGAGATGTTGGAGAAAGTTGGGTCGCGGATTGTAGTTATCTGGCTTGCATGCGTGCTCTTGTTCTCCATGTTTCTATTTATGACTGCGCGGTGGGCGTGTCTCGACTACAAGTGGCATTGGCGGATTCGCATCTAGCTCTTGGGCTACGATGGGCCTGAGACATGACCCAAAGTCACCAATCAGTCTGGCACTTGTGGGGATCCCTGCAGGAAACAAGCTAAATGCGGCGACTTGGATATGCAGATCGGAATCCTACAATGGCACTCTGGTGATTTGTCATCTGCAAGGTTGCTCCAGCCTCCTAAACAAGGGATGAATCCTCTCCAGCCCACCTCCAACATTCTTTCACACCCTCAATCAGAAGGAAAGTCACAGCGGAGATGCATTTGTACATATCTGTGCTGGTTTGGTTAGCCTGTGGACCGCTGGCCCTCCTAGCCGCCAGTATCTATGATTTCTCACCGGAGCAAGTGGACCAGGGCATCGCTCTGCGGCAGCTTGCCCGTGAGGCGACTGAAAATATCAAGAGAGATAGGACAGGGGGCTGCCGACCCGAAGATGCCCAGATACGTAAAGAATGGTATATCTTACAGCGGTCGACGTTCTTTCCTGTTGACATAAGAGATTTAACCTTTCAGTAGGCGTGAGCTGACCCCAGAGGAAAGACAGCAGTTCATCGACGCTGTTCGGTGCCTGCAGAGGATTCCAACCACTTTGTCAGCCGATCTTCATCAGATTTATCCCGGGATACAGACTCGGTATGACGAATTTCTGGCCACACACATCAATCTGACCAGTGTTATCCACATGACTGTAAGATTCGACTATTTCGCGCGAATAGAACGTTGAGAACCATGGTTGTCTGACAAGTACAGGCGGACTTCCTTGCCTGGCATCGGTATTTCATCCACACATTTGAGCAGGATCTCAAATCCAAATGCGACTACGCTGGATCCCTTCCGTACTGGGATTGGGGGTTGGACGCCGAGAATCCTCAGCTCTCCGTGCTGTTCAATGGGGACGAGTATAGCATGGGATCGAACGGGGTGTTTATACCGAACAGGGATCCGGCATACTGGCCCTCCATCAAGGAGTACATCCCAGTTGGTACGGGCGGAGGGTGTGTGTACGAGGGGCCCTTCTCGAACTATACCATCAACATGGGTCCTATTGATGGCGCGGGCCAAAAGCCAGTGAACTACCGCTTCGAGTATCATCCACACTGCCTCAAACGCGACATCAACCCAACTGTCACACGATCTTCCGTGACCTTTCGCCACATCACAGAGCTGATCCTGTCGTATGACACCATCGACTGGTTCCAGGGTGTGATGCAGAGAGATCCTCGGTTTTCTGTCCCCTCTGTGCCGTACGGCGTTCACCGCGGCGGGCACGTTGGGGTCGGTATGGTCATGGGAGATGCAGCTGGTAGTCCCGGCGATCCAATGTTCTATCTGCACCATGCGCAGATTGATCGAGTGTGGACCATCTGGCAGGGACTGGACCTAGACAAGAGAAGGCATGCCATCTGGGGCACGCACACCATCGTCGACACGCCCCCGACGGCGAATATGACGTTGGACGAGATGATTCATTTTGGATTTGCCGCTGAGCCGGTGAGATTCCGGGACCTGATGGATACGCTTGACGGGCCATTTTGTTATTATTATAGTTGAATACGCAAGCGCTACAGGACGGCGAATGCACAGTAGATTATGGGTGTTCTTCATTCGCTCATATAGTTGATATAATACAAAACGCTCGGCCGGGACCCAGTCCCCAGCCATGCAAAGGTCTATCTCTATTTACAAAAAAAGACAGTCGCGGGCGCGATTCCTGAGGGCCGTCCAGGGCACTCGAGAGTCAGGCGCTCACTCGCGTACGGTGTCCGTGTTGAATCGGCAGCGTCGCTCGCAGTGTAGAACGACATACAGTGTGCGATATATCATACAAGCCAGTCCACAAAGCGTTCCCAAACATTCTGGGGAGGACGCCTTTGCACCAGGATTTCCCCTTCTTGCAGACGGCCCGACCACAAATCCATATCGGCAGCCCGGACAAACTAGACATTTCATACGGTCAGCGAACTTCCTTAACCAAGAGACTGCGAGAGCCGTCCAACTAACCTTAGTACGTTTGATGAGCTTCCATAAGATAATCGGTACAATGAAGATGGGGATGCCGATGTACGACGCCACAAAGTCCGACGAAGACCAATTACCCTTCAAGAAGACGGGGAATCCAGCGACTAAAGTGATGATGGTGGAGCCAATAAATCCTACCCAGGCAGCATAGGGTTGCAGGGGTGCCTTCCACGGAAGTGTATCACGAGAGATACCCTGCCTTTTCATCGCAGCGTGGAAACGAATGTAACAGAAGGAGAGCGTGGCCCATGCGATCAATCCAGCCACCGTGCTGAGATTCAGAAGCCAGGAAAATGCCTGTGCTGCGCCGCCAGAGCCGAGACCTAACGGTTGTTTTCCATTAGTACATGATGAACTAGTGATGGTATGAGGGAACTGGACCCGGTGATATTTGACTTACTCAGGTACGCCAATGGCCCAAACAGCCAAGCGGTAATGACAGCGACGTAGGGCACGCCTTTCTTGGTAACGCGGCCGAAGAATTGGGGTAGCTGGTGGTCCGTGGTCATGGCCACTATCATGCGTGAGCCCACCCAGCAGTACGAGTTACCAGCGGACCATGCGGCAACAAGAATGCATGCATTGACAATCGACGGCAGGGCATTGATGCCAGCCTCCTTGATGGCGATCACGAAGGGCGAGCTGTTCGCGTTATCGGAGCCCGAGACGAGGGCTGGGTTGCGTGGATCAACAATGATGCCAATCAGCAGGGCACCAAGGATATAAAAGAAGGCGATGCGGTATGTCACACGGCGCGCAGCCTTTGGGATCGCGTGATGGGGATTGACTGACTCCGCGGCGGTGATAACCACGGTCTCGACACCGATGAAGCTGAAGGAAGCGTTGACAAAGGACGACAGAAAGCCCAGAAAGTGACCCGTAGGACCGGTGATGCCGTTATAATTTGTCCATGGCCCAGGATTATTCCAATAGCGGAAGCCGATAGCATCGTTGTTCGCTCCACCAGCCGTGATCACAATGGACACAATCACTAAGCCGAGGAAGCAGAGGACCTTGACCGCACCGCCAAAGACTTCTGTTTCGCCATAGAACCGCACACTCATTAGATTGCTGGCCAGGATCAGTACTAGACCCACCGTGATGACCACGGCCGGTGTGAGGTCAGTCCAATAAGAGACAATGACAGCAGCAGCGGAGACCTCCGAGGCGATAGCAATCGTATAACAGTATCCATAGGAGATGGCTAGCGAGAACCCGACAGCCGGATCGATGAAGCGAGTGGCCCAGTGAGGGAAGGATCCGGCTGTGGGCAGTAGCGTTGCCAGCTCGCCGATGCTCTGCATCACACACCATAGCACCAGGCCCACGACGATATATGCCAGTAATAAGCCAGCCGGACCGGCCTTGGCATACGCCGCGCCTGTTCCCACAAACAGACCGGTGCCAATTCCACTGCAGAAACCAATCATGGTGACATGGTAATTCCGGAGACGGCGTTGCGTCGCTCCGCGACCACCCACATTGAGCTGGAGTTCGTCCTTGGGAGGCGCATCATACTCATTGTAGCCAGTGGGCTCAATAGCCTCCTCAGCCAAGGTGGACTTCTCCATGATCTGCCTGGGAATATTGGGTGGGATGGATGAACGAGTGTGGGAATCCTTTCCCTACGCAGAATTACCCCAGAGATAAAAAGGCATGTCCCCATGCCGGGCAAAGCTTCTTTTTTTCGCCTCCCAGAATTTCTCGCCAATCGCAACATCGCGCTTTCATCTTGCATGATCTTTGGTTCTCCCCACTAGTGGAGTTGTTGAGGGAGTATAATTGGCTCTGAGAGCGGATTCCTGACGCGATGCCGGACGAGCCAACGATTCATGCCGGATGATATGAGGCTATGACTAAGGCTCGGCTCCGGTATTCGGCTTCGCTTCTGCAGAATTTTTCCTGGCCGGGATTGATTTCCATTGGATTTTTGCCTTGAAGGGCTGGCTTGGCTTTCCATTATGATAACTGAGCTAGTTATGAAAATCCACTATGGATTGTCAGCTCAGTACTATGGAATGAGTGTCACAGCCTCTTCACTCTCAAGCACATCATGATCATGCTCTACTCCGTAGACCCCCTGCCAACATTGTTATACTCCACATAGAGCGGGTACTCAACGGCCAATTAACCAATTGTACAGAATACTTATGCTAGACAGTACCTTATCAACTTGCTCTTTCACAGGTTGCTTGAACAAGTAGCTCACCTGAAGTCTTGGCAGTGAGTCTGGAAAATATTATGCGTTGGAGTTACGGCTTCTGTACCCACTGCTCCCCGTGTCGGCCCGTCATCCAGCATACTGCGAGACCTGTTGTGAACAAGATTTGCTTCTTGTAATCGACTTGATCGGAGTGCTGTGGTCTTTGGGCTAAATCAGGTTGGTCATTAGATGCTCTGTTGGGCAGACGTGCAGCCAGCAGGGGGACAATGCGCTGTCCGTGCAGCTTCACTTGGGGTGTCATTGCGCCCTCAATACCGGAAACAAGAAGATGTCCTGTCGGGAGGGATTTTACAACCACCTGGAAATCGATCTGCACGGGAAGTTCCTGGTGTAGTTCTTCTAATTTGCCTCGACGAAGTGAACATAACCCCTTTGAGCAGACAAGAGAAGTGCGAAAAACCAAGCCACGCGTCTCTTAACCCCTCCATAAAGAATAACCCTTCATGATCCATTCCCTTGCGAGTGACAGCCCTGTGATCGACGATTCCTTCACCACTAACTAAATATTTCCAAACCACGAGTCTAATTTCTAGGGGAGATGAAACGGAACACTTCATTTAAAATGAAGTAGCCTCCTTCCCCCTCGGGCTGGAGAAAGAAAGTCTGGCTGTAGGCCGTGGACGTCTGGTCGTCGCTCTAAATTGATTCCATTAGTACCCACCCAACAATCGGAGGGAAAGGAAACATACGTGAATAGTGCCCGATACCACGACGAGGATAGCGTCATCCTTGGAGGGCTGGGCATCAATATGCGTAACCTCATGTTGAACCTTGCCGACCAACAGCTGTAGACAAAATCAATATCTCTCTGGCGGATAAATAATTCTCGTGGCCCACGAACATTCAACTTCTCCATGATGTTGCGCTCACCCTGCACCACCGCGGACTCAAAAGTCAGAATAGACTGCTCACGCTGTTATGTCCCGGTGTATATAGTCAGCTCACTATATTGATGGTGGTGGAAGGAGATAACCATACATAGAGGCTGCGGAGATCCTTGCGCTGGTTATCGAACGTCTGGTTGTAGTACTCAACAAACCGCTCTATCATAGCGATTCCATGTCAGAAGACCCCCTATATCAACCTTTGGGGTAAAGGCGCTGGGAAGTGCAAAGGGACATCACTTACGAGCGGTATATGCGGGGTCTAGAGGAAAAATCGTCTCTTAGCATCATACTACCGTTCTGTAGTTTCCAGACTCACTTACCGGCCATGTTGAATCGATTTGTCTGGGAAGGATGAGGGTGTCTTGCAAGCGGAGCACAGGATGAGACAAGACAGTTATAAGCCCTTCCCCTTCCAACACATCACTGCCACGTACACGGTGATCATTGGGTCCAGGCATGATGAGCTGCAGGGTACGACACGACAAATCATTTGGATCTAGTGCTGCTCCGAATCGATTTCCACGGTGTACACGTCTACATACTGCCCAACCCCTCACGTCAAACCCGAAATACAAAAGTTTGCAGTGTTAATCCGATACTTGCCCTAATTCGCTCGATCAATCAAGAACCATGCTGTGGAAATTTAAACCCCTTCCACCACTGGTCCGTGGTAGACATGTCGGGCCCGAACCACATAGTATACAACGGCGACAATGACCGTCCCGAACGTCCCAACCACGCTATAGTTCATAGACTTATAATATACCACCACTGTTGTGGGCCAGAAGCTAAAGAAAATCACGATAATCATATAGCAAACGGCAAAGACATTGTTGACAACACCCAGAACCCCAGGAATACGGAACGGCCCCCAGAATAACGGAGCATTGGGGACATTGACAGTCATGTCTTCGCATTCACTGCTGGTGCGGATGTGGCCACGAAGACGCCGGTAGAGCAGCAGGGTCCCAACGGTCAGGTATGACAGGTAGAGGCCCGAAACAGCCATAGACAGATGTCCTTCAGCGCGACATCGGAGCCGATATTAATCAGACCGAGGAGACATGAAACAGCCATGGTGAAGCATACAGCGTAAATCGGAATATTCGTGGTAGGAGAGACCTGCAAATACTGGTCATTTACTGCACAAATCAGAATCGGAAGAAAGGAGAGCATGCCTTGCTCCATAACCTCCATCCAGGCACGCCTCGATCACGCGCAAAGGACCAGAACTGGCGAGAGGTCGCAGCTATCATCCCGATTGCAGAACAGATACCAATCACCAGCAAGATGCATACCATGGTCACTACCGAATGGGTTGCCTGCACAAAGACCTCCATATAAGGATATCCAGTAGGGCTGTTGCTCGCTTCCGCAAGGTCACCCATCAGAACAAGACCCCAATCAACAGGCTAAATCCAAGCACACCGTTGATGAGCACAGTAAGTATCAAAGCACGAGGGATAACCACTGAAGCCTTGCGAACTTCCTCGGCCATCTATTATTCCATTTAGAAGCCAGCTTATATGGATCTTTCACAACGAACGCGACTTACATGGACGGCGGCGTCGCCACCAGAAAACGCAAAAACACTACCTTGCATCCCAATGAAGAAAACGATGCCATTGGAGGACCAGCCACCCTCATTTTTCCATGGTGGTAAACACCTCCTGGGCGCTTTTGTGATCCACCATGTAGATTAGTGTGATCAAAATGGCCAAAAACCCAACAATGTGCAAGACAAAAACCAGGTTTTCTAAGCGGGGTAGTAGTTTGCCACCGACCGCATTAACGATCACAGCGACTAGCACGCAGGCCCATAGGATAAGGGTCCCATGGTAGGGTTCGCTCTGATAATTCTTGAAGGTCAAGATAGCGGCCCCCTGAATCTCGGTGCCGGTCAAGAGGGCGATCGATGCAAAGGCGGCTTGCCAAGCAAATACAGCTATCCAGCCTAGAGATATCAATGCCGACCACAGACAATCATCAGAAGAGGTAATACGCACCCGTGATATAGCTATAAAAATTTCATGCAACGGGGGGTGGCAAGCATTGCACACCGATGATATTGTCCCCCGGATGTAGGCGCCCTGCGTGCCACATATCATAGAGCTGATCTATCAATTGTGTAAATGGAAGAGAATCTGCTGAGTCAATTCGTAGGAGAACGTCGGGGCAAGGCGGGGGAAAGAGAAAGATTCACATGGAGACTGGATTAAATTTACACAGGCTCAAGCGGATTATATATTACATATCACTACTCCTTCTGGATTAGAGAAAGTAATAGCTATAGACTGAAATTTCTAATTAGTCAATATTTATTTAGTATCTATTTCTAGAGTTAATATTTTTAAATCTTTCTATAAACTTAACAAAATTAGATAAAAATATTTGGATGAAAGATCTATAATTCTGATATTCGACTCTATATACTAATACAAGATAGATATTATCTAATTACTTTATTACAGTAGAAATATACTATAGATTCTCTCTATATACGCGTCAAGTAGTAGTTCGACAAGAGCGGCATGGCCCTTCATCGCTGCAAAGTGGGTCAAAGGACGTTTGTCCGAAACTGCCAATGGGGGCATGTTTTGGTTGGCACGGCTTTCTGTGCGGCAGGAAACAGGCCATGTCGGATAGCATATACTAAGGCTGGTCCTTGAGAACATGTTGCATTGCGTTCATAGAGATGTGGAATCACGTCATCGTATAATGTGCGGTTGGTACATGCGAGAGAGGCGAGTCGATTTGGGAGATAAGGATAAGAAGAAGCTCATTTGGGAGAGGTGGTAAAGATATTTTGAGTCTTTGTATTGCTGCTTTGCGCGTTCTTGGTAGTGCTGGAGATCATGGAACAGTGTGGTGACAAGAAGGTGGAAATGGCAAAAGGCGTGTTTTGTGTGGATACAAGAAGCGTTGATGAGAGCTAAACCATTCCGGGATTTGAAACGCTCTCGATATGACCCCCAGAAAGATAGGCAGACCAGTCGTAGTCACTCTCCGAGATGTGTAAAGTAAGTAAGAATTTGATCAAACTCTTCCGGCTCCGGTAACTCTGGCGGTGATTCGACTGTGGATATGGGAATGCCCGAGTATTTGTGGTCAACTCCCCCCATCTCCTCGCCATTATTAAAGTTCTCTGCTTCTTCCCAACTTCCTAAAGGATGTTCGAATGCTGGATAAAGTGGACCCAGCTCGTCCAAATTCGGTGTCGATGACTTTACCTCTAGCAGGCCTGGATTTGTAGGTGCATGAACATCAGATAGCTCAGAAGAGCCTGGCATAGGCCTTTGAATCTGTCCGACAATAGGGATCATCCTGGAGGGGTCCAATGGGCATGGTGCCTCTGTCTTGTCATCTGCAGAGAGTAGTACATCAAGGTACAAACAAAGCTCGGAAAACGTTTGAGGGTGCCGCATCAAGATATCGAGGAATGAGGTTGCCATGTTGTCGCTCTTTGCACCTAAGACTGCTGTCATCAGCGCGGGCTTGATCAGCTGAACCACCCGCTGGACAACCGCGGAGAGGTGCATTGTATCGTATCGCAGGCTGTAAATGTAACTCATTTGTTTGAAAAGAGAAAATTTAATGGCATTCTGATGCTGTGTAATTGATTCGCCAGAGACGGCAGCGCTGATGCCCCACAAAATCATTGGCAAGGCGGTAAATGCCATTCTGTTATTTGGAATGACGGTAACATTAGCGGGCAAAGAAGGGTTTCACAGCAGCACAATTGGGATGCTCAACATACACGCTGACCGGAAGATATTCCGACATTCTTGAGTCGATCAATTCTTTGACCTCCTCCGTCATCTTGAGAAGACCACCTTGAAGTTCGGTTCCATACCCTTTGAGGCGAGATTTCTGTGAACGAACCACTTCACATTCTGACAGGATACGTGAAGTGTATGTACATAGAGCCAGGCGCACTGTTCTGCATTGCTCTGTTAGATGCGACAAGAGGATCAAGGAAGTTCTGGCATACTGGGAATGGATTGATATCGAGCCAATAAAAAGCTTGATTGAGGGGTGGGCCAAAGAGCCCTGACACTGTGCCCAGCTCACGAAGCGGTCATTCCAGCAGCTAAAATCATGTTTCAGTTGTTCCAGCCTACTCCACTGGTCATCCATAATCCGTAGGCTTCTAAGCCTCAGGCTCTGTGAGCCAGGATACAACATGGCCAGAATATCCGTGACCACGACAGCAAATTCACAGTGCCACGAGATCAGCGAATTGATAGCCATCTTTGTGTTTGAGTTGTAAACTTCAGAGCCACTGGGCTCCTCTTTAAGGTCATCAAAAAAAGAAAGTCCTTCTGACTTGGCAGCCGGGGATCCAAAATCTGTAATGGACGGCGCGTTCCCAGAGAAATCATCCGGTCTCGCAGAATACACGACCACCATAATCGTTTGAGACGTTCTCTGTCATCTGAGAGCGAAAGTATGTCATACTGATCTGCGTTTCCCGCTTGTGCATGTCGGATCGCAATACCAAGCCATGTTGAGTTGCTTTTCGTATCCCTGTGGGTGTTGTAGTAGCTTAGTAGCAAGGCCGTTTGGGACATTACGACGGGGTCATCGTCCACATTCATACTGTAGAGCCACTGTAGTGCTGCTTAGTATATATAATGTCGAGGGTACAATGTGGGAACATACTGTCACTTTGTGAAATATAGAATCCCGGACGCGACCAACGAGGCCGACCCATACTGGTTTGCAACCTCGAGAGGTATGAACTGGTTTTATAGATCAGTATAAAAACATATGACTTATTCATTTGAGATGTTCTTGGCCATACCGCAGCAGCTGCAAACAGCATTGCCTGTAGCAGCACCAACGGGATTCTCTCGTGAACCTTATGCCGCTGCCGAAATATATGCCAAAACTTTGTCTCATCGAGAATTGGCAAGGTAGGGTGCACGTAAAGAAAATAGTGTCTGACAAAAGTCTCTAACACTGACTGACTCGGTAGATGGAGGCAACCCCGTGCTTCTAGTAGCAAAACATCACACTCTTTAATCTGACCGAGGCGCGAACATTGAACGAAGGAGTAATAAGAGAATGGCAGGTTTGAACTTCCTAGCTTCAGCATGAGCACACGCAGCAATCTGTTACATCGCTTTAGGCAAGATGGGTCTCACCTTTGTTGGTGGTCTGCTGTAAAGAGTGATGCTGACTCGGGAGGTTGGGTTGGACTCCCTGGAGTTGTAGTCTCTTCCGAGGTGGCTTTTTGTGGGTAGAAAATCGCTTCAAGCACTTGACCATATCAAGCCGGCAGTTGGTGCATGGTGAACCGGAGATAGCTAGATCACATCTGACTTTGCGATCATGGCAGGACTGGCAGGCCATAGGAGCACGCTTAGAACCATGGCGTTTCTTTGGAGCAACAGCAGACATCATTATGTCCTCTAAGCTTTGTCCACCTTTAGTGGTGATGTCCAACGATAGACTGGCTGCGACCTTGAAGCTACCTCAGTCGTGGTTTGCTTTACTGTAATTTAATGCTTTGGCAGATTACCCGGCTAACATTGATGGCTACAACACCTAAAGATGTATTGCCGGACAATGACGACCGCAAGATGAATACGCATGTTTCGGTATTACCAAATGGTCATCCGAAATGGGTTCTGATCGGGAAATTTAATTAACTTTAATCAAGCGGTGTATTGCGTACGTCGACTTCGGTCTTCACGCAAGCACGGCTTTTCATCGGGATAATACACGGTCCCTTGTTTGACAAGTTGTCACAATAAAGGCTAGATATATGTGCGTAGAATACTTTTTATACAATCATGAAGTGTTGTTCGGATCATTAAACTTTCTGAAACTATCGAAAATGTCGAGTAATATGTATCCAGCTTATACTGCAGGTGTCGTGGACTGCACAGTTCCTCCAAGCCTCGCCAGTATCGCGGGAAAGAGTGTCGTCATCACGGGAGGGAAGTAGCTCACTCATCCGGTAATGGTATTGTCTACTGACCTCTGCACAGGAGCCGGTGGCATGGGGGAACAAGCCACGAGAGCATTTGCCGCAGCAGGGTAGAGCTTGATTGACCCGTGGATGATATAGCGCTAATCGACGTTGAAATCTACAGCGCATATGTTACCTTCGGCGATTTGAATGAGACATCGGGGCTCTTACTCCAAAGCGAATTGCGACCGTGAGTACAATGTGACGAGACCACTGCTGAATAAAGGAGAAAACTGACTTTCATCCACAGTAACGCGCAATTTGTGAAATGCGACGTGACCGACTTCGAATCTCAAAAGAGACTGTTCAAAGCGGCGAAACAGAACTCCCCGAGCAAAACGGTCGATATCGCGATTGCCAACGCCGGTATCTCCGGAACTGACCCAATTTTAAAAGGCGAAGGTTCGGCTCTGCGTGTCTACTGCTATAGATGAGCTACTTGACATAACTAATCAATCGGTCAGATACTGGAGGCGAGCCCAGCGCTCCTGACCTCACGATCTTGAACGTCAATGTCGTCGGTGTTGCCTATACCTTTAAACTTGCCAGGTTCTATTTTTTGCAGCATGAGCTTACATCAGGCCGTGATCGGTGTTTGATTGTGCTGTCTAGCGCAGCTGCCTACGCGGATGTTCCTGGGCGGCTTGTATACATGATGTCTAAGTTCGCCGTACGAGGAGCAATGAGGGCTCTGCGCCGGGGAACAGTCCACGATGGGATTCGCGCTTGTGCTCTTGCACCATGGTAAGACACATAACATGTGTTCGAAAGGAACCTGGAATGATAACGCAAAACCCCACAGGTTTGTGGAGACGAACTTTGTCTCCAAGGAAGTCATACAATTCCTCCACTCGAAGGGGGTCAAATTTGCAAATGCTAAGGATGCGGCGGATGCAATGCTTCATATCGCCTCCGACAAATCTATAAATGGTGCGTGGAGAGATCAAAGGACTATTTGCCAAAATGAATATTAATAAAGCTGGTTGCATGGTTTTAGGAAGATGCTTTGCAGTGGTCCATCGTGAGGAGGCGCCACTAGGATATTATGACATGGATTTAGATGACTTCGCCGACGGCTCGAAGGCAGGGGAGCAACAATCCCAGTTCCTCACCATTTCCCATGCAGCTTAGTCTTGAGTCAAGGTAGGGGGTTGGACAACTTCAGGCGACATCATTGGTTAAGCTGGCACTTAAGTGGTCTAAAGAAAGCGGGAAATGATGCTGGAATGCAACAAGGGCAGCGTAGATGAGCTTACTGTACGGCAGACACAATTGAAAATTTATCAATCGGTCGCCCCAGGGTTTCCACGGGCAGAGGGGCTAATGAGGTTCATTTTCTCTTGCGATGGTTGTCGTGCGTGTATCTCTGGCTTCCATCAAGCTTATTTGTACTCCTGCATTAGAGAACATTTGTAGCTACCCGGGATACGAGGATCATCTAAAGCAAACCAACGAGGCGTGTTCTCAAACGTAGTAAGGCCGAGGAAGCATGAAACATACCTCAGGGTAATTCGATATACTGGAAGAGCGCAGAAAAAGCATACCATAGCACATTAGTGCACATTAATCTAGGCTATGTATAATCTCGCTTTTGTAGAATAAATGCTAGGCACATATCTTAGATATCAGCCTTAGTCAAATGTCTGTGGGTAGACTAGTGGGAATAATCATCGAGCTCACAGGGCAGATTAGAAAAGGGAAAAAAGGCAAAATAGAGACAACGCTGCTATGAGCAATGGCGATCTTCTTTACTCCTAACTGAACATTATCGACCGAAAGATAGCCTCACGGCATCAAGTAGGTGCCATCATCCCGATCACTACTTGATTGACAAGAGACTGTAGTGACAATAAGGCGCGCACTTTCGTCTGGGGAAGGGTTGATCCACCGGTGAACTGTCGTTCGCTGAACCACCGAGTCCTGAAGTAGACCGTTAGCTGGGTGTGAGACGATCTTGCTGGAAAGAAAAATGGCCCACCCCCTCCCGTAGGAGTGTTTTTGTGTCTCCATCCTTTCCCCGAACCTCTAGCTCCACTTGGCCTTTCACAACCGTAACGAAGTCCACCGAGTCAGTTCGATGCCATGGAAAGACAGCGGACGGGCTCAACTCGGCCTGAATAAAATTGACCCCCCCAGGAACAACAATATCACGGTTGGCCTGTGACACAGAAACGCCTGTACTATCAACAGACACGTACTGGTTCAAATCCTCATCGTTGTGCATGCCAAGGCCGATGCTGTTGAGAGCATAAAGGCGTGAATAGGTAAAGCCTTCGTGATGGTGGTAGTGGAGATCAGGAGAAGATACCATGTTGGGGCCAAACCCAGTGATATAGCGAGTCGGCTTTGCATTTGTCATTCTGACCGTATTTGAAGCTGGTCTTGGTTTGTAGAATTGGCTAAATGGGTGGGTCGGTGGGTGGAGAGGCTGAGGTTCAATATCGGTCAGGAGGACTGGAGAGGGCAATTGTGAAGATATCAGTGAACAAGGTAGCAACACAGCTCTAAATGACCCTCGAGGTCAGTCGATGCCACGGAATCAGGTCGCTGGCACCCCGCATCTTCTGCCTTTTCAAGGTTGAAGGGCAAAACTCAAGTCAGCCCCGAAACCTAATCTTTTTGTAACCCGAATACAAACCATTTTCTGTCTACTCCCATGCTTAGCTTCGGTTTCCCTCCCTTCCATGATACCGTATGCAAGATTCCCTCTTGTTGAGCGAGAATAACATCCAACAGTACCATATGAGTCCTGAAGCGGACTTACTTGGCGTTCCCATGAATGCAAAGATGGTTACCCCGTTGAGGGAATAGGATTATCAGGGGCTGAGTCTAACGTGAATCGTATGGAATTATTTTGAGTATTTGCACACATACTATGACAAGTACTACTGTCAAGCTAATGTGCGAGGAATCAGGATCAGAACCTTGATTTCAAACTCCCATCAGCCGGGGTAAGAGCGCCATCATGTTCCCTTATGCTGAAATCCTTTTCATACTCCCAACCCATCCACGATGCCAAAATCTCCTGTGTCCCATGGCCAGGCACTAAACCGCCGCCGGACCAGCCTCCGTCATCGGCTTGGATGGGAAGACCCGGGGTGTCGACCAGACGTACCGGCAGGCGCTGTTCAAAGTGATCTGTCTCCAACTCATCCTGTTCTAACACCGGCGTCGCGCACGCATCTGTTCCGTCAAAGACGGCTTCCCATTCGTCTCGCGTCTTTTCATAGAATTTCTCTTGAAACATGGATCTCAACACGGGCCAGTGGGCTTTGACCTCCCGGTCTGGAAGCTCCGGCACTGACAGTCCCAGCCCTTGGATGAGCTTTTCATAGAACCGAGACTCATTTGCCCCCACAGCAAAATACCGTCCCTTATCCTTGGTTTCATAGACACTGTAATAGGGACATCCCCCGTCGAGAAGGTTCTTCCCCCTGGGTTCATCCCATAACGGACCCTGTCGTAAAAGCCGGGGTCCAGTGGCCAGATATGCAGAGCCATCCACCATGTTGGCCTCGACTACTTGCCCACGACCGGTGACGCTCCGTGCCACCAGGGCCAACAGAATGCCCAAGAAACCCATCGCACCGCCCCCGGCAAAGTCCCCAAGAATGTTCCCGGGGGGGTACGGCAAATCGCCGGCGCGGCCCAGCATGGACAGGACACCAGAAACGGCGATAAAATTGATATCATGCCCCGCCATATCTTGGTACTTCCCATCGCGACGGAAACCAGTCATCCGTGCAATAATGAGGCGGGGGTTGTGTTTCAGCAGCACGGTGGACGGACAGAGGCCGAGACGCTCGAGAACCCCGGGGCGGAATGGATCAATCAGGATATCAGCGGATTGGAGAAGGGCAAAGAAGATTTCTCGGGAGGATGGATCGCGGAGATCGACTTGGACGGACAATTTACGTCGCGTCAGAGGATCGACTGTGGGGGTAGTGGCGATCCCCGGACGATCCACACGGAGAACGGAGGCGCCGTAGTCGGCAAGAAGGATGCCGGCAAAGGGGCCTGGTGAGGTTAGCCAGCGATATCTTAGATACCTAGGTAGGATGGGAAGCGGAAAACAAACCCGGGGCCAGTCCTGCCAGCTCGATGACACGCAAACCTTCCAGTGGCGGAGACATTTTGCAATATGGGTTAGCTCGGCCAGGATAAGCAGGCGCCTACACTTCACCATAGAAAGTATCTTAATATACAGATGGGCTGCTCCCTCGGCTTTCTAACGCTCATCCCACCCTTCGACTTTAATATCCCTGAAGTTGGACGAGGCTTGCTGTACACTCGCGCAGACTCTGTCGGTGTATCTGGCAACGAGCCATACATACCGCTGTAAGCGGGTCGGTATTTCCAGGGTACATCTTCGGCATTCCCCGTGTTTCCCGTGTTTCCCAAGTGAGCGGGTTGAGCTTATTTGCCGAGCTTTTATGTATGAAGATAAAACGGAATCTCCTTGACAACAGCTTTTGCGGCGAACAGATTTCCACTTTCCCTCAAGTCACGCGCCTCTGAAAACTCCATTTTAACTCCTTCCTCCCTAACCATCAACATGGCTGACGGCAAAGCGAAGATGAGTGCTGCGACAGTGTGGCCCGAATTCGTCCAAATCTCGAAACCAACTAAAGACATCCTCCAACGCTTGCTTGGTCTCCTGGACGACAAATCGGACAATGTAGGCGACCGACTGGCCGATGAAGTATTTACCCCGGATGGATATCTTGGGGCATACTCGGGAGCCGCCACGGGATCTGCCGGTATGCATTGCATCAGTCAGCTTCCTTCAATGGGGGATTCCTATCCAAACTGACTGGAAAAGAAATCCGGCAAGCTCGCAAAAACGCGTGGGTGCGGGTTGAGCACCGGCGACATGTCTTCAATCGTGTGTACGCCAATAGTGATCGAGACTTCGTCTTCATCGGCCACTTCGAGGTGCGCACGAAAACCGGTAGAGAGTTTGATGATGACTTTGCCGGCCGGGTAGTCATCGATGACCCAGACAGCGCAAACCCTAGGATCCGATTCTTCAACGTCTTTGTGGTATGTCGGCAAATACCGTGGTATCGTTAATGAAATCTGGGGCTCGTGGATGTTAACGGATAGGAATAGGACACGCAAACCGTGAATGAAGTACTCCAGTCTTGATCATCTGCCACAGAGACGAATTATGTTGATACGGGGAAAGGTAATCCTATTGACAAAATCAGATGGATACGGAGACAGATTCTGAGAGACCACGCATTTACTATTATTTAACAACTTCAGAGAATTCGTATGGACATTATGTTTATTCATCTGTTCTTGCAACTGCGCGGCCCAGACATAGCTACAGCGGACGATAGGGGCCACTTCCTACACAACAAATGAGACAAATGCTATTTATAGTTACTATCTTTCAACCTTGATGAAATGACCATAACCTCTACTGTTTACCAACACTGTGTGAAAGCAGTAGGATAGACAGTCCCGTTGCGTATCAGAACTGCAGTCCTTGGGTAAAGTATGTTCTTGTTGCCCAAAATGACAGTATAAAAGTAGACACACATGTTTTTGGAACACGGCTTTTTTGTGATGTGCCGTGCAACTGAGGAGTGCTCTAGTGGCCTTTTACCAACGATCCATTGACAACTATCGCAGAGGTTTTTCTCCCATCGCCTTGCTACAATGCCCTGGGCATACAAAAAGTATATAGTGACTAGGATTCACAACGTGTGCATTAACCTGCGAAGGATCTTGCGGAGTAGCAGAAACCAACAAACCTTTGGCACTCCTCACTACCAATTTCGCTCCCAAGAGAGGAAATTGTGATATGTCTTTTTTTTAACAAGAGTTCGGGTTCACAAAGGGCGGTCACCCGTGCCCATGACCGCTTCCTTCACAACTTGGCCAAAAGTGACGCCCAGCTATTTCCTTCCCCCTTGACAATTTCATCTTCCCAGTAGTTGGGATTGACGGTAATCCGATTGAGTGGGTTCAAACGATGTGCCCGGTAGTAGAGGTCTTCATAAACCTTCCCGTCGTATCGACCGAGCGCACTTATTACGGTCAGCCTGTCATGAAACTGAGGGAGTGAAGTAAGGTAAGTAAAGGTGCCAAACTCACCTGTCCAACAGATAATCTGGAATCATCCACGCATCGACGAGTGTAACCGCGTGGGGTCGGATTTTCTCCATCAGATGTTGTATGTGGGTTGAGAACCCGTCGAGATCGTTTTGGGAGACTGCACCAGAACGGTAGACTGTCATCTCAGTTAGACAAGAACCTCCTCTGATCGATATTTCTTGGGTTAGAAAGGCAGACTTACAGTCATAGCTCTCTTGCTGCATGTGATAAAACGCAAAGAGCCGATACAGGTTCCACATGGCGACCTTGATGGGTGGAGCTAGGGACTGATCACTGTTGAGTGTATCGTAAAAGATCTCCACTAGCAATGCAAGTGACTGGGCTGGATTTATATTAGATGCGCCCTCCGATAGCTAGCCAGTGCACTATGGGGTGTTATAACGTACCGTGGCTGACTCGGTGCAATTGGACCATAAGACTCGTCCATGAAGTTTTGTTCAACACTCTCGCCACATAGACCTCATGCAGCTAGAAGTAGAAGTAGTTAGGCAAAGTCCGGTGGTAACCTGCAGAGTCGAAAAACCTACCAGCGCCGCTGCTCGACGGTTGAAAGCCTTCACAATGGCGGAGTCATGGTCAAACACCTTGTAAGGCTCCATTTTCAGTCCATCTCTGTGAGCTTTAAGAACCTCTTTATAGGTGGCATCAAGGCCATCATCTGTCGGCTCGTCTAGCTTGTTTGCAGCCGTCTGCATCCGCTTAATAAGGTAAGATGCAACTTGTTGCGTGATCATCCAATTGTCTCCTTCAACAGTCACCCGCGAGAGATAGTCCGGAGATAGTCGAGCGAAGCCACTGGCACCGCCGTAGCCATGGCCCCCCAACGCACGGCGACAGGTCTCAATCCCATCCGCAACAATCCCTGTGCACAGACTCTTCAGTCCCGAGGACAAGCTGTGCATATGCGCCAATCCGCTGAAATCACCCCGTTCAATCTCATTGCGCGCGTTCTGGTATGTACGCTGCATCGCAAGGCCGGCATAGTGAAGCACATATGTGGTTGCTAGCAACGGAAGAATGCGGATTTGCACCGTTGGATAGTCGAGAACCGTCACTTCTAGGCCATGCCTGTTGTCACGGTCCTGGAACTGTCGTCGAATGCTCGTGTAGCGGACAGCGATGGTGACCGCACGAGCAAGGGCTAGTCTTGACTGAAGAACAATGAGAGATCGCACGTAAGTCATGGTCCCGTATACCACCGCTGGAATCTTGGGCTTGAAGTACTCTCCCGTCGATGGGTCAATTTTGGAATATCGGGCGAGGAGCGCCGAATGGGGGATTCTAGGACAGTGGGTTAACACATGCCGGCCGTCGTTCAGGACCAGGACTTTCCACATACCGGAAATGATTAAAGAGCATATACGCGTTGTCAATGGTGCTGTACCCAAACTTGGGGCCGATATCTCCAATCACGACCCCGCTCAGGGGCTGGTGATGTTTCAAATCTCGAACTTGCACAATGAATGGATGAGGCCCGACTGATTCATATCCTTCACTCCCCGGCTTCGGTAGGAGTAACTGGGCCACCACAATCGCATGGTTGGCAGTACGCCCAAGGCTCCCATTCCACCATTTGCTGGCGGTCAGTGTGGGACTATGAAGAATGAACTCGCGGGTTCCTGGATCCCAACGAGCTTGTAGCTCCAACCCTTGAACATTGCTCCCATGGCCCAGTTCAGTCTGCGCATATGCACCGATGATCTTGAATGATTCGATCAACGGCATCCAGTAGTCGCGTTGCGTATCGCTCGCTTGTTCTCGAACGGTTGTCACGAACATGTGCATGTGTAGGAAATACGGTGAGACATCGTCGACCAAAGCCTCCGCCATCTTGTAGTCCTCAAGGCTCCAGCCATGTCGGTCGACTAGCCGTCTCAACAGCTTGGCTCGGGCCAGAGCCACCTTGAACAGATCCTCTCGCGATAAATTGGCTTGGCATTTTTTGTCAAAGAGGGGCTCCTTTTCCAAGATGGACAGGATACGGGCCTGACGCTGGAGATGTCCATCCTTGGATAATAAGTGGTGCGCCAATTCATCCACCGAAATGTTGGACTGGGCTCGTTCTTTTGCGAGGATCGCTGGTCCGTCATGACTGGGCCGCAGATGATCGGTAAAGTCGGACATTTTGCCTAGCCGCAGGAGAGTTGCAGATTGAGCTGAGGAGTTAAAATGGCAGATAACACGGAAATATAATCCATAGCTTGCCATCTACGTGCGTGTGACAAAAGCCAACCGGGGAGCTCGGCTTTCGGTATATGGTGGTCTGCCGCTGCATATTTCCCGGGGCTTTCCACAGATATACCGAGTCATTTTCTCTCAATGCGTGACATATTTCATATACAGGGGAGACTGAATTGAATGGTTCGAATTTGGTGAGGTCAAAACCCAAAACCAATGACAAATTCAGCAGCTATTTCCTATACTGCTGGCCTTGTATCCGCAAAGTTATCTCAGCCCATTCACAATGGAAGATATTCGCAGCATAGGAACATTCGACAACCTGACGCTGGAAAGGCAAGGATGCGTCTTCATAATTACGATGATGATGGGGGCTGAGAATCGACTGAACATCAAATTCTGCCAGGAGATGATTCAAGTCTTTAACACCGTTCGAGAGATGCTCGGGCCCAACTCCAACGGCGCCGTCATTACGCGTGGGCAGGGCGCCAAATTCTTTTGTACGGTAAAGACTGACTTCATTATTTACGCACTTGGATGACTAGACTAATAATTCAATTTCCAGGGCCTTGATCTGGAAGAAACGAGACGCAATCCGCATGCAAATGCAGATGGATTTTATCCGGTTAGTAGCGAGCACCCCAGCCCGAAAGGAGGTAGGGAAGCTGACACGATCTAATTTCTAGCTGTTGCATACCATCTTGGACTTTCCTTTCCCCACAATTGCCCTCGTAAATGGCCATGCCTTCGGAGGAGGGTGTCCGCTGGCATTTGCACACGACTACCGTGTCATGAACTCCAAACGGGGCTTCATCTCGATGCCCCCGGTCGATCTGGGAATGTATTTCCCGGGTGTGGGAATCCTCCCACGGCTCAAATTGCAACCACGCGTTGCACGCAAGGTGCTATTGGAGGGCCATCGTTTTACCGGTGTGGAGGCCCTGGAGGACGGGTTGGTTGACGCCATTGCCGAGCCAGATCGAATGCTCGCGGTTGCCATGGGGCTGGCAAACAAATGGGCCCCCAAAGCAAAGGCTGGGTATGATACCCTCTCTCTCGATTCCTGGTCGGACTTTGACTAACGCAGAATTGCTACCTATCACAGTGTCTATGCTCTCCTACGATCGGAGCTTTGGGGCGAGATGGACAGGGGAGTCCAGCAGATCAGCTACGTTCATAGTCGACCGACCTTTTTGCCGGGCAAGGCTAAAATCTGATACTTGTATGGCATATACAGGCAGCAGAGTTTATGTAGCATAGATGTATGCCACTCAACGTCCTCAAAGCAAATAATATATTCCATGTTTCATTGAGCAGTTATCCGTTGGACGGTATCCGGCTTCCGAGAATGAGGATAAACCGAATACCGGGGTATGACGGTAATGTTACCAGAATACAACAATACACTGGTACCTGACAGTAGGTGCATCGGGTATTACCGGTACGCAGCGGTCCTCAACATGCTCGGTTTTCGATGGCTTCACTCTATAAAAGTAGGTTTTCTCTTGAGGGTTGTGTAGAACATGTTTGATCGAGTTTAATCGTCGATCTAGCCTTACTTGCGTTTCAACATGGTCCTATCAAGGGAGGGAAACGAGGGAAATGCCTACGTTCTCGGGGTTGGCATGGCCCAGTTTTTGAAGCCCCGTGCCACTCGCCCATATACCGAGTTGGCATTTGAAGCCGGCGCAAAGGCCATGCTCGACGCCCACATTACATACGACGACGTCGAAGCCGGAATCGCGTGTTACACTTCCACTGGGCCCACATGTACCGGGCAACGGGTGTTTTATCAGTTTGGTATGACTAATATCCCGATCTACAACACCAACAACGCGTGCGCCAGTGGCTCCACCGGCCTCCACCTTGCTAGAACCTTTGTGAAATCCGGTCTGCATGATTGTGTGCTGGTTGTTGGCTTTGAGCAGATGGCCGCCGGGCCCCTGGTCAGCAACATCACGGACCGGCCGACCCCGTATGACCTGAGCGTGAAGTTGATGTCGGCCACAAGAGGGTGGGCCGACTTACCGAAGAACCCTCAGCTGTTTGGCAACGCGGGGAAAGAATACATGGAGAGGTGAGTTCCTGTCTCTTCCCATCCTTGCTCTAATCTGGGCCATCTCTGATCACCCTGCTCGCTAGGTATGGTGCAACCGCCCAGGATTTCGCCGAGGTTGCGCGTATCTCACACGAGCACTCATCCCGCAACCCATACGCCCAGTTCCAAACGGTCTACACCGTTCACGACATCCAGAAGTCGCCAATGATCCACTACCCCCTCACCAAGCTCCAGTGCTCTCCAACTTCCGATGGCGCCGCCGCGGGTGTGGTTGTCTCCCAGAAGTTCCTGGATGCGCACCCTGAGCTAAAAAGCCACGCCGTACTGATCGCGGGGCAATCGATCATGTCCGATGGGCCTTGCTATACTCGGGCAGTGCCATGGAGCTGGTTGGATATGACATGACCAGAAGAGCCACCCGGGCCGCATTGGCCGAGGCGGGCGTCACCCTTCAGGACATCCGAGTGTGTGAACTACACGACTGTTTTTCGACCAACGAGCTCATTTCACTGGACGCGATGGGGTTCTGCGACACGGGGAAAGCGCATTATTTAGTCCGCAGTGGAGATATCACGTACGGAGGCAAGGGCCCTCTCGTCAACCCGTCGGGGGGGCTGATCTCCAAGGGCCACCCGCTCGGTGCAACGGGCCTTGCGCAGTGTGCCGAGCTCACTTGGCAGCTGCGAGGGTGGCTACGAACGGGCGCCTGGTACCGGATATAAAGGTGGCCTTGCAGCATAATATCGGGTTGGGGGGGGCCGTGGTGGTCACGGTGTACCAACGTGCTGATGGAAAGAGCAATACCAACGTCGCATCTGATGAGGCCGAAGCGGCCAGGATGAGTGGTTTGGGATACAACCCAGCGGTGGAGGCCAGGTATATCACCCGTGCACAAGCCAATGCGGTGCGGAGTACGAAAGCTCCCAGTGATTATGCCCTGGATAGCACGATCGACTTGATAGAGGCCAGACTGCAGAAGTTGTAGTTCCTATTCACACACAAAGTCTGTTTCCAACCTACCTGATCAAATTTGTCAACACCACGGAAATTTACATTCAATATGTTTTGCTGTTTTCGAGACGGGTGTAGTTTTTATCCTTAGCAATACACCAATATGTTTAATGAGTACAGCGGTCCAGGGGGGGTGTGAATAGGTCCTCTCTTCCACACAGACACCCAGAACAGTCCCATCTTTGCGGGTGAGTAAAACTAGTGGCTTCTTCATAGAGATCCATCCTAGATTGAATTTCGCGAGTTGGACTCCACGGTCGTAGGTTTACCGGTAGTAAAGCCGAATTTCCAGGATAGATCGACCTCGATAGAAGGGAATTAGTAAATATCGTATCTCGGCATTTACGCTCCACTCTGAAGACTCAGAATTTTACATGCACTTTCTGCCGACGGAAGAGCTTCTAATCTTGGGACCTCTAGCGGATCAAATACCAGAGTAAGAATCCCATATGGGAATTTCAAGAGAGCACAGCAGACGGTTGAGTGGAATGTACGAATGGAGTTCAGATTCTGTGTTTCAGCAGACCCTCCAGTTCATGCTTAAGCTGCATGCGATGAAAGAGTCTCACTCGTCATACGCGTCAACAGACGATTTGAATCTCACTGAGAAGCGCCGGGTTGACAAATTCTCCACTGGGGAATACAAAGTCCCCCCCCGTGCTGGTCACATACAGCTTCTGCAGCCCACCCGCCGTCTTGCCAAACCCCACCGCTGTCGATCCATTGATAGGAGTAACGAGTTCCGGCTCATCGTACAGCGGCGGATACGCAACGTATACACCCGACTGCGCCACCGTCAGATACACCGCACCATCGTGGCCAAACGTAAAATCGTCAATCGGGCTGGAAAGATTGGTCGATGTGAGATTCATCAGGACCTGAATATCGCCCCGAAAGAAGCCGGTGTCACGGTTGATTAACACTCGGGCAAAAAAGAGCTCGGCGGCGTTGGTGAAGTAGAGGTAATCTTCGTAGACTTTGATCCCATCAATGCCGATATGGAGTAGGGAATTACCGCTCAATGAGGGGCTGTGGTACACCATTCTCCAGGTGCGGGTCTTCACGTCAATCACATACACGTCACCGGTGGCTGCATCACCGGTGATCAAGCTGTTCAAACCCGTCAATGGATGGTCAAAATGCTAATGCAGGGGATCAGCAGAGGGGGGCAACTCACAGGCCTTTCTCGCTGTTCAACGTCGCGAGGCCGTCGAAGAATTTAGCCCCTGGAAAGTCCAACAGTTTGTTCACGGTAGGTTGGCGGCTCTGACGAAAGTCTAATTCGTAAAGGCTGGGACTTCCTCTGACCCCTTGGAAGGTCTGCAAGGAAAAGTTAGCGGCGACGGTGTAAAACAGATCTGGCTCCGTTTCTGCGAATCCGAGAACACCGGTCTTGTGTTCGAATCCATGGACAATGTGGAAGCTGCCGTTGGTTGGATCGATCTCATAGATCTCGGATGAGGTCAGCAGACCGCCGATGATATGTCCATTTGGGCGGACAATCATGTTTTCCGGCCAGATGCCTTTACCGAAGTTGTAAATAACCTTCGCTTGTGGCACAGCGTGGCTTGCAGATCCGGGGTGTGCGACAACGGGCGTCAAAGTAGCCACGATGCAGGCAAAAAAAGTTCCCAGAACAATCATATTGATGGTTCAGCATTGGATGATGAAAATGTGTGCGCAAGAGAAATCCCAGGTACACTTCAGCATCCGGCATCCGCTTTTATACATTGAATTGCTGCTTCCCAGTGGATCAACATTTCGGAATTCCTTATCTGGGTGAAAGTTACTACCGTCCACGAGATACTTGATTTACCGAACCTTCCTGAATGGAAAAGTAACAGAAGATACTCTTGTGCACATGCGCAAGAATACCGAGCTGAAGCTAACAACAATTAGGAGCCAGGCCAGTGTTCGACCGGGTTAGTTAGCACATAGCAAATGCAACCCTCCCCGGTGTTGGACTCGCATTACAGGGGAACTTACTATTGGTGTGAAGGTAGAGTCGGTTAATAATGCTAGACCATCCTTTGTCGTTCCGGGGAATGTTACGGTATTTCTATGCACCCAATGTCGTGAAGATGGCCTTGTCCGGTAAAGGTAACCCTGGCTCGAAGCTGATGGTTTCGTCGGACACGGCGACTATCTAGATCATGATAAAGGACCGAGCAGCTCATTTCCAATATGTTGCAATGTGAAGAACTTGCGAGCTAAAATGGAATCAGTCTTTGCAGTACAGTAGGGCCAGACATCGGACCATGAGGGGCATAGGGTGCATGGTCCTATTATGAGGTGTCGACTATGGTGCTCGAATGTGGAACGAGAAAGTTTGATAGCAATGTGTCACGCACAGAAGCTTTGTGGCGGATATACGAGAAGCCAATAGGAGGGAAGGCTCGTCATGCCTCGGCAGGCTAACAAGGCGTGTTCTCAGCTATAAATACAGGATAGTCCTCCTGGCGTAAGTTGTTACTAAACTAAATGTATGCCCGGAGATCAAACGATGCCTCGTTTTAAAGACTAAGGTATATAAGAGCCATCATCAGTAAATATCCATGGTGTAGCTAAGTTGATACTGGCAATGGCAAGGCAACTAAGGCCCCATGATCCTCCCTCATCAGACTTCATGGCATGTTGAAGTCGAGAACGATACGGCCGGCCACATTTCCCTGCTTCAGCTTTTGCACCGACTCGTTCAGCTTGGACAAGCCAACCACCGTTGGATTCAAGGTCAACTTCCCTCTTCTCGCGAACTCCAGTGTTTCATCAACGTCCTGCAAAGAGCTCACCAGAGTGCCCAGAACTGACTGGTTCCGGAAGATCAGTTGAGTCGTGTCCAAATCAACGTGGTATTTCCCCATGGGGGCAACCCCGATGCACATCACCTTTGCACCGGCACGAGAACCCATGTAGCTCGGTGCTATGGGGTAAGACTGGACCGCCGTGACAAAGACACCATGCGCACCACCACCGGTTAGCTCCAATACTTTCTTCACCGGATCTTCTGTCTTAAAGTCGACAAATTCCTCCGCGCCGTACTTTCGGGCAAGTGCCGCGCGTTCCGTTCCGGTATCAACGGCAATGACTCTCAGACTCATCGCCGACGCGAGCTGCACACCCTGAATGCCCACACCCCCACCGCCACCTCGAAACCGTCAGTGATTTGGCCGAGACGTCCGGGGATGGAAAACGTACCGAGAAAGACCGCCCACTGGCCCGCGCGCAAGCCGGACTCTTTGATGGAGGAGTACGCGGTCGACGCCGAGCACATAATGGGACCCGCAACGTAGTCCGACACGCCATCGGGGATGAGGGAGGTGTATCGTTCGGGACTCACAATATACTCCTGATAGGACCCTGCATCTAGTGTCAGTCGAACCGCCGATCAGGCTGATAAGGATATTTCACCATTGACATGGCACCCGGAGTAAATTGCACTCAGGCAGTAGGTTTCCCGACCAGATTTACAGGCCTCGCACGTATGGCAGACATCATGGATTGGCTTGTAGCCTGCGCGCTGACCCACCTTCAGGCATTTGACTCGTTCGCCCACTTTGACAATCACGCCTGCCCCCTCGTGGCCGGCACATTTCGTACCCATAGCGGACATTTTGGGGAGGTTCCAATCGTTACTCATCAAGTGGACATCGCTTAGGCACAGGCCGGTGGTATTCAGTCGGATGAGAACATCCTCCGGGCCTGGAAAGTGAGCATTTGTTGCAGTTACGTCGGGACAGAATCTCATACCAATCTCGGGGACGGGGACCTTCTCGATCTCCACGTGGAAGTCTGGCCCTTCGTTCTTCACGACTGGATGGGTCAGCGTTCTCATTTTAATGGTGTAAAGAGACCTTACCACCTGCCCAGCATTCCTCTGGGATCTCGCACGTTGACTGTGACATTTTGCCTGAGTGGGAACTAAGTTGCGAACCTCCGTCGCTGTATATGGAAACATACTTATATTCTTTTCCAATGTTGTTAGGATTACGACGAGCGCCTCCCCAAGCTTGGCGCTGGACAGTAGAAAAATGCCGAAAGCCGCATAGGAGTATCAAAATGTTGGTGTTGCAATAAGCAGGAGACTTGATTGTGTTCTGGGATAAACCGCAACATATTCGGCAATCGACGAATCCTACGATTGGCCGAAAGGAACGCTGCACAGAGAGTCTTGGCCGAGCATTGTAAAAGGAATGCTTCACTCCTGCTCAAGCTGCATTTGCCGAAAGCAACACTACTTATAGAGTCTTCGCCGAGCATCGTAAAAGGAATGATTCACTCCTGCTCCAGTCGTATTTGCCGATACCGTCGCTGTTCCCGCTTATGCGGCAGATCTGATAGAGCAGCAGCGTATATAAACCGTGTTGCTTCACATCGCATTGTCGAATCCCCATACAACCCGACCTCCCACTTTGTTTCCACTACAGTTCGTCAACTCCTCCCTCGAGCGTCATAATGGCTGCTGTCACTTCTTCCCCGCGGCAATTGCCCACCAAGCTGTTCATCAACAACGAACACGTCGAATCAAGGACATCCAAGTATCTATCAGTGTACAATCCCAAGGACCACTCCCTAGTTTCAGATCGAGTCCCCATCGCCGGACAGGAGGACGTTGATGCCGCAGTAACCGCCGCCGAAGCCGCCTTTCCTGCGTGGAAGGCATTGACAGAGCCGGAGCGTCGCACCATCCTGACAAACTTCGCATCCCTAGTCGAGAAAAACACCGTCATGCTGGCCGAGCTGACCCGACTCACTATGGGCGCGCCATACAAGGCCTTTGGTGAATTCGAAACCGGCCTGTTCGCCGAAGCCTTCCGATATTACGCCGGCTGGATTGATAAGTTCACCGGCCAGTCCTACCCCGCGAACGATGGCTTCTTAAAGATCACGCGCCATGAACCCCTCGGGGTGACGGCGGGAATCGTCCCCTGGAATGGGCCGCTCGCCCTCGCGGGGATGAAAGCAGCTCCTGCCTTGGCAACTGGAAACTGCTTCATCTTGAAACCCTCAGAGAAGACTCCATTCGCTGCGCTCGCCCTCGGAGACTTGATCAAAGAGGCTGGATTCCCGGCAGGTGTCTTTCAAGTGCTACCCGGGGATGGCAGTACTGGCGCCTTACTGGCAAGACATATGAAGATTCGCAAAATTAGCTTCACGGGATCGGTGCCGACGGGAAAGCTCATTCAGAAGATGGCGGCGGAGTCGAATCTGAAGCGGGTGACGCTGGAACTGGGCGGCAAGTCGCCCGCGGTCATCTTTGAAGACTGCAATCTTGATAATGCGGTGACGTGGTGTGTCAATGCGCTCGCCATCAACTCGGGTCAGATATGCTTTGCTGCGACGAGAATCTATGTCCAGGAAAGCATCCAGGCCGAGTTCACCGCCAGATACAAGGCGGCGTTGGAGCAACGGGGCCAATCGATCGGCGACCCGGACCACGACTCCACGACCATGGGGCCGTTGGCTGATGAAGCCCAGTTCAACCGGGTGACTGGGTTTATTGAGCGGGGTGCGAAGAGTGGCTCCCTCGTCACCGGAGGAAAGCGAGTAGGTACAACGGGGTGGTTCTTGGAGCCGACGGTGTTTAGTGGAGTGCCGCAGGATGCCGAGATATATCAGCAGGAGGTCTTTGGTCCTGTGTCCATTATCAACACCTTTCAAACAGAAGAGGAGGTCATCAAGAAGGCCAATGCTACCGAGTATGGCTTGATGGCCGGGGTTTTCACCCAGGACATCAACAAGGCCTTGCGTGTGGCTACGGAGTTTGACTCGGGTATGGTAGGGGTGAACTGCATCAGCAGGTATTTCCTATCGGCACCTTTCGGAGGCAGCAAACAAAGTGGCCTCGGCCGTGAGTGTGGAAAGCAGGCGTTGGAGCATTACACGGAGACGAAAACCGTCTTTGTCAATTTGACGTACAACTAGGAAGATCACAGGGACATTCTGGAGCTTGCTACATGGCTTTTATTACTTTTGCTCTATCACTCCTTTCAATATGCTGTAGAGCTGTATTGCTCCCCACCATACTCTGTAGGGCTATATAACTCGAGAACGATATACAAGGTTTATCGGACTGCAATAAAGATACTGTGTGTAGCACAATGTAAGGGCAAATGAGATTGCTGGGGATGGTATCAGAGTACAGATGACCACTGAATAACACACTTTTACGTAGCTGCTTATGACTCTTCACTGGAGTTCAATTACACTACTATCGCAATATTAGTCCAAGCCAACCAAACACCCCAAGCAATCTATCAAACCGAATTCAGTACCCATCTCAGGTGCATGCGGGGTTGAGGGGCTGAGGGGAAAGCCGATCCGTCAGGTCAGTAGGGCTTCGGTATACGCCAGCTCAACAATGTTCAGGTCCCTGTCGTTGTCTTCAATTGAATTGCCAGCTAACCTTCCTGTTTGGTACTTTACCGAGCATCCACTGATTCCCGAACTGTTACGCCCACTGCGATTTCCCGAGAGACCCTGAGTCGTTCGCCGAATATATGCGTGCAACTTTGGGATCGAGATATAAAATTACGGACGTGGCGAGTTACCCCAATGGTTAGAAAGGAGCCAGATATCTTCGGCCAAATATTATTTCCTGTTTCTAAAAAATGACACCAGCAATCACATACATGAAAGGGTAAAGTATGCAGGAAGTCAATATACTACGGACGCTAATGAATCTCCGTAGAGTCGCACTGGTGACCGGTGCTGCGTCCGGAATCGGTCGAGCGATCGCCCATACCTTCGTCAAGGAAGGGTGTACGCGTCTTCTACTGGGCGACATCAACAAGAAAGATCTCGACGTCGTGGCGAAAGAGCTGAAAGTGCTCGATTCCTCCGTACAGACCGTCGTTAAGAAGGTCGATATCTCTTCCGAAACAGAAGTGCAAGCGTTCATCGACGCCGGTGTGAATGCTTTTGGGGGAATCCACTACGCGGTCAACAACGTGGGAATCACCTGTAATCCCCGTGCGAGGACCCACGAGCTCGAAACATCCTCCTTTGACCCGTTGGTTGCCGTAAACCTGAAGGGGACCTGGCTTTGCCAACGAGCTCAGATCAGGCAGATGTTGAAGCAAGATACAGAGCTTGTGCCGAGGTGAGAGGCTGCCGATAATTCATAACACTGTCTGGATACTGATATCTTCATAGAACTGGTGCGCCACCACAACGAGGCTCCATCGTCAATGTATCCTCGCTGTTTGCTATCATGTCACATCCGACATCTGGCGGAGTAAGTGAAGTATCGTCAGTTTCCACAACTTGGACTTTCTAATGAATTTCTTTTTGAAGTACGGTGCTACAAAAGCCGGGGTCCTCGGCATGACCAAGACGGATGCCATCGCATATGCGACCGACGGGATTCGTGTCAACTGTGTTTTGCCGGGTTGGGTCCAGACTCCAAGTAAGTGACTTCGTGCATGACCAGGTCGGCGCAAGCTAAAGGATATACAGCGTCTGTGGAGTCTGAACGACGTGGGGCCAATTATGCTCCGGTTATCAACACCATCCCGGTCAAACGGTGGGGCATTCCTGAAGAGATTGCGGAGGCGTGCGTTTTCCTGGCGGGTGAGAAAGCGAGCTTGATCACTGGCGCTGATCTAGTCGTGGATGGTGGTAAACGCGTTTCGACTTGGGTGGACTAGCGACTTGCTCTGTACCAAAGTTGTTTCTAGAGTAGGACTTCTCCTGCAAGCCTTGTTCAATAAAGACGGGAATGGTATACATACGGCCACGCATGTACGTTCGTGTGGTACTTTTACTTCAGATCCGAAGGAATGGTAATGAAGGGAGTGACTGGGGGGTCAGTCTCAACTAGAAATCGCTGCTACCACGTACATGGAGGTTTGCAAAAGGAGGGTCCACGAGTTGAGAATGGGCTTGATTCTAATGATGAAAATTCACTCCGGCTAGATAGAAAGTGGCAGCAACGCAATACAAACTTGAATGGGTGGTTTGACACAGCATATCAAAGAGGGAACTTTGGATTTTTCTCACACGCTAGCTCAGAGGTGTTAAGCTCTTCGTCATGTTCAAATTCCTCTGGCAGGAGAGTGTATTTCCTACATGTATATTGGCCTATCGAGAGCCGCGACACAGCCGTAAGCGTTAGAAGCATTTCTCTAGAATGGCCATAACCTGTTCCTCGGTGGTGATAGGAATGGGGTTGGTCCTGCACATAGCGTCCTTCAAGCTATTTTTTGCAATGGACCGCAGCTGATCCTTTCCTATTCTATATCCCCTCAAGCTGCGCGGCAGCTCGAGCTCGCAGATAATCGCATCCAACAGATCCCCAAGATCACTTGAACCTGGAGAGAGCGAATGTTTTCGCAGGACCTCGGACACCACTGTGTCCTCCCACATTATAGCGAAAAGCTTGGCCTGCCTTTCGTAGTTTGCCGAATAGTTATACTTCAGCACGGCGGGGAGCAGGATACAGCTGGTTTCTGGGACGGCAGTCAATGTCTGTAGAAGGCATCTCACGCATGATATGGACTGACCTGCATGTGGCACTCCAAAGGGGCCAAGTTGATGTCCAATGCCGTGAGATGCGCCTAGCAGTGGAAATCAGGATCTGACACGTGTACACTTGGTGTGCGGGACATGGGAGATAGAATTTGATTTACCTAGAGGCGTTCGGTAAACACATAGTCCCTTCATACTCTCACATGCCCCGCGCTGAGCGGCAAGGCGAGCGTCGAGATCTTTAGGGTCCTTCGCGGTGCGTAGCAACGCAGGTATCAAGAGTTTCAGCCCGGCTAATGCTGTATCAGACGCTCGGTAGTAACCTCTTTTGCACAAAAGCTTTCAACACAATGATCAATGGCCCTCATGCCGGTTGAAAGCCATACTTGTTGAGGGACACCCAGAGTCAAAACCGGGTCCAGGACAATCACGCGAGGCCCTGACAGTGCAGGATCAACAAAAAGCTGCTTGAGCTTAGTGAGATCGTTACTAGCCCCACCAACATGGTTATACTCTCCGCCCGATAAAGTCGTCGAGACAGTTACTATCGGTATTGCTGACGGCTTTAAGCCTAGCTCTGAGCTCAAGACTCCAGGGCAGCTTGAACCATCCGCGCGTGTAAGACGCTCGTGGCTCATTCTGAATAAATCGTCCATTTTTTGCATGGTATCCACCGCATTTGAAACAGCCTAGGTAACTTTGAGGTAAGCAGAGAGAGGTTTGGGTAGGGTAACTTACGAAAACTGCAGCCTTTGCTCCGTCAATAATACTACCGCCCCCAATGGTAATCACAGAGTCTGCCCCGGATTGTTCGATCTCTTTGCTGATTTCCAGAACTTCAGAATACCAGGTATGGGGCTTCATGCCTCTATGGATCCCTGCGATGTGAGAGCTCGACAGTGCCTTGCTGATCCTGTCAACCGCATCGGTGGTGCTACTCATGGAGCGGGAGATGATGAGGAAAGGCCGTGAACAGTCCAGTGTTCTGGAGATGTGATTGTCACACGCTTCATCGTATGGAATGTTCCACGTAACGATTGGCAGTGCTTCATCGCACCGAAATGGTTGAACAATTTCGTTGCGTGTCATTGCGTCACCAATCCTTGATCCGGAGGGCCAGTGGCTGCGTATGTGGACTATGACAACATTTTCATATTTATCCGATCGCAGTTTATGCTACGCATTCCGACTCGAGAACGCTCCCTCGAGATTTTTGATTTCTGGGTTTTGAATGCCGAGTGTCCTTCCTGAAACTACCGCTTTGAAACTATGCCGGGGTCTTCGGCTAGGCATTCTCCGAGCCAGCAGTCTTTCTCCAAATTTACTCGGCTTAAATACATCAAACATTGGCCAAGGATTGGTGGCATCCGCTGGTCATGACTGTGGCTCGTAAATCAATATCTTGTGGAGTGAGGGGACAAGGTTCAGCGATATGCCGAGTCGGCAAACGTTGGTAGGTAAAAAAAATATCCCGGTACCCTTATCGTCGCGGCTATGCCTTCAAATTGTGGTTGCAATGGTTCCTAAATAGCATCTTTACATCTAACACTGGTGTATTAAAGTAGCTAGCGAGACGGAGCTGACTACCGGCTGTCTAAGGATCTAGAAGCCACCCCAAGTTACCCTCATCATTGTACACCATGGGCTCTGTTGATATGGCAGAAGATAAGCCTGCCCTACCCGATTTTGAACAACTCCCTGGATTGTACGGTTGGCCACGGGAAAACTCTAATGGTTACCAAATCAAAGAGCAGCCATGTGGAACCGAGCGGCCGCTTCGTGTCTTATCCTTAGGAGCCGGTGTCTCGGGTATCAACCTGGCTAGATTTCTCCCAGAAACGGTGAACAACCTCAGCCTTACTATCTTTGAAAAGAACCCCGAAGTAGGCGGGACATGGCTGGAAAATAAGTATCCCGGTGTTGCGTGCGACGTGCCTTCCAACAACTATCAGGTATGACCGGATGATTTTGTATCCAACTATCTGGTCTCCTTCGCTGACGAAGAACGTCAGTTTACGTGGGCACGAAAGCCAGAATGGAGGCATTTCTATTCCTACGGAGAGGATATCTTGCAGTATCTCATCGATGTTGTCGATAGATTCGACCTACGCAAATATTTCAAGTTTGAACATGAAGTGGTCTACGCGTGCTGGGCTGAGGACAAGGGTGTCTGGCAAATCAGCGTCAAGAACCTGACAACAGGAATGATCTCTGTGGAGGAGGCTGAAGTGTTTATCAACAATGGGGGCTTTTTGAAGTATGTCATTCCGCATGCTGACCCCCGAATGGCAGAAGCCAATATTAAACGAGAGACCAGTTCCTGGAGGTGGCCGGACATCGACGGCCTACATGACTTCAAAGGCGTTCTTACGCATTCAGCGCAATACGACACCTCTATTGATTACAGGGGAAAGAAAGTCGCCGTCATTGGGTCGGGCAGTAGTGGGGTGCAGATTACACCCAATATCGCCCCGGACGTGGAAAAGCTCTATACATGGATCCGGTCTCCTACATGGGTGACAGCTGGTTTCGCGCAACAGTATGCCGGGCCGAACGGGTCCAACTTTGAATGTAAGGGGGGATTGTACTAACTGTCAGATCCGCCAATCCAATGCTGACAGCAATACAGATTCGGAAGAGCAAAAGAAACGGTGGCGCCAAAACCCACTGGAGCTGCAGCAGTACAGCAAGAATATCGAAGACGAGTTGAATTTGCGCTTCAGATTCATTCTCAATGGAACACCGGAAGCCAGCCAGGCCAGGCGTTTTGCAACTAAGCAGATGAGAGAAAAGCTCGGGGACCGATCCGACATTGCGGACAAGATTATTCCTACGGATTTTGGTGTCGGTTGCAGACGCCCTACTGTCAGTAACCATCATGAACATCCTTCTCGAAAAGGACAGCTCCATATTTGTAACACAGCTGACACCCAGCACTGACATCAGCCCGGAAATGGATTCCTCGAGTCTCTTACCCGTGAAAATGTCCATGTTTTCACCCAGATGATGAAGAAGATCACCCCGGAAGGATTCATCGACCATGAAGGCAAGGAACACAAGGTTGACATCATCATTTGTGCGACTGGGTATGCTGACCCATGACCCCCTTCGAATTATTTACCGTCTAATCTTTGTGACAGGTTCGATACGTCCTTCATCCCTCGCTTCCCAATTGTGGCGCATGGAAGTAACCTGCAAGATGTGTTTCGAGAGAGACTGATATCCTACCTCTCCATCGCCATCCCAGCATGTAAGAGGCAAAGTGGTTGTCCACGTACAACGTCGGAAATATGGCTAACAGCTCCCTCAGTTCCAAACTACTTCACCATCGCGGGACCCTACGGCCCATTCGGCCACGGCTCCTACATGCCCGTGAGCGAGCTGCTGGTCAAAAACATCACCACTATCGTCAAGAAGATGCAAAAAGAGAACATCAAAGCCGTCACTCCGCGCTCAGATGTATGCGAAAAGTTTGCAGAGCACGCAGATCTATACATCCAGCGCACGGCATGGAGTGGCCCCTGTTCCAGTTGGTTCAAGAACGGGAACAAGAATGGCCGGCTAGCCATGTGGCCCGGCTCCCGGTTGCTCTATTTTGATGTCATGAAAGAGCCCCGGTTTGAAGATTATCATATTGACTATTGGAGTGGCAATCCATTTGAGTTCCTGGGGAATGGATTTTCGACGGTCGAGTTCTCTGGCGGGGATATCTCTTATTATCTGGGCACTGATGAAAATCCTGGAGGTCTCCTCCCGGAAGGGCTTTCCAATGGCAGGGTTTGATTTGTTCTCACTAGAGGGGATTCAATATTAGAAGTTTACCAGCTATACATGCAAGAACATTTGTTTTACCTTTTTGGCCAATGCCCAAACATATCGGAGGAGGTGCGGTAGAGTACTAAGAGACAGTCGCATAAGATGTCGAAGGATGGCTGGTTGAGGAACCGGTATCTACGCGTTGGCCGTATTTGTTGGGCGTGACGAGGAATATATAACCACCGGACTGCGGATAGCGTACATGGAGTGGCACTCTCACGGTGCAAGTCATCCATACCTATCTCTATGCTCAACCCTACACCAATCACTTGCTTAGGCAGAAATGATGCCTGTGGCAGTGTGATACCATATCCTCCATTCCAGATGTGGTCTAAACCTACAGCCCGCGGCCGGAATAGAGCCTGACAGCCTCCCAAGAGTCAGTATGGGCTCACTCGAGGACCTGGCTACACCTCATTAGAGGTTCCTACTCTACTCTAACAGTTTCTTGGTGTTGCAAGCACAATCGACTTTTGTTGATTTAGTTCAGTTGATCTACCATTGGGATAAAAGGTTTCAAATGGAAGCCGTATTCCTTTTTACCCTGGTACATTCAATGCTTCTGAGTTCCCTGTACGCTCCCTATCTGGGTACGACCTTACGGGTCGGCTCAATGGTGATATGCTTGTTTGACCAAGCTTGTAATTGAAAGAAGACATCTTATTCCCACTGCACTAGACAGGCGTTTCTTGCGCAGTCAGATCATATGGCAGGTCTTGCTGCACTTTGCGTGCCTGCCTCTGAGCTCTTTCTGATTTGCCGAGAATGGCGGTGCCCAACTCCCCAACGGGTAAAGCGATGGGAAAATCGACTGCGTCAAGGATTTGTGTGACAAAAAGGTAACTAACCGGTATGCAAAGGACGAAGGTCAATGCACCGGCCGCCTCAGTAAGAATTAGCCACACAAAGATCAATCCAGCAAGGGTAGGGTGGGGTCAGTGATATACAATTTGTAGCTTCGCTGCTAAAGCGTCATGGCCCAATGCGAGATGAAAGTAGACGCCGCAGAAAAAGCCTACATCAATGACGAGCATGAACAGACCAACCAGTAGGCACAAGTTAGTACGCAAGGCGCAAATCGTATAAATAAACGTCAGAACGCCGAGGAACACGTAGAAAAATGCTTCCAGTCAACAGTCAGAATTGCTTGGATATAAAAAGGGTGTGGACGGCCACCCACCAACGGTAGAATAGAACATGGGCGTTGTTTGACCTTCGAGGCTGTTGCCCGTAGGAGAGTAATTGGTGCCGACTCCAAAGAAAGGCATGAGCGATGCCCCATTCACGAGCCAGAACGATCCTGTTGGTTATCACGTATCAGTTCCGCAAACCATGACCCCAGCACCGCTCTTCTGGCTGCTATTTACCGTATGTGAAGAACAGGGCACATGGGTAGGTGTTCCCTATGATCCATTCGCCAATAGCGCCAAGGTACTGCAAAAACCCGCCAAAAATGATGTATACGGGGCTGGCGAAATCTGCTCAGTTCCACGCAAACTGACACCGTCACTACAGCATTACTCACAGAATGGCACCACCGTTCCCACCAGCACCCCTCCAGCCCATCTGAATGCAGGACATTGGAAGAGCAGCGATGAGGAATCCCATCAGAGCAATTGGAGTAGGGTTCCCAAAAGTCTTGTGAAGCTGACCTTTGTGAGAGGTTTTGGGGTTCAGGTAGAGTTTCTCGAATTCAGCACGGGAAATCGGGAGAAAGACGCTATTGGTTGTTTCAATGTGGCGCAGAACAGTCGAGGTAGCCTCGCCAGAGGGCTCAGAAATTTTGTCCGAATCCATTTTGTCGATAGAATGGGCTAGTCATGTAGACCACGTTTTGTGCAATGAGGAGCGGGCAGGTGGCTCAACTTTATATATTCCCGATCCCACAGATTATACTTTCAAGGAGATGATGTTTACCGACGCTAAAAACAATCTACCATCTCTGTTCTTTGGTACTCCCTACATAAGGGGTGCCAAATAAAAGCCGACGCCGGATTGCCTCTCCGTAAATGGAAACCATGGATATGTTTGGGGCTCGGTCATGCCCGATCTGATACATGGAATTCTCGGCTACGTCAGGCCCCTATACCGCAGCACAATGAGCCTGTTGCCACCGCTATTCATTTTCATTATCAAGCTATACGGGAAAATATCTCTGGATGAAGCTGACTCCATTCGTGACCAGGAAAATATACTGCGTTATAAATCTAACACCTATGAAAGCTCTGTCTTCAGTACCTCAATCACCTCTCGGTTAAACATCTTCCCTGACTCGAGTATTCCATCCAGCACCGCGAACGAATGAGGAGCCCCAAGAACACGCTTAAAACGAACTCGACAGCCAGCAGCCTCCAGCTTTGCTACGTATGCCTCCCCTTCATCACGCAAAGGGTCCATTTCGGCCGTGTACACCAGGGCTGGCGCCAGATCCACAAAACTGGGTGCCAAAATAGGAGAAATTCTCCAATCCTGTCATACTTCTCAGATACGATCCGTGACTCGCGAACTGGGTGGTAACTCACATCTGGTTGCCTTTGCTGGCCCAAATGCCCCACAAACTGGCGGTAGCAGTGTTGCATCCGGTGTTGTGTCATCCCGGCACTGAACTGCATCTCCCGATAGGACTCATAGGGGCAAGACTCCGAATCAAAATTGCCATCGGGGGTGAAAACATTATGCAAGTCACAGATTGGAACACACAACACCTGCAGGCGTAAAGGAATTTGGTTGTCTCGGCAAAGATGTGCGACAACGGCTGAGATATGGCCCCCTGCAGACACTCCACCGACGGCGAATCGCATAGGATCGAGATTCAATTCGTCCAGCTTCTCCCGTCGGATCTGAAAATTCAATTAGTCGAGTGAGATTTGATGCTATACTCATCGTGCATCTACTGACGTACCCACTGAAACGCTTCCCAGCAGTCCTCTATGGGAACAGGATACGGATGCTCAGGGGCTAGTCTGTAATCCACGTCGAACACAACCAGATCACCGTTGAGGCCATCTACCAGCTGTTTGCAGTACCCATGGTCGCTCGAAAGCCCCCCGACGATCCAACAGCCGCCATGGAAATTGACAAATGCTGCTCTCGGCCTTGGGAGTCCCGTACTATCCATGACCGGAGCAGGCTCAAAGATCCGGATCGTGATCTCGCCTCCTCGCACGGGGCATTTTTGTTCTGTAATTCGAAAAACATCGGGTCCTGTGGCGCGGCCGTATATGATGGTATATATGGAGGGGTTGGCTCGAAACTCGTCGATGGGTACTTCGTCCCAGTGAAGGCGTCCCACATTGTATTTCTGGTAGTAATCAACGAAGACCGGGTCAAACCGGTCGATTAACTCGGGGGGGATGCCATTGTGAAGAGGCGGAATATGGGCCAGCGGTTGGAAGTCATGCAAAGCCCTGTCACCGTGGCCTGTTTCCATGGTGAAGAAAGAATGATGTTCCGTATTGCTGAAGTGCTGTCGATTGGTGACATTGTTTATCATCATATAGCGTTCAATGGTACACGTCAGCTGCTTACATTACAGTGGCAGCTCAATTGGGCATTTGGTGTATCTGCGAGGACGGAGTACGAAATGTTCGGGGTATTTGGCTCGGCCTTTTCTCTTGGCCCGGGATTTTCTGCAAGACAAGAAGGTAATCGGATTACCGACGTTACTGCCGCACATCCAATGCTGACCCTAATGAAGACTCTTCCGTTTCTATACCTTTCTAATATGAGGGTCAACATTTGGCAGCCATCAGAGGCAGTCATAGAATTGGTAGCCTCAGGCGTGGCACTTAGAAGATTCTCCGGGATACTCTCCTAACGGTTGTGTTCGGCTTTGTAGCAGGCATTTATAAGGGGCCCCTCGGCTTCATTTCGCCAACAGTACCCCCCTGCTCTGCCTACACCTAGTACCACCACTTGATTGTTATCACGATGGAAGTCAGATCTCGTTGGAAGATTGAAGTCCCCAACGCCCACCTGGCCACCCTGGTCTTCAAATCCCCCACTCACCCCATCTCCAAAACAAAGCCATGTTTCATCGACGCCGCCCGACCCGATACCCATTTTCTCACCCACGATGACTTCCGACTTTGGAGCCAACGCTTTGCGGTCGGTCTGCGTAAGTCGGGCATCAAGACCGGCGACCGAATCCTGTTTTTCTCTGGAAACAATCTGTTCTTCCCCGTCGTGTACATGGGGATTCTCATGGCCGGTGGTGTTTTCACCGGTGCAAACCCGGCGTACATCCCACGGGAGCTGGCCTACCAGTTGAAAGACAGCGGAGCAACGTACCTGATCTGTGCGGAAAAGAGCATCGAGACCGGTGTGCAAGCCGCCAAGATGGCGGGACTCGGCCCCCACCAGGTCTTTCTATTCAATGACGCATTCTACGCAACAAAGGAGCCGGTCGATTTCTCCAGCCCAGACTATCGGTATTGGGGAGAGTTGATCGGGGAGGAGGAGGAAGGCCGGCGGTTCGCCTGGGACGAGCTCTCCACCGCGGAATTGGCCAACAGGACCTTGGCCTTGAACTACTCGAGCGGCACCACGGGCGTCCCAAAGGGTGTGGACCTGAGTCACAAGAACATCATCGCCAATATCTTGCAGTACAACTTCCTGTTCTACCTCCAGAACGACCACCGGGAGCGCATCGCGCGGGGGAAATGGCTCTGCCTACTGCCCATGTACCACGCGATGGCGCAGAACATGTTCATGAGCATTGCGTTGATGCGCGGCGTGCCCGTGTACATCATGGACAAGTATGATTTTGTTAAGTTTTTGCAGGCGATTGAACGGTTTCGCATCTCTGACCTCACCTTGGTGCCACCAATCGTTGTGTCCATGGTGAAGCGCCCCGAAACCAAACAGCACGATTTGAGCAGCGTGGAAACCATTTTCTGTGGGGCGGCGCCGCTTGGAAGGGAGATTTCCGAGAAGGCGGAAGCCTGTGGCCGGAGGGAAAGGTCAATATCAAGCAAGGCTGGGGCATGACCGAGTACGTGCACCACCCGCACGGAAAAAGCGATTGTGATTGATACGACGGCTGACCGATCTCACGTATAGAACCACTTCGATTGTCATGGCATGGCACCCTCTAGATTGGTCGGATTCGGCATGCGTGGGCGAGCTCGTTCCCAACTGCGAGGCCAAGGTGATGGCTGAAGATGAGGTCACCGAGCTGGGACGCAATCAACGAGGCGAGCTCTGGGTCCGCGGGCCCAACGTTATGAAAGGGTATTGGCGCAATCCTACCGCAACCAGAGATACTTTGACAACCGATGGCTGGCTAAAGTCGGGAGATATTGGCTATGTTGACAATCAGGGGAAGTGGTATATCGTGGATCGCAAAAAGGTCCGTATATTGGGCTGTTGCCAGTTGAATCTCCGATTGAATTCGTCTGTGTTAACCTGCTCCAGGAGTTGATCAAAGTAAAGGGCAACCAAGTTGCACCAGCGGAGCTGGAAGCTCTACTCTTGGAGCACCCTGCTGTGGCCGACGTGGCGGTGATTGGAGTTCCATTGTAAGCTACCTGCTCCAGCACATGACGTGCACAATGAGATGACTGATAACTGACCGGGCATTAGCAACGATGACGAACGACCCCGAGCGTATGTTGTTTTGAAAAAAGAGATGACTGCCACTGCCGATGAGATCGCTACCTTCATCAACTCCAAGGTTTCTTACATTAAGCGTGTTTCAGGAGGAGTTGTGTTCCTCGATGCGATTCCCAAGAATCCATCGGGCAAAATTCTGCGAAACGTTATGCGAGATCATGCGAGATCCGAGGTTCTTAAAGCTGGTCCCAACTTATGATCAACTTCGCCGTATGTCTTGCTTGGAAAGTGTATCATTATTTACCACAGTCGAACAGCGGACGATATACGGGTTTTACTTGCGGAGTACGAGACAGTTAGATGTTTATACGTACTGTCCACAACCTTACTCTCACGGATTAATACTAAAATGGACATAAAATTTGATTATATCTCAATCGTGTACCCCGGTTCTCTCGTACAGCATACCTACCACTCTCTGCCCAACAACAAAAGTTGTCAGTGTGGTGGGTTCTAGTTAGGGCTACGTCGAATCCGGCTGAACAATCCTTGCAGCATGCAGAGTATATGTCCACCTGACCAGTAGTTAGAAAACCTTCAACCCAATCAATCGTACATCGACTAATCGCTGTTGATGCTAAGTAGGCAACAGACCACATTTCTCCATTGATCCTACAATGCGCCGCACCTGTTTCAGTGAATGGAACCCAACCATAGGGACAACCCCGATACTGATACATTTTGAAGTAATATACACGGTCAGCAGATCAACAACGAAGAAGCATCCTCCCATGTTCACAGCGCTTGCTCAAAGTCCAGACGGTATTTGACGTCGTCATACTTGCGCACCTCCCATTCAATGTTTCCACTTGTATATTCAACACAGACATTCACCAAGATATGGCCCAAATGATCGCAGTTGTATTGTCCCTTGAATATGATAAACCCGCGCTCTTCCACCTGACAACAGCCTGTTCAATCCATCGCCTGTATCCACCCATATGTCGGGAAATATCAAGTAGTGCGAATCGCAGGCTTAGGGACGGTATTCCTCAGGAAGCTAGAGGGATCAGTAGCGGACGTCTGTGGAATTGTTCTACCGCCATTTGGTTTGGAATTAGCACTCGACAATTTCGAGGATGCCGGGCAATGAATCAAAGGCGTGCGGTCAGGAACCTGACTGCACACAGCTTTCTTCCCTGGGATGAGGCACAATGCTTACTGTCTCAGGTTCAATCCACTATTTTAGCATGTCTGATCACGGCCTAGCGAATGAAAGGAATGAAGATCCTCTTTTGTGTGGGGAGATGGTGGGTTCCTCTTTATACATGAACCGAAATATTCCTGGCATAATTTATGTAATTATTGAAATACTCAGCTCATTACCGGCGAGAGTAACCGGTAAGGTTGGTATGCCCCGGTATTTTTCGAGGGTTTATGCCGAAAGCCTAAAAGTACACATCCGCGATTTCCAAGTGCAGGGAAACGCAACAAGCTCTCGTTATTAATCAAAGTTTTACCATTACCTGCTGGCATTCTCCGTGTGGCTCCTGGAGTTAGTTAATTCATCGGTCTTTTCTCCGGTATCGGGAAATTTTGGCTCAACTTAATTATTCCACAGGGGGGGTTTTGAGACCGTTGTTTCATTTGCCTCACGTTCATGGAAATGGATGGTATTCCCTGCCTACCTACGGCAAGCCAATGCTGCCAGTCCGTATTTATTCATTTTCCTCTAGATTTTGGTCGGATATACTCACTGCTTTGTTGACCGCTTTGGTCGCTTAGTCAGGGCCCGAAAGTCTAACTAAACAGCCAACTTATGTTACTTGGGGGTTCAACCCCAGAATTCTCTACAGGCTTCGTAAAGATACTTGGTAATATTTTATATTTCAACAACTTTTTTATATAAGAGATATCAG